CGGGACCAAAGAGCCAAAGCTCAACCCCTGCAAGCACAACTAAGGGAGTACATAAAACCTGCTATGCACACGGAAAGCATGGAAACCCAACAACAGATTTTTGTGTTTAAAAAGGCAAGCGCAGCATGAAGGGATATATATATATATCGTATTTTCTTTAATCCTGGACTATTTTGAGAGCTACAGTATACTTGCCTGTTGGTCAGTCACGTAGTGTGGTGGCCTTCACAATCCTTCAAAGGTTGAAAGGCCATAACAATGTGTATGCATTACAGAAAAACAAGTTGAATATATGTAATGTTTCCACAAGGACATACACGAGGGCCAAGGAATATTATCAATGTTGGTTGGGATAATGATGGGGAATTTCCCTGCCGAGAGCCTGCTGGTCCTGGAGGCGGCTGGCGAGTCCTCCTCCCAGTCCGGGTCGACTCGTCCGCCCTCCAGGCTTTACACTCAATATTATTTATGGGAAGACCCGAATAAAAGCACTAGGGGACCAATCTCGGTTTTGTACGTGACCGAAATGGTTCAAATGATTTCATATCGACGTACGATGCAATATATATATATATATATATATATATATATATATATATATATATATATATATATATATATATATATATATATATATATATATATATATATATATATATATATATATATATATATATGACTGAATACTCACACCCCAGAAGTGACTCGAACCCATACTCCCAGGAGCAACGCAACTGGTAACTACAGGGCGCCTTAATCCGCTTGACCATCACGGCCGGACAAAAGGAAGTGGTAGCCGAAGCTATTTGAACCACTTCCCCGCCGGCAACTCGGATGGTAATCTTGGGCATAGCATTTCACCAAATCACCTCATTCTTTGGGGCACACGTGAGGAACACAAATGCAAACAAGCCTGAATGGTCCCCAGGACTATATGCGACTGAAAACTCACACCCCAGAAGTGACTCGAACCCATACTCCCAGGAGCAACGCAACTGGTAACTACAGGGCGCCTTAATCCGCTTGACCATCACGGCCGGACAAAAGGAAGTGGTAGCCGAAGCTATTTGAACCACTTCCCCGCCGGCAACTCGGATGGTAATCTTGGGCATAGCATTTCACCAAATCACCTCATTCTTTGGGGCACACGTGAGGAACACAAATGCAAACTCCAGGGAGGAGGACTCACTCCAGGGAGGAGGAGTTTTCAGTCGCATATAGTCCTGGGGACCATTCAGGCTTGTTTGCATTTGTGTTCCTCACGTGTGCCCCAAAGAATGAGGTGATTTGGTGAAATGCTATGCGCAAGATTACCATCCGAGTTGCCGGCGGGGAAGTGGTTCAAATAGCTTCGGCTACCACTTCCTTTTGTCCGGCCGTGATGGTCAAGCGGATAAAGGCGCCCTGTAGTTACCAGTTGCGTTGCTCCTGGGAGTATGGGTTCGAGTCACTTCTGGGGTGTGAGTTTTCAGTCGCATATAGTCCTGGGGACCATTCAGGCTTGTTTGCATATATATATATATATATATATATATATATATATATATATATATATATATATATATGTCGTACCTAGTAGCCAGAACTCACTTCTCAGCCTACTATGCATGGCCTGATTTGCCTAATAAGCCTAGTTTTCATGAATTAATGTTTTTTCGACAACCTAACCTACCTAACCTAACCTAACCTAACGTTTTCGGCTACCTAACCTAACCTAACCTATAAAGATAGGTTAGGTTAGGTTAGGTAGGGTTGGTTAGGTTCGGTCATATATCTACGTTAATTTTAACTCCAATAAAAAAAAATTGACCTCATACATAATGAAATGGGTAGCTTTATCATTTCATAAGAAAAAATTAGAGAAAATATATTAATTCAGAAAAACTTGGCTTATTAGGCAAATCGGGCCTCGCATAGTAGGCTGAGAAGTGAGTTCTGGCTACTAGGTACGACATATATATATATATATATATATATATATATATATAGTAGCCAGAACTCACTTCTCAGCCTACTATTCAAGGCCCGATAATATTTTCCTGAATTAATATATTTACTATATATGAAATGATATTTTCTCTAAGTATGAGGTCAATTTTTTTTATTGGAGTTGATATATGACCTAACCAACCCTACCTAACCTAACCTAACCTATATTTATAGGTAAGGTTAGGTTAGGTAGCCAAAAAAAGCTTTCAGGTAGGTTAGGTAGACGAAAAAACATCATGAAAACTTGGCTTATTAGGCAAATCGGGCCTTGAATAGTAGGCTGAGAAGTGCGTTCTGGCTATTAGTACGACATTATATCATATATATATATATATATATATATATATATATATATGTGATATATCTCTCACTTTCAGTGTGTCTCACAATTTCAGTTTTTCACGATAGATTCCAATCTCTACTGCTGCTCCCAAGCTCTTTCCTCACTTCACTTGTTCTTATTTTTTTTTTTTTGAGATATATACAAGAGTTGTCACATTCTTGTAGAGCCACTAGTACGCGTAGCGTTTCGGGCAGGTCCCTGGAATACGATCCCCACGAAGAATCGTTGTTACAACCAAGTACTCATTTTACTATTGCGTTAAACAGAGGCTACAATTAAGGATTTGCTCCCAGTAAATCCTCCCCTATAAATCCTTATATTTATATCTCTCCATGTCCCTGAGTTATCCGGTTTGTTTCTAGTCCAGCTTCGTACCAAGGAGGCGGCCGAGAGGCTCAGGTCTTGCGCCAATAACAAAACCAGTTCTAAATCATTATCTTGGCCGGAATGCTGTGAAGCGCCCTCTGTTTACCCTTGACCACATAGCTCAGTTTTCATGCTCCCATTTTCATATGGCGAGGGGGCACTAATTTACACCTTTCCCATTCTCAGAATGGGCAGTTGGAGGCGAGGCACAGGTTCGAATCCCTGTGGAGGCCTTCTCTTACTTTTATGTGTGTGTGTGTGTGTACTAAGTACTTTCCTAGACGTGCTTTCGTCCGCTTTCTCCAGTGCAATGACCGAGTTGTTTTTCTTATAGTATTTAGACTTTAAAATCGTGAATTGAATTATCATCTACAACTTCCTCATCTAATCCATTCCTGAAGAAGTTGTATCTTGTGTCTTCTTGGCCAGTGTGCTTTAGGCTGTTGCGCAGTGCCGTCTCGTCTGCTGTACTCCTGCTCTCCTCTGGTCTGATGAGGTCCAGTTCTCAGAGTCCATCTTCATAGCTCATTCACCTTAGCTAAGGAACCAACATTGTTGTATGTTTTTGTAACCTTTACCAGTTTTAGTTATTGTTTGCTTAGGTGGTGGTCCGTGGGACTGTTATCGAGAGTGGGCCTCACATGGGTTGTATATGGCCTTTGGAAGGTCACCGTGTCCATATTACTGAAGGCTCTCTGATGTTGGTCAGTTTGGTGTATGCGACCGACGTTATTCAGCTGATGTGGGACTCTGGTGTTAGTGTTGAAGCTGTCTGTACCAATGTCTCTTTTTGTGTCTGAATTTGTTATTTGTGCATTCAGATTCGAGCCATTTATAGCTCTTGGACCCCGCCTTTCTCAAAGATATACTTTTCCTCTATTATGTCAACATGTCTCTCTAACAACCACACACATCACCAGGAATCACCTGTCTAACTCTCAGGTATCTATTTAGTGCTTGGTGAACAGACTCATTAGGTAAAAGAAACTCTGCCCATTAGTTTTTGTCTCGGCCGGGGATCGTACCCTGGCCCTTAGGATTATGACCCCGAGAGCTGTCCACTCAGCCGCAAATCCCATGTGCGTGTGTGTGTGTGTAATTACCTAAGTGTAGTTGCAGGATGAGAGCTACGCTCGTGGTGTCCCGTCTTCCCAGCACTCTTTGTCATATTGCGCCTTAAAACTACGGACGGTTTTGGCCTCCACCACATTCTCACTTAGTTATTATTATTATTAACATCTTTATTGACAAAATTAATTACAATTTTGCCTAATCTGAGGATTTTGATAGTCTTATTAAATTTGTTCCAATCGTCTGCCACTCCGTTTACAAAAGAAAACTTTCTAATATTTGTTTGGCACCTCTGTTTTTTAACTTGAATTTAAGATCTCTTGCTCTTGAGGTTTCTAGTTTCAAATGATAGTATGGATCCCAGCTCCAATACTTGAGATGCTCTGCTTCTTCCCCTACGCCAGCCAATGTGTGTGTGTGTGTTCTCTCCTATTTGTGCTTGCGGGGGGTTGAGCTCTGGCTCTTTGGTCCCGCCAAAGTGTGTATGTGTATGTGTGTGTGTGTGTGTGTGTGTGTGTGTGTGTGTGTGTGTGTGTGTGTGTGTGTGTGTGTGTGTGTGTGTGTGTGTGTGTGTGTGTGTGTGTGTGTGTGTGTGTGTGTGTGTGTGTGTGTGTGTGTGTGTGTGTGTGTGTTTTATGTAATGTATGTATATGTTGTATGCATGTGGTTTATGTGTTATATACTTAAGTGTATGAAATATACACAAGGAAACCTTAATGTTACTAACACCTGAAGAAAACGGGAAACTTGCTGCTACTTAACCCTTTATGTATAATGACCAATTATGAGTTAATTATGCAGAATTATGTTATCGGTTCTAACATTGTAAACACAACAGTTATAGTTTCCAACCTGTCCTCTCACCTAATACGTCGCATTTTTAACGGAGCCGACCAATTCATTACAAATATAACATTAAAAATAAATCGCAATAATATTGCCGCTTTCTATGCGTCAGCCTCGATTGGGTTAGATGAATTACTTGGGTTCGTACGTTTCCGGTTAGACAAAACAGTTACATTTTTTTACGGAGTGGCAAGTGGCTAGAACAGGCTAGCCGGCGAGGTGAGCCAAAACCAAGTCCGCAAAATCTCGATTTACACACATGGGATAACGAGTTAGTAAGTTGTGACGTCATAAAGCAGATAACAATGACGTAGTAGAGAAGAGTGACGTCATTTTGTGACTGGGCACATATATAAGAGGCGAGCGGGGCCGGGTCGCCTCAGTGTCAACGCCGGGACGAGCCACGATGAAGGTGCGTGTAGAACTGTCTGTCCTGAAAAAGCCAGTTTTCAAATGTCTGGCGAGCCTCATGTCGTGTGTGTGGTGTAGAGGTGGCTTGTGTGTTGACAAGCGGGTCTGTGGCGGGGGCTGAGATGTTTACCTCAGACCAGCTCTGATGAGGTTCTGTTTTTTTAAGTCCGGCTGATCAGTGAGGCTATTGCAGTCAGTGGTCTGCATGCCAAAGGGTCTTCACATTCCGGGTAATTGGAAACTAATGTCGAAAATTTCTAACTTTATTTAAGCAATATTTCACGTATTTGCTGCTAGAAAGTTAGACTCAGAAGCAGTGTTCTTTAAAATAACTGAGAGTAGCAACCGCGTACCCATGACTTCTCTCATGTTTGGTGATGAGTACCTTCTAAGTCCTTCAGGAGGTGATGGGTGTGTGAGGAGAGTGTGTGTGAGGGAGGTTAAGAGCCTGTGAGGGAGGGAGGGAGAGAGGTGAAGGGTGTGTGAGGGAGATGAGGAGTGTGTGAGAGGTGAAGGTGTGTGTGATGGAATTAATATTTTCCTCAGGCAGTATGAAATACAGATCAGAACACTTAATTATGACATTCAGGGGGTTGAAATCCTTCTCCAACTATAACAACGGGCAGCGGGAGACAGCACGGCCCTATTGATGCACCACCTTCCCGCCCTCTCACCAATATCCTCAAACGATTCACTTGTGTCTCACGTCATCACGTATGTGTACTCACTAAAAGCTTCAGTTACTATGTCTACACATTTTATCTGAGGCCCACCATCTCTAGTGGCCTCGACGGGGACAGGAAGTCAGCGGTTTGTTAAAGGTCTCCAATTATTAGTAGTGATATTTTCCAACTGAATTTTAAAGTAGAGTAGAGTCTTGGGTTTTATGGCTTCGGTGGGTAGGCGATTCCATGAGTTTATTACCCTTTGGAGGGGAAAGTATCTCCTGTTTTCTGAACCACACTGTGGCTTGTTGAGCTTTGTCGGAAAATCCGACACCATTTAATAATATACAGACAGATAATAAGTGCTGCTGTATTACCAACAAGTTACCCATAGAAAACGTAACTTGTAGTGGAATTACCGTCTAAAGAAAACGGGATATCATCACCACATACTATTATAATTCACCACCTATTATGGTGGGAATTATTCTTAAATACATAAGTCTTTGGACTTTACCATCATAAAAACATCTTATATAAATTAACTTAATTATCAATATTAAAGTAGAGTAAATGTGACCCTTCTATCACTTTCTGAAATCTGGACAAAGTAGGCCAGGCGAGAGTGAGGAGGAGGGCAGCCATTGTTGATATTGAGACCAGAGGCTCACACGGGAGCAAATTCGGCTCCTGTTAAATTTACTTGGACGTAGTGTTATGGAACCCAAAGGTGTACCATTGTCAACACGCTGTCTACAAATACAAGTTAAGTGTCTATCCGAAACCCGTTTATCATTCATTTATGGCCATTAATGTCAGGATATAGGGTTAGCCGGTTAGAACGCGAAATCGCCTCATACTAAAGGTAATTAAGCCAGGTCTTTAATGTTCCATGTACTGTATAGTGTTTTCTCTGATATAGCTTGTCATATATAGGATTCTGGCTTCACAGCTAGCGCACTTTTGACAGGTCAAGACGAGGATGCAAGATTATGTGCACCAGTTACTGGGTGATAGAAGCTACCTCAAAGAGGATAATTTGGTGTCTACACCCTAGTTATACCTGGTGGACTAACCTTCTGTACTATAAGATAAGGAACCTCTTTAATGTATGTAGTTATTTCTGTAGTTTGATTGGCTGCATATATATATTAATTTAATAACCCCCCCCTAATGTGTAGAGGATCGATTTGTGAGATTGAGATTATTGCAGAAATACAGTCCACTTATCATTATACAAATTGCTATCGAAGTATATAAATTAACGTAAATATAAATTCATATAAATTAAATAAATATAAATCTCACAGGTCGGTTCCCACATTATTTGGACCTTCGGAACCGGAATATTCGGTCCTATGAACCCACATTTGGTCATCTTAGTACCAGTTAACCAAACCAGTGGATTCATTAAATATACTAGTGCAGTGTTATTTAAACAAAGCCAGTCAAGACGGCAGCGTAGCCTCGAGGGAGCTCAGGAGCCTCCCTCAGCCCAGTTCAGCTTCGTCAGCGGTTTCATGCACACCCACAGATATTTGGTGGCGTGTTATTTCGTGAAATGACAGCGCTAATATAGAATCCAGCCAAATTAGTGACTGTGTCTTCGCGAGATTGTTCACGGATTTCGTGGTGTTACATTTCGCGAGAGATTATCTACGAATTTTGTGGACTTTATTTCGCGAGGTCACTAATAATATTTAATACTTCTAGATAATATTAGAAGTTTCATAGAGGCTAATTAAGAGGCTATTAACAATAATTGTGTATATTATTTCTCCAAAATAGAGAATTATTTAATATATATTGCACTAGTGATCACAGTATAATATTTACTAATTGCCAACCCACAACAGGGTAGGATATTACCATTGACTAGTTGAACTATTATTGTTCATCCTAGTCCCATTATTACTATAGTCAGTTGTACTATATTGAACAACCTAACACCATTAATGAATGGTGCAGACCCTATTTTGGGTGTAATTTTTATCAACTCGAGTTGAGTTGTATATATAATAAATTACTTATGATCATTACACCTTTGAGTGATTAATTAGTGTCTCTACCATCCTAGGGTGATATAGAAGAGCTAACCTAAAGGTACTTCCAGTGACACTGGTTTATCACTCAAATCATTAGTGTGGATGATTGTATATATATAATGTGTATTAATTTTAAGTGCTAACCTCTAGTAGAGGTAGGATTATTGCCTAGTGAGTTCAGAATTTACCCTAGGCTATCATTAGTGTTTGTTCAGTATTATGAGCAGCCCAAGTACAAGCCCCACAAGGCTTCACCAACTAGCCAGTATGGATAATGCAGGGAGAATGAAAAGAACCCTTGCAGGTCTTAAAGGCCACTTAACAAGACAGATCAAGAAATGTGAAGATTTGTCACAACAATCAACAGTTGATTATGCTGACCTGGAAAGCTATTATCAAGCAGCTGCAGGTAAATTTGAGCAAATCAAATGTCAAATAGCAACATATGTGGCTGAACTTGCCAACACCAATTTATCAGAAACAGAAATAGACGACATTATGGTTGATCTTGCGAATTATGAAGATCACACTCAGGCCACGTTACAGCCTTATGTCAAATTAATTGCCCAGAACAAGGCAACAGCAACAACAACAACAGTTGCATCTAATACGAGTCAAGCAGAAGCTCGACTCCCTCCAATTAATTTACCCACTTTCTCAGGAAAAGATGAGGAAGATTGGGACGAATTTTGGAACAAATTCGTTGACCTTGTAGACTCAAAACAATCTTTACCAAAGAGTAGTAAATTCTCTTATTTGCAAGGCCAATTATCAGGTGAGGCTAAAACAGTAGTATCCCATCTGAGATTAACTAATGACGGCTATGATCTGGCAGTAAAACTCCTCAAGGATAATTATGCTGATCCAGAAGTAAGAACATCACATTTAGTTCATGAGCTGTTGCATTTACCCCCACCGGAGGCTTCAGCTGATTCACTCCAAGTCTTCAAGCTGGAGGTAGAATCATTGATCAATGCCCTCAGCCTGACAGCAGATACAAACGGGGCTGAGTGGGCCTTGAAAATAATTGTCCAGGAAAAAATACCTAGGGACATATTGAGACAAATGAGTGCTCATTACAATAAAAGTATTTTATCCATGAATGAAATATCTGAAGGTTTAAAGTCAGTAGTTCATCAATTACGAACACATGACAAATTAAAACCACCAAGTAAACCCTCAGAAACTAATAATAGTAAACCACAGAGTACCAAAGGTACTCCAAATCAATCTAGACAATATAATTCAACACCAAAGTGGAACAGTAGCAGTGTGGGCGTATATGCAGTGGGACCCTCCAAGCCTATAGTTACTGTGTCACCCAAGAACATGACACCAAAGGGTACAGGAAGCTATGGAACATGTTTGTTCTGCAATGAGAAACATTCAATGTACCACTGCTCTAATTTTCCTGATAGTGACGCCCGTGTTGAGCGACTCAAAGGTTTGCAACATTGCACGAGGTGCCTCAGGAAACATAACATCAAGGACTGTGATACCCAATTACACACCTGTAATAGGTGTAACAAAGGTCAGCACCATGCAGCATTGTGCAGAGACACCAAAACAACGTCTCCAAACCCCAAGGTGGAAGATAGCATTCCCACCACAGTACAGTACTGCAAGGTGCAACCAACAAAGAGTGTCCATTCGGTAAAGTCTAAAGGTAATACGACTTTGCCTACTGCCCAAATTACCATCCTGAATAAGAGGGCCAAGGTCCATACCCGTGGGTTGTTTGACCAAGGATCCCAAAGAACATACATCACTAAAAGGTTGGCAGATGAATTACAATTAAGGCCTGTAGCCCAGATGTCATTCAACATCTCAGGGTTTGTAACAGATGCAGGACCTCAAGTCTACCAGGTGGTACAACCATCAGTACGTTTAGGCAGGTACGTCTGTCGAGTACAAGCCATTGTGGTGGACAAAATACCAGTAGACCTACAAGTTCAAGGTCTGAGAGCAACAGCCAAATTCCTGAGAAATAGAGGAATAAAATTGGCAGATAATATTAAGTCTGATCACCTCACCGACTTCGGTCTCCTTGTAGGGACAGACTATTGTCATCGATTCATTGGTAGCCCTACTAAATATCAGGGTATAACCATGTTAAACTCTGCAGGAGGTAAATTACTCTCAGGCCCAGTATCAAGCCTGAGGAGACCTATGCCTGCAGATAAACAATACCAGTAGAAATCTAAATTTGTCAGCTGATTATATTTCTCCAGTAGCATTATACTAAGGAGATTACAGCTGACTATACCAACAGAGCTTGATGTTAGTATCATCATTTGAAGCTGAAGATGAGTTCATGAGGCCTCAGTGGCAAATCAGTGAACAGTAGCCTATAACAGCTACAAGTCACTGCGACCAATGTCACTGATCCCACTGCAGTCTCAGAACCATACTTTACTTTAATGATGAGCTATTCAATCCTCTGAATCAATTAATTAAATTAAACCCTAATAAATCTGATGACTGATTTGATACATTTATTATTTAATCAAGATGTATTCCATGGGCCTCAGTGTTTATATATCAGTGACCAGTTACCTGAAGAAACTTCAAGTTATATCTAATGTCACTGATCTCACTGCAGTCCCTGAATCATACTTGACTGTAGTACTTGATCGCATCCAGTCTTCTGGGTTAAATAATATGTAATTAGGCTTGAATATTAGCCTTTCAAGAGTTGACAGGGAAATGAAATCGCATTAGACTTCTAACCCCTGCAACTCTAGTACGGGACATCCGTCCTGTACGAACAGACACACAAATGTGTGATTACTAACTACTAACATCAAATTAATCTAATAATTCGAAGGAGGAGTATCGGTGTTCGTCTGTTCTAATTAGGACTTCGACCCGTGAGCAGCCCCCTGGGGAATTATGTCGGAAAATCCGACACCATTTAATAATATACAGACAGATAATAAGTGCTGCTGTATTACCAACAAGTTAACCATAGAAAACGTAACTTGTAGTGGAATTACCATCTAAAGAATACGGGATATCATCACCACATACTATTATATTCTCCACCTATTATGGTGGGAATTATTCTTAAATACATTAGTCTTTGGACTTTACCATCATAAAAACATCTTATATAAATTAACTTAATTATCAATATTAAAGTAGAGTAAATGTGACCCTTCTATCACTTTCTGAAATCTGGACAAAGTAGGCCAGGCGAGAGTGAGGAGGAGGGCAGCCATTGTTGTATTGAGACCAGAGGCTCACACGGGAGCAAATTCGGCTCCTGTTAATTTTACTTGGACGTAGTGTTATGGAAACCAAAGGTACCATTGTCAACACGCTGTCTACAAATACAAGTTAAGTGTCTATCCGAAACCCGTTTATCATTCATTTATGGCCATTAATGTCAGGATATAGGGTTAGCCGGTTAGAACGCGAAATCGCCTCATACTAAAGGTAATTAAGCCAGGTCTTTAATGTTCCATGTACTGTATAGTGTTTTCTCTGATATAGCTTGTCATATATAGGATTCTGGCTTCACAGCTAGCGCACTTTTGACAGGTCAAGACGAGGATGCAAGATTATGTGCACCAGTTACTGGGTGATATGGAAGCTACCTCAAAGAGGATAATTTGGTGTCTACACCCTAGTTATACCTGGTGGACTAACCTTCTGTACTATAAGATAAGGAACCTCTTTAATGTATGTAGTTATTTCTGTAGTTTGATTGGCTGCATATATATATTAATTTAATAACCCCCCCCTAATGTGTAGAGGATCGATTTGTGAGATTGAGATTATTGCAGAAATACAGTCCACTTATCATTATACAAATTGCTATCGAAGTATATAAATTAACGTAAATATAAATTCATATAAATTAAATAAATATAAATCTCACAGGTCGGTTCCCACAAGCTTGATGCTATTGCGTTACGTTGAATTTTTGAAAGAAGTGATTTGGATTAATATCTTCCAATTTGTTTAGTCTTTTAAAGGTATCGATTACATCAGCCTTGTCATGTCTGGTTTGTAGTGTTGTTCGAGCTGTGGCCCCTTAACTATTTCTAGTATGAATTAGGTTACTTAGTTCTGGGATAATTTTTGCCGCTCTGCGTTGAACGTTTTCCAAAGCAGATATGTCCTCTTATAGCTGTAGTCTCCATTTTTTGCATACAGTTAGATCCATAACCCGTCTTACAAGATCACTATTGATTAAAGGTTAAAGGGTAATACATATAATACCTTTTTATACTACTCTCCAGCAAGTCCATCATACAAAAATGGTCTATTTACTTGCAATTCCCCAATAAACTTCGCTAACTAAAGAACATTAAACCTGATAAAAGGAGTAACCTTTAAATCATTCCAAGCTCTTACATAGTGTTTACTAATAAAAACTGGAAGTGTGTTTTTCATTTGATTTACTGTAATCTATAATTTCCACAAACAGTAATCGTATTATAGTCATCTCTTAATACCTAATTGAGTTTATTTTTCATAGTTTTGATGAATAATGTTTATTTTTGTTTCAGGTGTTTCAGCTAATACGGTTCCTGGCTTTGGTCGTTTCTTCTGGATGGGCTGCTAAGCTGCCCCTGGGTATCCCTGGCGCGCCTGCCCCTAGTCAAAAAGTTGCTCTGAAATTCCCTGGATCAGCTGAACCTTCAGGCCTGTATCAGACACCAGCTGAATCACTCGAAACTCATCCAGTAGATTCAACTAAAATCGAAAGTCTCGGTGAAATAACTCAAACGTCTATCAAGACCTCAAGTATTGTTGAAACTCCTGTCGAATCTGTTCAAGGTCCGGCAAATCTTCCTGCATTGGAAGCTTCATCCGATGTAGTTCAGGTCCCTGTTGAACCTTCAGCTATTTATGGAGCTCCAAGCGAATCATTGCCAGGTTCTGCTCATATTTCAACTGATTCGGATGTTCAGGATCAAGCAACTTCAATCTTTGCAGACTCTACAATTGAGCACAAAACTGAAGGTGAATTAGTTTCCATCTCCGTTGTTCCTTCAGTTCCGGTTGAGACACCCAGCGAGCTAGTTCCGCTTTCTACAGAATTTGGTACTCCAGATCAGGGAGTACAAGGTGCTGTTGTACCCTCGAGTCTGGATGAAGCGCCCAGTAAAATAGGAGGACCCACTACTCATCATGAGGCTTCGGTTCAGACAATTTCAAGCTCTATTTTACCCTCAGATATTCATATTCTGGAAACTCCACTTCAGCCTCATGTAGAACATGATATTCCACTTGATGTAGCTACAGGCACTGCTGAGCATTCAAGTCCAGACGGATTTCCAAGCAAAGTTGAGTCATCAGATCAACACTCTGCATCAAAAGAAACCTCTTTAGACGTGATACCAGTTGAAACAGAGACAGGCAGTATTGAACATTCAAGTTCAGACGGGTTTTCAAGCATAGTTGAGTCATCAGATCAACACTCTGCATCAAAAGAAACCTCTTTAGACGTGATACCAGTTGAAACAGAGACAGGCAGTATTGAACATTCAAGTTCAGACGGGTTTTCAAGCATAGTTGAGTCTTCAGATCAACACTCTGCATCAAAAGAAACCTCTTTAGACGTGATACCAGTTGAAACAGAGACAGGCAGTATTGAACATTCAAGTCCAGACGAAATTCCAAGCAAAGTTGAGTCTTCAGATCAACACTCTGCATCAAAGGAAACTACTTTAGATGCGATACCAGTTGAAAAAGATACAGTCAGTGTTGAGTCTTCAAGCCAATTTGAAACACCTATCAAAGTTGAATCATCTGACCAATCCTCCATTTTACACGAAGCTTCCTCAGGTGTATTATCAGAAGATGTTGGTTCGTCTACCGGCCTTGAAATACACGGTGAAGAACTTCCAAGTTCTGTGCAGCCTTCTTCGGAAAGCAATGCATTTTCTGGATCCTCTGAACATTCAACGTTACACGAGACTCCTGAAGTGTCAGTTGCATCCCCAAGCGTACCTGCAGGTCTTTATGAAGCTCCAGTTTCACCGTCAGCATCTTTAGATAAGCCGTCTACCTTACAAGAGATTCCTAAGAAACCAATTATATTTCCTGATACCTTCCAGACCTCAGTTCAACCAGTCCCAGTTCTCGCCGAGCCTTCTACTTTACAGGAAACACCTGAACCATTGGCCCAGGTACCTGCAGGTCTTTACCAAGCGCCCAGGAAAACAGGAAAACCATGAATTTCAACGGTGTAATTTGTCCGAAACCCGTTGGCTGGATATTAGTTATCTTACATAGTGCCAGCAGCCCATCACCAAAACAAAGGTGATAGGCTACTGGGTGCTGGCGGGATTTCGATGTGTGGGAATAAAACACGGACTTTCTCGGTCGGAAATAGTCCTTAATTTGAGTGGTTTTCATATATGATTTTTTGAGGCTATGACTCGTGACGCTCATCATTCACTTCAGCCCGAACGGTAAACACCCTTAAATCACTATAATTAAAACATTAACGTTTTCTAGGCCTCGATATGTATAAACCAAAAATATATAATCAAATGATTTATATTTGAGAAAAACTTGTATTATTGCACCTTATAAAAGATTCATTGTGTCAGATGAAATATTAACGTCGGTGATGTCTTAAAACAGTGTATATAATACTATTGTTTGGGTGTTGAGAATGGATTATAAGTGTTTTCTGGGTGTCGAGGATGAGTTAAGTGTATAACCCATCTATGTAAAACTATGTATTATAACACATTTCAAAAGTTTATTGCCAAATGGTTCACAGCATTTTGCTCTTATTCATGGATTTCGGTAATGTTAGTGAATAATGCTTTGCTTTGCATTGTAATGCTTTGAATATATATATATATATATATATATATATATATATATATATATATATATATATATATATATATATATATATATATATATATATATATATATATATATATATATATATATATATATATATATATATATATATATATATATATATGATAATAATAATAATCCCGATCGTGGTTGATGTCTTCAAAAGCAATAATGACATTTTTTACAAGAGAAGAATTTGATCTACCTTGGATAGACAGGTTGAGACGCATGCCGGGAGGTCCGTTGTTTACCCCATAGGGAAGGAGACGCTCTGTCTACATAGTCTGGTTGCTCTTACTGTGACATCTGCCGTCTATGAGTTCGCCTTCTTCATCCATCGCAGTGGACAAGCGTTCATGGTGATTCGTACGCCAGTCCTGCGTCGGTGGTTTGTCTGGTTCGCCAAACGATATCGTGGTTTGCGGTCGGAAATGTCAAGCGATTGCACTCTGACTCACGAAGTTCTCAACTCATTTTTAGACAATTTTCATATGCACCAACAGGTGTTTTTTTTTTGTAAAAATAAAACAAAGCTCAAAACTCACAATTTTACTATATATATGGGTTACCAGGCAAGAGATACACTATAGACGGTTACAGAACCACTTCTGTGTATCACAGACCACACTGTGGCCCAACAGCGTACTCGAGTTCTGTATTAGAACTGACAAGACGCGAGACGTTACAGCTTCTGTGAGGAACTAGACTCTAGACTGTGAGGAACTAGAGCATGAATGCAGGAGTACGTAGACGAGAGTGAGACGTCAGACGACCAGAGACTTATGGGTGCGTGACGGGCGTCGGCGTCCAAGGAAGGCAGGAGATTAGAGCGGCAAGTCCTAGGATGAAGACGCTGCAGGACGCGCCAGCTGTCCCTCTGGACACTGTGCAGGAGAAAACTTATCACTGTAATTTTCGGATTTTATAAATTGAGTATAAGAAATCCAATTTTTCATATGATTTTGTTGTTTAATTTAATTTCATTTTCTTAAGAGTATATAATTTACATTATATGATTATCATTGTCTTTTACTATATAAGCTATATTATCAAATGCAGATGGTCTGTATATTGATTTTGCTTTCCAAAAGCGTCTTAAAATTGGATACTTATGATCTGATGATTTGAAAATTATGATTACAGCAAGATAGGCAGAATTTGGCGCTTTTCTTATACTCTTGAAAGTCAATCAATTTGAGTAGTGTGGTTGAGACATACTTACAAATAACAAACATTAGAAAATACCAAATTTTTCTGCCTTGTGAAGAACCTCGTTCTTGCATGAGCAAGTGACAGATCGAGCTAGAGGAGTAGACACACTTACAGAAAGGGACAAATTATACATGTGGGAGAGAGAGAGGGGATACAGGCGTACATACATATATATACTCACTGCAAAATGGCATGTCCAGTGTCTGAGAGCCGTCCTCTGAGACCCAGGTGCGTCGTGCCTCGTCACACCTGATCAGCAGACGCCAGTGACGTCTAAGAGAGTTGTCCGCCTCCCAGTACGACCAGTATCCAGGGTCACACCGGTACTGTACCGGGGAAGACAACGGGTTCAGGGGCTCCACACTTATTTTGATCTATACTTATTGCTCTAAACATGCAACTCAGTATTCGGATGAGTGTTGTTTCCTTACAATGAATAATGTTATACTTATCGATAATACAGTTCATTGAGTTAATTCACGATTGTCTTAACGTATTAACGATTAAGATTACACATCCATGCTTGACCCCACACATCTATACTTAACCCCGCACATCTATGTTTGACCCCACGCATCAATGCTTGACCCCACACATCAATATTTGACCCAACACATCCAGTGAGTGACCTACACATCCATGCTTGCCCCCAGAAATTCAGCCTGGTCTACATCTAAGCTTGACCCCACAAATTTATGACTGACCCCATACATCCAAGCTTGACCCCACACATCTATGCTTGACCCCACACCTCCATGACTGACCCCACACCTCCATGCTTAACCCCACACCTCCATGACTGACCCCACACATCTATACTTGGCCCCACACATCTATGACTGACCCCACACATCCAACCTTGACCCCACACCTCCATGACTGACTCCACACCTCCATGACTGACCCCACACCTCCATGACTGACCCCACACCTCAATGCTTGACCCACATCTGACCTCAGCGGTGACGGGCTGTGAACCAGCCTGGTGGCACTCTCCTCGACAGTTGAGACGACACCCGTCCACCCTGACGTCCATGTGCTCAGCCAGTGCCGGGAGCACCGGGCACCCTTCGTCCTCAACTGGAGGCCAGACCGGGAGTTAGTATACTGGGACACGAGGTAAAGGAGAGGGAGGAGCGTGTACTGGGATGACACGGGAGCAGGTATTCTGGGGGGACACGAGCAGGTATTCTGGGGGGACACGAGCAGGTATTCTGGGGGGACAGGAGCAGGTATAAATAAAGCAAAGGAAAATCTCCTAATACGGGAGACATCTCCCCGCACGCAGGGTGCAGTTGCACCTCCACAGATCTCCAGTATCAGCTCTTGATACTGGTAATGGCTCCAAAGGGCCACCACTTACGGGCTATTCATGCCCGTGCCACCTTTTAGGTGGCTTAATGTTCATCAATCAATCTCCTAATACATGGTGACGTGAACTGTGTACGATGGACTGGGTAATGAAGGAGTCCCATGGTGGAGATACACTGAAAGCTAAATTTAAGAGATTTCTTGGTACAGCACTGAGCGAAGCTAACACAGGGAAGGTGTCCTAGTGCCCAAATCAGGTGACGAATAAGTCAGAGACAGTCAACAGTATGGACAAGCAGAGCGGGAGGTAAACACACACACACACACACACGGCTCACTTGTGTCGTAGACCAGCTGGGTGGTGGAGTTGGTGGGCAAGTGTGTGTGGCGCGTGTAGTTAGCGATGGTCACCCGGGTGGTGCAGTGGAAGCTGGTGCCGCGGGGGGCGTCCCTTACCTGGCCGGCCGTTAATGGTGGGAGAGAGAGAGAGAGAAAAAATCTAGGAATCATTCCTGATTAATTGTATATATATATAAAGATGTAAACGTCGTAGTAAATCAAGGGGTTAATTTCATAAAAGTGAAATCTTATGCACTGTGATTAATTACTTTCTAGTTGTGTTAGAAGCCATCTTTGTTAGTTGGTCAACTGGTAGCTGTGTTGGATCATGTTGTCGGGTTGTTATTAATATACCAGTGTGTGTGTGTGTGTGTGTGTCTCTCCTCACCTCTATGGGCGTGTCCTGGACGAAGACATGCCAGACGAAGTTGAGGTCCTGGTGGAAGACCAGACCTCCCCGCACCTCCTTGACCAGCACCCCGGAGGAGGTGTCCCAGAAGCCACACTGCACCTCAGGCTTCGGGTACATGCGCGGGGTACTGTAGCTCCAGTACACGGTGCACCTCTCCACCCTCGCGGATAGGCTGTACTCCTCCTGGAAAAAGGCTGGAAGACAGAGGTGAATTTCGTATTCCAAGATGATTAAGGTATGTGGACATCGTTTTGTCCTCGTAGGGGAAGACGAGGGAGTAATGTGTTACATGGTGTGGGTGATGTATTACATGGTGTGGGTGATGTGTTACATGGTGTGGGTGATGTGTTACATGGTGTGGGTGATGTGTTACATGGTGTGGGTGGTGTGTTACATGGTGTGGGTGGTGTGTTACATGGTGTGGGTGATGTGTTACATGGTGTGGGTGATGTGTTACATGGTGTGGGTGGTGTGGGTGGTGTGTTACATGGTGTGGGTGATGTGTTACATGGTGTGGGTGATGTGTTACATGGTGTGGGTGATGTGTTACATGGTGTGGGTGGTGTTTTACATGGTGTGGGTGGTGTGTTACATGGTGTGGATGGTGTGGGTGATGTGTTACATGGTGTGGGTGGTGTGTTACATGGTGTGGGTGGTGTGTTACATGGTGTGGGTGATGTGTTACATGGTGTGGGTGATGTGTTACATGGTGTGGGTGATGTGTTACATGGTGTGGGTGGTGTGTTACATGGTGTGGGTGGTGTGTTACATGGTGTGGATGGTGTGGGTGATGTGTTACATGGTGTGGGTGGTGTGTTACATGGTGTGGGTGGTGTGTTACATGGTGTGGGTGATGTGTTACATGGTGTGGGTGGTGTGTTACATGGTGTGGGTGGTGTGTTACATGGTGTGGGTGATGTGTTACATGGTGTGGGTGATGTGTTACATGGTGTGGGTGGTGTGTTACATGGTGTGGGTGATGTGTTACATGGTGTGGGTGATGTGTTACATGGTGTGGGTGATGTGTTACATGGTGTGGGTGGTGTGTTACATGGTGTGGGTGATGTGTTACATGGTGTGGGTGATGTGTTACATGGTGTGGGTGGTGTGTTACATGGTGTGGGTGGTGTGTTACATGGTGTGGGTGATGTGTTACATGGTGTGGGTGATGTGTTACATGGTGTGGGTGATGTGTTACATGGTGTGGGTGATGTGTTACATGGTGTGGGTGGTGTGTTACATGGTGTGGGTGATGTGTTACATGGTGTGGGTGATGTGTTACATGGTGTGGGTGGTGTGTTACATGGTGTGGGTGGTGTGTTACATGGTGTGGGTGGTGTGTTACATGGTGTGGGTGATGTGTTACATGGTGTGGGTGATGTGTTACATGGTGTGGGTGGTGTGTTACATGGTGTGGGTGATGTGTTACATGGTGTGGGTGATGTGTTACATGGTGTGGGTGATGTGTTACATGGTGTGGGTGATGTGTTACACACACCCCAGGCGAGGACATGAGAAGGAGCCAGAAGTGCCTCCACCAGCCAGCCTAGTCCTCTGGGTATTTAAACACTTTCAGAATAGAGATTTTTTACCCTACCACAGACGTGGCCACACATTTACAATGCTAACCAATATTTATAAATTTTTCTTTTGTCCTCCATGGACAGGGTTAGAGATCTGTTGAACATATAGTTCAGTGATTTATTGAACAATCAACCACAGAAGGTGATTGTAGTGCTTTTAAAATGCGAATTGACAATAAACCCGGATCAGACATGCTTTCAAGGACTCCCAAACCTATATTCTGTAACTTTTTTTTAATTTATATTTTAATATATGATAATTAATATGCTCTAGTGAACAGTACTGCTGCCTAGCTAGCGGTACTTTTATAGCAACTTTGGACGAAAATGTACAACCTTTACCGTGAAGTTCTTCAAAATGTATCGATCATTTATGTTTAAACAAAAATAATTATAACCTAGCAACTGCCGATACTTTTTGTCATCCTACAAGTGTAAACCACCCTATTGGTCATTAGGTAAACTCCCTGTCAATCACAGCCATTTAATGTCAGTTAACCTCAGCTATCTTATAAGCCTTCGCTATCACTTTGCCTCTTGTTTAGTCTTGATAAAGTATACTTCAGGTATTCACAGTAAGAATTTATACACAAAAACAATCCGTTTGAGAATAACGTTAAGGTCCCGAATTATCTTCGCAGGACACGGTGAGAGCCGTTTTGACTAATCATGTTTGTGTGTTTATCACGATAAAATTAGGAGAAAACTAATTAGTTGTTTGATGATTAATATTCTTCTATTGTAAATTCTTGTCGGATGGATGGTGTTTGAGACATTTTCATAGCTGGCTCACATTCATAATGGCTGGCAGACCAATTACATTTTTTGTTTAAATTATTACATTCACAGACTTCTCATTTTGACCAGACACACCTGATATTCTTGAGAGATATAAGAATTTTGCACCAAGACTGTAATATTTTGTTGAATTATCTGCATGTCTCTTGCAAATTAATACAGTATAACTAGGTCATAAAAGTATTTGTGTGTACGTCTGATACCATACTACTTGTGTAAAGGAGGAAATGTATATGTTTAATACTCAGAATGTTTGGTAACATGTTTATTGTTTGTGATGTGTGTCTATGTATGTACTAACACGTTGTACTGAACGGGGTGAGAATAGCTTGAGCTACCTCATCCCTTTGTGTGTATTTTACCTCAATAAACTTATTTCAATTTCAATTTCAATTTCACCCAGAGGGTATACTCAGTCACCACTCTACACCCAGAAACAGTACTCAGCCACACCCTACACCCAGAAACAGTACTCAGCCAACACTCTACACCCAGAAACAGTACTCAGCCACACCCTACACCCAGAAACAGTACTCAGCCACACCCTACACCCAGAAACAGTACTCAGCCACCACCCTACACCCAGAAGCAGTACTCAGTCACCACTCTACACCCAGAAGCAGTACTCAGCCACACCCTACACCCAGAAGCAGTACTCAGCCACACCCTACACCCAGAAACAGTACTCAGCCACACCCTACACCCAGAAACAGTACTCAGCCACACCCTACACCCAGAAACAGTACTCAGCCAACACTCTACACCCAGAAACAGTACTCAGCCACACCCTACACCCAGAAACAGTACTCAGCCACACCCTACACCCAGAAACAGTACTCAGCCACACCCTACACCCAGAAACAGTACTCAGCCACACCCTACACCCAGAAACAGTACTCAGCCACCACTCTACACCCAGAAGCAGTACTCAGTCACCACTCTACACCCAGAAGCAGTACTCAGCCACACCCTACACCCAGAAACAGTACTCAGCCACACCCTACACCCAGAAACAGTACTCAGCCACACTCTACACCCAGAAGCAGTACTCAGCTACCACTCTACACCCAGAAGCAGTACTCAGCCACACCCTACACCCAGAAGCAGTACTCAGCTTCCACTCTACACCCAGAAGCAGTACTCAGCCACCATTCTACACCCAGAAACAGTACTCAGCCACACCCTACACCCAGAAGCAGTACTCAGCCACGTACTCAGCCACCACTCTACACCCAGAAGAAGTACTCAGCCACCACTCTACACCCAGAAGCAGTACTCAGCAGTACTCACCGTACATCTGAAGGCTGTACTGGTCGCTGACGGGGTTGACGACCAGGTCGGTAGCCGTGTGATAGACGCTGCAGGTGTAGAGGCCGTGCATGGAGACATCAGGGGAGGTGAACTGTATATCCGGGCCCACCTCCACGCCCTCGCCCGGGGTCCTCACGTGCTCCTTCAGCGGGAACATGACTGTCATTGAAGGCAACGGAGAGTGTTCACTGTGAGAGTCCTGGCTCACATGAAGGCTCCTTGGCTTATTGTAGGACAACCGACCAGTTAATAGTCACCCTTATGTTGCCTGCACAACCCTTGACGTGCCTGTACAATCCTTGACGTGCCTGTACAACCCTTGACGTGCCTGTACAATCCTTGACGTGCCTGTACAACCCTTGACGTGCCTGTACAACCCTTGACGTGCCTGTACAACCCTTGACGTGCCTGCACAACCCTTGACGTGCCTGCACAACCCTTGACGTGCCTGTACAACCCTTGACGTGCCTGTACAATCCTTGACGTGCCTGTACAACCCTTGACGTGCCTGTACAACCCTTGACGTGCCTGCACAACCCTTGACGTGCCTGTACAACCCTTGACGTGCTTGTACAACCCTTGACGTGCCTGTACAACCCTTGACGTGCCTGTACAACCCTTGACGTGCCTGTACAACCCTTGACGTGCCTGCACAACCCTTGACGTGCCTGTACAATCCTTGACGTGCCTGTACAACCCTTGACGTGCCTGTACAATCCTTGACGTGCCTGTACAACCCTTGACGTGCCTGTACAACCCTTGACGTGCCTGTACAACCCTTGACGTGCCTGTACAACCCTTGACGTGCCTGTACAATCCTTGACGTGCCTTTACAATCCTTGACGTGCCTGTACAATCCTTGACGTGCTTGTACAATCCTTGACGTGCCTGTACAACCCTTGACGTGCCAGTACAATCCTTGACATGCCTGTACAACCCTTGACGTGCCTGTACAACCCTTGACGTACCTGTACAATCCTTGACGTGCCTGTACAACCCTTGACGTGCCTGTACAATCCTTGACGTGCCTGTACAATCCTTGACGTACCTGTACAACCCTTGACGTGCTTGTACAACCCTTGACGTGCCTGTACAACCCTTGACGTGCCTGTACAACCCTTGACGTGCCTGTACAACCCTTGACGTGCCTGTACAACCCTTGACGTGCTTGTACAATCCTTGACGTGCCTGTACAACCCTTGACGTGCCTGTACAATCCTTGACGTGCCTGTACAACCCTTGACGTGCCTGTACAATCCTTGACGTGCCTGTCTGCATAAGCTTTGACATGTTTGTGCAACCCTCTACATGTCTGTACAACTCTTGACATGTCTGTGCAACTCTTAACATGTCTGTATCTCCCTTACCAGTATAATCTTTGAGCGACCCCTCTTTCACATGTATAACCAATAGGTAACCTCCCCTGCCTTGCCTAGACAACAGCTGCCTCTCCTGTGTCAGAATTCTTGCCTGGACTCTCCAACCCTCTGAATCACTTCTGATCGACCTATGCAACCCCTCCGCACACCCGAATACCTCCCCCTACCCTCACCCTTTCTCACATGTGCAATCCAAATCTCTCGTGAACAACAGAAGCTTCGCCTGTACAAGTCACCTCGTCCCAACCAGTACGTTGCTTGCCTCACCTGCAACGGAGCGGGTGGCAGGTACCCAGGTGTACACGACGCCCCACTTGTCGAGAGACCAGGTGACGTTGACGATGGCCGAGAGGTCGCCCTCAATGTGACACTCCAGTTGGTAGTTCAAGTCCTCAGATCCCAGGTTCATGTACTGCTGCTGCTGTCCGGCCTTCGTCAGGTAGATCCCCTTCACCTGTACCCTCCCCAGAGTACCTGTCGGAGGAGGAGATGAGTTAGACGGTGTCTGAGGAGAACGGGAGGTGTAGGAGAAACTGGTGGATTAAATGTGGACAGGAGACAGGGAGGGTTGGTGGTTGGATGAGGCGGACAGAAGTAGGGGGGGAAGATATTACAGACAGACAGAGAATGATATTAGTGAATATTAGTACTGTATCAGATCTCTAGTTTTTAGTTATGTGGGACTCGGTTCTCAGCCTACCACATGCTCGAGCTGTTTAGCTCCAGCGCCGCCATTGTGACTAGTCTCTGGACTCTTTCAATTCTTCTTCTTTATTAGATGATTTCCATACTGGTGTTGCATGTTCAGGAACTGGTCTCACGCGAGTGAAAGTTTTCTGAATTCTTCGTGTTCCATGTTCCTTAAATGCAGTTATTTTATTTACTAGCTTTCTGTGTGCCGCTGACAATATCCTGTTCAGATGTACTTTTGTTGATAGATTTGCTGTGGTGTCAACTCTTATTTTTTTAAATGTCTGTATTGAGTTGTCTTTTTCATGTTATTCTGTTCCTTGGGTCACCTTTTCCCCAGTATCTATCTTTATTTCCTTATATTGCTTCAGGTAAATTCAAGTGGCCATCTTATTTAACGTTATTGTAATTTGCTGTTTTTATTGTGGTAATATGAAGAATGATATCACAATAAAATATGTTTGCCTTTCCATTGGAGACTTTCAGCGCCGTAGAGAGGGGGGACCTGCTGCCTGGGTAACAGCTTCTTCCCCGAATCAACCTACCCAGGCTTTGCGCCCTGGTGAGGCCACTCCAGACCAGGCCGACACCAGAGCGCAACTCCATAGTCTTCTGAGACTGATGGATGCCTACTACAACTACTACTATGAAGAATGATATTTAAAATTACATATGAGGGCTATGCATGAGGTGTCCCTTTTTTACATGAATATATTTCCACACATAATTTGAAGACTGGGAACGGTGTCAACACACAACCTCGTACTGCAGGGAAGGGAATTGTCAGGAGAAAGTGCCAGGCCATTACGACGATATAACAGTGGGAAGGGATCAGGATAAGGATTTGGGATGGGACGGGAGGAAGGAATGGTGCCCAACCACTTGGACGTTCGGGGATTGAACGTCGACCTGCACGAAGCGAGACCGTTGCTCTACCGTCCAGCCTAAGTAGTTGGTACCTCGTCCAGGAACGTAGTCCAGCCTTCCACCACTCTGCTCTTAAACTACAACTTCCCTTATCCTTTCTATGCCTTTTATTCTCTAGGCTACAGTTATAACTTCTAATTCTGTTAATTTATTGCTATAAAACAACTTTTTTTTTATCTGTTTTCTCGTGTGTCTTTTTGTATAACTTGTATGTGACTATCATCTCCTTTTTTTCTATTATCGCCCAATTTGTGCGTGTCCAGAACCGTTAACAAATGTCCAGAACTGCTTCAGAAATTTGAAGAAATTCAGAACTTGAAGAAATTTCACTTTAGCGTCTCGGAACTTTCAGGTGAGAAAGTATTGGTAATAATTACCCACCAATCTTTTTATTTACCTAAATTCCCTTGAATTTTGTTTATATACGCAGGCGATGAGTCACAATAACGTGGCTGAAGTATGTTGACCAGACCACACACTAGAAATTGAAGGGACGACGACGTTTCGGTCCGTCCTGGACCATCGACTTGAGAATGGTCCAGGACGGACCGAAACGTCGTCGTCCCTTCAATTTCTAGTGTGTGGTCTGGTCAACTTTGTTTATATACATTTAGGTTCTGGTGGAGTTAAGTTCCACTCTTCCCTATTCCCCACTACGGAGCATTAGTCAACACCGAGTCACTTCTTGCTTCAGCAGTGCACAATAGAAAGTTGTTTTCACATATCCATACATTAAAACATTGATTGTAACCATGATATATATGTGCTTCAGCCTACAGTTTAGACCTATTGTCTTATGTATGACCCTCTGTCCTGCGTGACAGTGAATACCAGCATTTTCCTCACTTTAATAAGACTTTATTAAAATCCTCAGATTAGGCAAAATTGTAATTAATTTTGTCAATAAAGATGTTAATAATAATAAGTCGTCACTAAGCTCGTCCAGGTGCAACTGAAGGAGAGAGGCTCATGTGATAGAGATTATTTTTAACAAAACATGTGACACACGCTTATTGTCCTGGGACTAGAGTATTTAAAGTTGGGTCATCAATGTTTTGAGTTACATGTTATTAACATTAGAACACCGGGCTGTGCCATGTGTTACGTGCTATACACATTAGAACACCGGGTTGTGCCATGTGTTACGTGCTATACACATTAGAACACCGGGTTGTGCCATGTGTTACGTGCTATACACATTAGAACACCGGGTTGTGCCATGTGTTATGTGCTATACACATTAGAACACCAGGTTGTGCCATGTGTTATGTGCTATACACATTAGAACACCGGGTTGTGCCATGTGTTATGTGCTATACACATTAGAACACCGGGTTGTGCCATGTGTTACGTGCTATAAACATTAGAACACCGGGTTGTGCCATGTGTTACGTGCTATAAACATTAGAACACCGGGTTGTGCCATGTGTTATGTGCTATAAACATTAGAACATCGGGTTGTGCCATGTGTTATGTGCTATAAACATTAGAACACCGGGTTGTGCCATGTGTTACGTGCTATAAACATTAGAACACCGGGTTGTGCCATGTGTTACGTGCTATAAACATTAGAACACCGGGTTGTGCCATGTGTTACGTGCTATAAACATTAGAACACCGGGTTGTGCCATGTGTTACGTGCTATAAACATTAGAACACCGGGTTGTGCCTTACATTGCGTAAACAAACCGAGCACCAACAAGAACAGTAGAGGAAGCTCCGCCATCTGAAGACTCACTGATACTGTCTGGTACCCCATAACTCACCTCGCCTATCTTAGCTTATCAGTCAATTGTAATCTGATAAAAATATCAGTCACTTGTTAAGGCAGGAGCTAACGCGCAGATCACGCAACTTCAGACAGAAGCTAACGCGCTGGTCACACAACTTTAGACAGAAGCTAACGCGCTGGTCTCACAACTTCAGACAGGAGCTAACGCTCAGGTCACACAACTTCAGACATGAAGTAATGTGCAGGTGAAACGAATCTTTGACTACAAGGAAAAGAAGGTGATTATTCAACTGTATAAATCTCTGGAGTGCCCCTCTTGCATTATTCCATCCAAGAATGGAGACTAGCTCATCTACAGAAAGACATATCTGCTTTGGAGAAAGTTAAACACCGGGCAACAAAAATAATTTTAGAACTAAGTCGACTCTCATACCAGGAACGGTTTAACGCAAGTGCACTAAAGCTAGGTGGAGGAACAAGAGGCTATAGACACAGGGTATTGAATGGGAGACGAAAAAACGGACAGAGAAGGACCTAGTAGTTCATGTCACACCGAACCTGTCTCCTGAAGCCCACATAAAAAGGATATCATCAGCAGCGTATGCAAAGCAGGCTAACATCAGAACTACCTTCAGAAATTTGTGTAAGGGCTTGTATACCTCGTATACAACAAATGTTAGACCAATCCTGGAATATGCGGCACCAACATGGAGTCCATACCTTTTCAAGCATAAGACGAAGTTGGAGAAGGTTCATAGGCATGCCACTAGACTAGTGCCAGAACTACGAGGTATGAATTGTGAGGAAAGGATGCATGAAGTGCTCCTTACGTCGCTGGTAGACGGAAGAGTTAAGGGATATCTAAGTACTATTTACAAAATTCTCAGGAAAATTGACAAGGTAGATAAAGACAGATTATTTAACACGGATGGTACTCGCACAGGGCGTCACAAGTGATAACTGAGTACCCAAATGAGGCACAGAGACATTAGAAAGAATTTTTTCATTGTCAGGTAATCAAGAAATTTATCTGAATTTACTTGCATTAGGAATGAAATGAAATGCATTAGGAATTGATGTGGTGGTGGGAGGGCGGGAATTACCAAGGGAAAGTACCAAGCCATTACGACTATATAGCACTTGGAAGGGGTCACGATAAGGATTTGTGATGGGACGGGGGAAGGAATGGTGCCCACCCACTTGGATGGTCGGGGATTGAATGTCGATCTGCATGCAGCGAGACCGTTGCTCTACTGTCCAGCCCAAGTGATTGGGCAATTGGGAATTTATGTGGTGGAGACAGACTCCATATACAGATTAGTACCAACAACAACATCTTCCCATACTGCCAGTGGTGTCCGACCCAGGAGGATACAGTGGAACACCTTCACTGCCCACGCTTTCATAGCGCTCGCGTCAGACTAGAGTCCGATTCGTAGTTTACTTTAGTTCATCTATTGTGCACCCCATACCCATCTTGTGGGCGGTAGTGGAAAGGGTTACAGAGGCACATAATGGGCTCAGGGACTGAACCCCACAATTTATTTAGCTAAGCAAATTACAATCTTGATGAGTTAGTTACAAAATTCTATAGACATCGTCACATCATCATTGGGTTCGAGATCGACCACAAGTACAGTTTCTAGATTAAGCAACTGCTAGTGTCATAATTTATATGTTTGTCCTGTACACCGGCCCCCATCCAGTGGGGCAGCGGTGGATAAGTTACAAGCTGAAGATTCTGTCCCTTTGAGATGTATTTTTTTCTTGTCTCGATAAACATACTTGAATTTGAATCCCCGCCTCATGGTTCCCGTTCTCCTTGATAGGGCAGGTGCGACAGACAAAGACGTCCGTTATGACATCCTTCGTCATACCTTCCGCTTCATTCGTCATGTCCGTGGCCTGAAGAGACTGTAGGGTCCGTGGCCTGAATAAACTATACTGTCTGTGGCCTGAAACGACTGTAGGAATGCCATCCCTCTTTGCTATTCCCCGGTATCAGGCAGCAGCCGGAGCGCATCCGATCCCTCGACCCTTCAACTAACAACAACAACATCCTGTGGAACTTTTTATTCCGAGTAGCTGAATCTAAAACAACAACAACCTGTGAGTCAGTCAAGCTTAGAGTGTCGTCGCCCTGAAATTAACAACAACAGCACTCTTAGAAAGTCTTGCACTTAAATCAAGAAGAAGTCAGGCTTTATAGAGTAATGTGGGGCACCCAAGCAAACCTTAAACTCAAGAACACTGGCACCAAGAGCCAAGCCTGAGTATGTCAAGTGGGACCTCTTGTGAGATAAAGGTATACCCTTCTTTCTAATGAAGATGAAAATTATACCCGTTTGTTCTGCTACATCCCTTAAATAATGGGCAGTAGATTTACTGCCCATCATTTTCTTTATCCATGAATCTATTATACTACAGTCATGTTATAGATTTGGCTAGCAGGAAGCAGTTACAAACTTATACATATTTCTGGGTCAGTTCCAGTCACTATATACTGTATATATACATCCACCTAGGTATGTATGTATGTACAGGTTGTGCAGTCAACTCATGTGCAAGCATTTCAACATTTCTGTTAAAACAGTATACAGTATAGTATATCATTAGGTTAACTTACATTCGTTGTAATGTGTGCTCTTGTCAATTAAGGCATCATATCTCAGTAATACCAGTTAGTGACTCTTCATGAAATCAACTATAGTGAACATTATGACACTCACCTCAAGCCCTGTGTGAGCTCTGCCTGGAGCTTAGGGCAAAGGTCGATAAGGTTGATCTTTTTCACAGAAGCCATAAATGCAAAAACTGTTAAATTTTAAAATCCAGCTGGAAAAATTCATCAGGTCAAATCTTTGGTAAGCCATTGGCTTCCTGTCCTTGTCGAGGCCACTAGAGTGTTAGTGGCCCCCAGGTAAATTTAAGTAAATAAAGTTGAGTCTCTTGCTAAGCTCACAGTAAGTTAAGAATCTTAGACATAATCTTGATTTATTAAATAGAACTCTTAAATGATTTTGAAGAAAGTAGAATTGTGTCAAACAAAACACTTACATGGGGCTACTAACAAAATTAGTATATCTACCGACAGATGTTTTCACATCTTGAATTCAACTTGGCTATATTTACTGTATCTCTGGAAGCTCAACTTGTATTTGCATTTACATTATATAAAATGCATGGGGGTGTGCAAAGTGAACCATTAGAGAATGCTCTCTAATTTTTCAATGTGGTTTTTCCCACATACTTGGATCAGTGTTTTTGTGATTGTTGTTGCATACATACATGCATACATATATATATATTTATAATATATATATAATATATATATATATATATATATATATATAAAAGGCAGCTGCAAGAACAGTTAGTGATGCAGCGGCCAACATGCTGAAGCCAAAACAGCTCGGGTTTGGCATTCCACAAGGGTGTGAGGCGGCAGCCCATGCAGCTCGAGCCTTCATCGCCAACATCACAGACGAAAAGGCCCTTATCAAGCTAGATTTCAAAAATGCCTTCAATTTGGTGCGGAGGGATGCTGTACTCCGTGCGGTTCATAGTCATTTCCCTTCCCTCTACCCTTTTGTACATTCATGCTACAGTATGGATCTTAAGCTACTTTTTGGCGAACATGAAATTGACTCGCGAGAAGGCGTCCAACAGGGTGACCCCCTCGCTCCTCTCCTTTTCTGCTTAGTCATCAAACAAGTCACAGAGGTCCTGTCCAGCGAGCTTAACATCTGGTTCTTGGATGATGGTACCCTAGCTGGTTCCCAAGACTCCCTCCTGGAGGACATCAGAAAAATCCAGGAGCAAGGTGCAGTTTTAGGCCTCACCCTGAACCCTTCTAAATGTGAAATAATATGTTCCAACCAGGGCATCGTAGAGAGAATAGAGGGTCTTCTGCCAAATATCCATAAAACTAAACCTGAAGACAGCACACTCCTAGGAGCTCCCCTGGGGTTGAAAGCCATCGATGAGGTCCTTGATAAGAAAATCGCCGACCTTAAGAGGATGGATGGGAGGATTGAGGATATTGATGCTCATGATGCATTCTACCTCATCACCAGATGTCTGTCCCTCCCCAGGTTAACCTACTTTCTGAGGTGTTCACCATCTTACAGTAGCCAAAAACTAAGTGAGTATGACCGGTTACTGAAATCAATGCTAGAAAAAGCCCTTAACCTCTCTCTCGATGACCTACAGTGGAAACAAGCCTCTCTTCCCGTAAGACTTGGGGGCCTCGGAGTTCGAACAGCAACGCAAATCGCTGTTCCAGCCTTCCTGTCCTCCTTATCAGCATCCGACGACCTTGTGAAGGAAATTCTACCTGCCCACTTACATCAGCTGGCAGGTGTACATGATCCCAATTTTACACGCTGTGCCACAGAGTGGGCCTCTCGTGCAGGCCAATCACCTCAACCACCATCCCCAAAATCCCACAAGCAATCCAGCTGGGATGGTCCCATTGTAGACCAAGTTGCTGCAGAGTGCCTGGGTGCTGCAACAACACAACACGACATTGCTCGCCTCACAGCAGTAGCAGCACCACATGCAGGGGATTTCCTGTTAGCAACCCCAATGTCGGCAACTGGCACGCGTCTCACACCACACGCCCTCCGAATTGCTGTGGCCCTCCGCCTTGCTGCCCCAATCCACACCAGATATAGGTGTATTTGCGGCGAGGTGGTGGCTGACAGGTACGGTCACCATGGCCTACTCTGCCAAAGCACAGGGGGATGGCACTCGAGGCACAGTGAAGTTAACGACATCATCAAGAGGAGCCTCACTACAGCTGGATGCCCAGCTGAAAGAGAGCCCCGTTACCTAACGCCCCGTAACTCTGATGCTCTTATTGGTCGCCCGGATGGTATCACAGTGAACCCCTGGAAGAATGGCAAGCAGTTGGTATGGGACTACACGTGCGTATCAACCCTGGCTAACACCTACATTAACCTCAGTGTTGCACAACCAGGTGGCGCTGCCACCCACAGGGAAGCAGCCAAATCCCGTAAGTATAGAGAACTGGATCACCACTACAATTTTGTCCCCATTGCTTCTGAGACGCTCGGCGCCTGGGGTAAAAGTGCTACCAGTTTTTTGAAGGAACTGGGTTCTAGGCTCATTGAAACAACAAGGGACCCGAGAGCTGCAAGCTTTCTTTTCCAGCGCCTCAGTGTGGCAATACAGAGGGGAAATGCGCACTGCATCCAGGGTTCCTGCCCGCCATCTGAGGAGCTGGAGGAACTCGACAACCTATGACAACCATCTTTGTAACCCATATGTAACTCCTTTTTTGTAACAAAGTTCAAATAAAGTAAATATATATGTGTACATACAAAAGAATGGGGGTGGTAGGAGAAGATAATATTAGTGTTCAGTGAGAGACCACAAGGTCTCCTCTGAATACTTTTTATTTTCTTCTCCGAGGCTATGGGTCCCCACATTGGCACCAGAGGTGGTACCCTCACAAACTTTTATATATATATATATATATATATATATATATATATATATATATATATATATATATATATATATATATATATATATATATATATATATATATATATATATATATATATATATATATATATATATATATATATATATATATATATATATATATATATATATATATATATATATATATATATATATATATATATATATATATATATATATATATATATATATATATATATATATATATTCAGTTTATATGAGTTTTCAGTTGTATATAGTCCTGGGGACCATTCAGGCTTGTTTGCATATATATATATATATATATATATATATATATATATATATATATATATATTGATGTATACTGGCAGCAGGTTTTTGTTTATACATATTTATAATTAGTCTAATACGTATATATATATATATATATATATATATATATATATATATATATATATATATGTCGTACCTAGTAGCCAGAACTCACTTCTCAGCCTACTATTCAAGGCCCGATTTGCCTAATAAGCCAAGTTTTCCTGAATTAATATATTTACTATAATTTTTTTCTTATGAATTGATAAAGCAACCCTTTTCTCTATGTATGAGGTCAATTTTTTTTTATTGGAGTTAAAATTAACGTAGATATATGACCGAACCTAACCAACCCTACCTAACCTAACCTAACCTATATTTATAGGTAAGGTTAGGTTAGGTAGCCAAAAAAAGCTAGGTTAGGTTAGGTTAGGTAGGTTAGGTAGATGAAAAAACATTAATTCATGAAAACTTGGCTTATTAGGCAAATCGGGCCTTGAATAGTAGGCTGAGAAGTGCGTTCTGGCTATTAGGTACGACATATATATATATATATATATATATATATATATATATATATATATATATATATATATATATATATATATATATATATATGCGAACAAGCCTGAATGGTCCCCAGGACAATATGCAACTGAAAACTCACACCCCAGAAGTGACTCGAACCCATACTCCCAGAAGCAACGCAACTGGTATGTACAAGACGCCTTAATCCACTTGACCATCACGACCGGACATAATGAGGTGATATATATACTATATATATTTATATATATATATAGTATATATACCTGGTTGATAGGGTTCTGGGAGTTCTTCTACTCCCCAAGGCTGGCCCGTGTAGTAAATGTAATAAGGAATTACGAAACGCGTTCAGGAGTCAGACAACAAATAAAAAAGAATTTTGGAGAATTGATATTTCAATTACCATCTACAGTGAAGAAAAACATAAGAAATATTGAGAAAATTTGTGTTAGAATTATTAATCTTACCTTTTCGGTCATATTCAACAACATATAGTGTGTGTGTGTGTGTGTGTAAGTAATTACCTAAGTGTAATTACCTAAGTGTAGTTACAGGATGAGAGCTACGCTCGTGGTGTCCCGTCTTCCCAGCACTCTTTGTCATATAACGCTTTGAAACTACTGACGGTCTTGGCCTCCACCACCTTCTCACTTAACTTGTTCCAACCGTCTACCACTCTATTTGCGAAGGTGAATTTTCTTATATTTCTTCGGCATCTGTGTTTAGCTAGTTTAAATCTATGACCTCTTGTTCTTGAAGTTCCAGGTCTCAGGAAATCTTCCCTGTCGATTTTATCAATTCCTGTTACTATTTTGTATGTAGTGATCATATCACCTCTTTTTCTTCTGTCTTCTAGTTTTGGCATATTTAATGCTTCTAACCTCTCCTCGTAGCTCTTGTCCTTCATTTCTGGGAGCCACTTAGTAGCATGTCTTTGCACCTTTTCCAGTTTGTTGATGTGCTTCTTAAGATATGGGCACCACACAACCGCTGCATATTCTAGCTTTGGCCTAACAAAAGTTGTGAACAATTTCTTTAGTATATCGCCATCCATGTATTTAAAAGCAATTCTGAAGTTAGAAAGCGTGGCATAGGCTCCTCGCACAATATTCTTTTTGTGGTCCTCAGGTGATAGTTTTCTATCTAGAACCACCCCTAGATCTCTTTCTTTATCAGAATTCTTTAAAGATTTCTCACATAATATATAGGTTGTGTGGAGTCTGTGTTCTCCTATTCCACATTCCATAACATGGCATTTATTAACATTAAATTCCATTTGCCAAGTGGTGCTCCATATACTTATTTTGTCCAGGTCATCTTGAAGGGCATGACAATCATCTAAGTTTCTTATCCTTCCTGTTGTCTTAGCATCATCAGCAAACATGTTCATATAATTCTGTATACCAACTGGTAGATCATTTATGTAGACAATAAACATCACTGGTGCAAGAACTGAACCCTGTGGTACTCCACTTGTGACATTTCTCCAGTCCGATACATTGCCTCTGATCACAGCCCTCATTTTTCTATCAGTCAGAAAATTTTTCATCCATGTTAGAAGCGTACCTGTCACTCCTCCAATATTTTCCAGTTTCCAGAACAACCTCTTATGTGGAACTCTGTCAAAAGCCTTTTTTAGGTCCAGATAGATGCAGTCAACCCAACCATCTCTTTCCTGTAATATCTCTGTTGCTCGATCATAGAAACTGAGTAAATTCGATACACAGGATCTTCCAGATCGAAAACCATACTGTCTGTCTGATATTATATCATTTCTCTCCAGGTGTTCTACCCATTTAGATTTAATTATTTTTTCCAATATTTTGACTATTACACTTGTCAATGATACCGGTCTATAATTAAGGGGGTTTTCCCTGCTTCCACTTTTGTAGATTGAAACTATGTTAGCCTTTTTCCACACATCAGTTACAACTCCTGTAAACAGGGATGCCTGAAAAATCAGTTGAAGAGGAATGCTGAGCTCAGGTGCACATTCTCTCAGAACCCATGGTGAAACTCCATCTGGACCAACTGCTTTGTTCTTATTTAGCTCCTTGAGCATTTTTTCCACTTCGTCTCTAGACACCTCTATGTACTCTATGTTGTTCTCTGGAATTGTTATTGTATCTGGTTCCCTGAAGATTTCATTTTGTACAAACACACTTTGGAACTTTTTGTTTAATGTTTCACACATTTCCTTTTCATTTTCTGTGAATCTATTTCCCATTTTCAACCTCTGAATATTATCCTTTACCTGCAATTTGTTGTTTATGAATTTATAGAATAGACCTGGTTCTGTTTTACATTTGTCTGCAATCCCTTTTTCAAAATTTCTTTCTGCCTCTCTCCTCACTGCCGTGTAGCTGTTTCTCGCATCTTTGTATCGCTGGTATGTTTGGGGGTTTGGCCTCTTCCTGTATTGATTCCATTTTTGTGTCTTTTGATCTCTGGCCCTCTCGCACTTTCTGTTGAACCAATCCTGTTTCCTAGTTCTGCTTCTCTGTTTCATATTGCTTCTGTGTGTGTGTGTGTGGGGGGGGGGGGGACCTCAGGTTGGGACAAACCTGAATGGGGACCATTCAGGTTTGTATATTAATACAGCTTCAGAAGGAATGATTTACAAGTCAATAAGTTTGGACATATATAGGCAAGAGAGAGAAGTGAAGTGAGGTACAATGACAAATATATAAATGCGATTAGGTGGATATGAAATAAGAGCTGCATCATATGGGTCCATAAAATAAAAACTGTATCAAGAGGCCCATACATGGATAATAATAGCATAAGATAGTAGATATTAACAATGAATTAGTGAGACAAATGTGTATCGATGATCTTACTCAAATCACCCTTTAACCGATCAATCAAAAATGGATCTAAATTATATAAACCACTGTTAATGTTCAAATTACATGATTTAGTAATCTGTATTAATGCAGATTCAATTATGTTCCTATTGAAAGTGATTTTACAATTCGTTATTGAAGAAGCCATCTCCCAATCAATTTGGTGAGAATTTTCTGACAAATTAACAAAGCATTAGACAATTGGCCATGTCTTACAGAGTATGTAAGTGTAAGTAAGTGTTTGTATACTCTCTAAGACATGACCAATTCTAATGCTTTGTTCATGGTCCCCAAGTCAATATGCAACTGAAATTTTCAGTTGCATATTGGCTTGGGACCATTCAAGCTTGTTGGCATATGCATGCATGCATGCATGCATATATATATATATATATATATATATATATATATATATATATATATATATATATATATATATATATATATATATATATATATATATATATATATATATATATATATATATATATATATATATATATATATATATATATATATATATATATATATATATATATATATATATATATATATATATATATATATATATATATATATATATATATATATATATATATATATATATATATATTATATTTATTTATTTATTTATTTATTAATTATACTGTATTTAGAAATAAATATATTTATTTATAAATAATATATTTAAAATTTTAGCAACTTATCTAAAACAAGAAGATAAAATATATTTATTCTTTTTCAGGCAGGGAATAAAAAGCAAACCATAGGAGTAATTGTACTGTAAAGGATGGATATTTCGAACTCCACAAGAGGGGCAACCCCACATATGTCAATGCAAGTTGGTTTGCCGCTGAGTCGGATGCCCAGAGGTTTCTCACGTGATGACTTCAATTTCTCTAAACTGTATAAATGCATCCAGCAGGAAGGACAAAATACTATGTGTGATGTTTCACAAGCACTGTATTTATATTGTCATGTAAATTCCACTGGGGGCACAATATCATTGCGAGATTACTTCACGAAGGTATTGATGTGGAGTAACGAAAAACTGAAGAGAACATTTAACACGACAGATCAACCACTACTTGATTCAAACCCATTGACACAAAGCTTTGATATATCTTTTGCCTTCAAATTAATGAACCATGGATGCTCTAATATTTATAATGAGTTAAATGAAAGGTGTAAATATCATATGAGCTACCTCAAGACTATGAGGAATAAACTATGCCATAAATATGGGTGTCATAATTTAAATGTTGAGACTGAAATAGATAATCTCAAAATGGTCTTGAGAGAGATTTATGTACATGTTGGTGTAACTTTGGGAAGAGACTTCACAGAAAATATTGATGCAATGGAGAAAAATCTTAATGATGTCTGTGATGCTGAAATTCGTCAAGATGACATGGTATCATATGAGGAGGATATTGAAGAATTTAAAAGAAATAAATCAAACAAATTGATTATTAATGGTCGCAGTGAATTAGAAATACTCTACAAAAAGTTCAGAGTTCTCAATCCCTGTACTTGGATGCTTGATACCACAAAATCCTCAGTTAGTAAGTTTTTTGTTGATAAAATTTTCACACCACTTAAAATTGAAGACTCAAATAGGCCTACAGAAATTGAAATGGCAGAGCTACTGACAATAACAACACAGATTACTGACGAGGTGAAAATCCCTTGTGCATTGTTACTCCATGGTTTAGCTGGATGTGGCAAGACTTCCTTGTGTCAGTACATCTTAAATGACTGGTATAGGAAGACGGAGAAAATTCTGAATTTAAAGAACTTTGATTTGGTGTTTCTAGTTGAAGTGCGAACAGTGAAATCAAGACACCTAATGGAATATCTTTGTGAACAAAGAATCATCAAAACAAGTAAGGATTTTGATTCATCTGAAATCATACGATTACTACAGGATTTAGATGTACTTTTCATTATTGATGGGTTTGATGAAGCAAATGAGCTTTCAAAAGGGGTAGTGGAAGAGATTTTTGCAAAATTTCAAAATCACCGTATTGTGCTAACAACACGACCTGAATATCAACGCGATGCAATTTTGATGTCAAGAAAACATCATGTCGATTATCTTTCAGTTGAAATTTGTGGATTTGATGATCGCAGATTAGTGGAATTTACCAACAAAGTTTTCACAGTAGTTGAAGATAATAAAATACTCCGGAGACAGCAAATTGATGAGTTCTTGAAATACATAAATGGGCGTGGCAAGGTTTTGGGAAGCCACCTTAGACTTCCACTTACGCTAGCTTTATTAATTTATCTCTGGAAAGATAATCCACAAACTCTTAACAGAGTTACCACTGCCACAAGTCTGTATTGTGAATTATTCAACTTGTGTCAAAGAAAACTGGAAGAGCGTCTGGAAATTGTTTCTCAAGACAGAAGCACTGTGAAGGAGGTTTTACTGTTTCTTGGTGAACAAGCTTGGAACATGCTCAAGTCAGGAAATATTTGTATCACTAAAGAAATTATTAATATGATTAAACAAAAATGTGAAGAGAAGCAAATTGATGACACACAGTTTTTGTCTGCTTTTCTAATGTGTGAGATTGATGAGACTCATGAAGCTGCTGAGCATACTTATGCTTTTCTACACAAGACACAAATGGAATATCTTGCTGCTGAATTTTTGGCAAGTGATGTGATGAATGGGAAGTCTTTATGTCAAATTAGCAAAACAAGAACTGATTGGTATAAATACCAGGAGGTCATTGTATTTCTGACTGGCCACTTGGCGGTTAACCAGATACTGGAAAGAAATGTCAGTAAATTATTTTCCTTAATAGATAAGTCAGAAGTTGAAGGGAGTTTCAATTTTTGGTGGAAAATTTTCACAGAGGCGCTCGGTCTTACAGAGGTTGGAACTAAAATTGCTGAAGATAAACTGCCCTCGTTTACTTGGAAGTTAGATCACGTTCACGTTGTGGCAGGACTCAGTCTTTTAAGCAACACTATAGTGAAATTGGAAAATCTTACAATTGAAATGCCAAGTAATGTTGAACCTTACGAGATTCCAGAATTGTTAGATACAATGAGAAACATGAAAAACACATTGAAAGGGAAATATAACAAAAAAAATCCCATTCTAGTTGAATTGCATTTCTGGAGGCACAATGAATATAATTGTCCACAACCATCTGATGAATTCATTCGTACACTTTATCCATGGGGCCATCTCACAAATTTCACTGGTTCCCTTGGACATCAAAAGAAGAATGAGGAGGTCCTTGCTTATTGCTTTAAGCTGAAGAGTATTCGAGTCAGAGTTGAAACTACTCAAGCCCTCGGGTCTCTAAGTAACAGTTTATTAAAAATATATAAATCTATTAAGAAGCTGCGTATTACACTTGCAATGCCACCAAATTGTGATCCAAAATCATTAGCAAAGCTGCAGTTCAAAGGTGACTTGGAAGTGATAGTTCCTGACATAACAGATGAAAATAAAGAGTGGTTAGCATTGGCTATCAAACAAGTTGGCCTGTAAGTATTAAATTACTTTCTCTACTGTTGCATGATCCTGTACTGTACATGTCACATATTTTAAACTGATTAGATTTTCTTTCATTTACACATGCATTATTAGGTATGCAATCAGACAGTAGATGCCATATGGTTTGGCATTTCTAGGGGGAACCACTTGTGGCTCCCTGAAGCTATCCCACTGAGATGACTCCAAACTACTAGATCACATCAGCCATGGAATTGTGTTTGGCCTACTGGAGGTCAGTGCCAGAATCTGGCCCCCCTCATAGAGGCACAGAGAGCAGGTGGGGGCTCTGCCACCCTACCGAGAAAACATTCAGAAAGTCAGTGGACTAATACAAACCACTGCTGAATTCAAAGAGATCAAAGCCTCAAAACTGTCAAACACACTCCTCCAACATTGTAAAGAAATGATTGAATATTTCTAAGCAAGCGCAAGCTCATTAGCACTATTCCACCACCAGAGGGGAGGGGGGAAGGGGGTTAGCTGGAGCTCCCAGTCCCCTCCAGCCTTCCACATCAGTTCTTATGCTGATGTGGACATGTGTGGAGGTCCACTGTAGAGCTCCCAGGTCATTTGTGTACCATCCGAGTCACGCTGCTTCAAAGCTTGATGCCAGCCATATTTGGAGTTTTTGCTGCGGGGGTAATTTGCTTGCTATTTTTCCTTGTTTTAGTTCAGCTTCGTAAGTGTGTTTTTGTCCAGTTTATGCTGTATGGATCTGGCTTGTTTGGCATTTGGAGCTGCATGTGCTCAATGTTGCCTTCCCGGAGTGCTCAATGACACTGTCCCTGCCTGGCAGCTCTTTTCTCTGATGTGTTCTGGAGTTCACTCTGTTAGTGGTTGGACCACTGGGGGGGGGGGGGGGGGGGGGGGTCCCTTGCCTTGGGCATGTCAAGGGTTCTTTCTGATACTCCATCTAGGTCCTTGGTTGGTGTGAGCATTTGGCGGTTTTGGGCAAACTAGTGATTCGCTCACTTCTTCATATGACACGCCAAAGTTGACCTTCACAACAGTGTTGACTAGGCTATGTTGGTCAACTTTATATTATCTGGTAAGCATTCTATGTACCTGGGTGTCCTGCTTGGTTAGTTTTCCTGGCCCCTAACAGTTTCCTGCAGGTTTTGGTATGGTCTATAGGTATCCCCTCCACCCTGTGCAAGTTTGAGGGCTGTTCGTTGTCCATATCTCAGGGTGACGATCATTTTTCTACCTCCACCATGCAGCTGGGTTGGGTCGGTGATACCTACTATCCTGAGTCCTATGCGGTTTGCTCTCCCCATGTGGCTCTTCCTTTTGTCCCTCCTGGTGTGGTTCCAGCATGTCTTGCAGCTACTGCGTTGTGGGTTCTTTTCACACACCTTCAGCAGTTTCGATTGTATGCCCAGTTGGATGCCCTGGAGTTGGCTCATCTTGTTTTTAGTGATACAGAATTGGGGGTGTTGATGACTTTTGCCATGGTTTAGTCCTCACTTTCTCTTCCTTCTCCTTCAGGTGTCATCTGCCTGACTTCTGTTCTTGCCCCTTGCTTTCACCATTGAAGTATCTGAAGGTTTTGGGTCAAGGCAGGGAATGTGGCTCAGCCTTCTCTGGGGGCATCTCCTTTCACTTTGGGCACAGAGGAAGTTGAGCTGCCTAGTCTTGCTGAGGTTTCCGGGTTTTCTTCTTTCCAGCCAACAACGTCCTCCAAGGCCTCTCCTTTGGACTCCACTTTCCTATTCCGGGTGATGGGTGTGGACTCTGGCATTGCTCTGGAGTCTGTGTTCTTAGTTTCTAGCACTTGGGGGTAGTCTGATGGGTGCCCCTTGGGTTCTGTTGATCCCCACCTGGACCTTTGTTCCTTCTGCTGAGTCTTTTGCTTCACGGGAGGGGGTTTCTTGCCCCCGCCCTCTCCTTGTTGATTTTGTTCTTCTTGCAGCTTCCCCAAGGAATCATTTCTTCATGCCTTCCAGATGTGTCCTTCCAGAAGTTTCCTTCCTTTTGGGTGTTCCCCCCAACCCTTTAGTGACTCAGGCAGATCTTTTCAGTACCTCCTGTGAGACTCAGAGTTTTCCCTCTATGATGGACCTCTACCTCCTTTGAGTTTGGTTCTTCCTCACCATACTGGCTGCACTTTGAGGTCCCAGAGTCTTCCTATCTTCCTGGCCAGCAGACAATTTTTTTTTCATAAGGGCTTGGTGTGGCTTCTGTCATTCCCACACGTTTGAGTAGGGTGAGGTGTTGACTGTGTTTCAGATGTTTTTGGCCAGCTCCTCTTTTGAACCGCTCAATGACTGCCTGTTTTTGCTCTCGCTTTTTCCCAGGATATGGTATTGATGCAGCTTCATTCCCTGTTGGATTTGCTGTCACCAGCCCTCATGGCAGAGAACTTGTGGGCTTGCTCACATTTGGCTATGGGCATATGTTCTTCAGCATGGAATGTGGCGTTCCATGCTGACTGGCTCCTCGAAGATGTTGATGCACTTAGCTTAGGGTCGGGTGTTAGCATCTTTATTTCTGCCACAGTGGCATTAGCAGCTTTACCCAAGCTGTATGTGCCTATGCTCTGGGAGGCAGTGGCTGCATTCAACTCTGCCAATTTTGCATATCAATAGGCTGTGTTGGCCCTTTTATTAGATTCATCTTGGTCCTTGTCCTGAAGAGGATTCAGATTCCTCTGGGTTCCATGATGTGGCTTCATTCAGGCTGTTCTCCAGTGGTTCATTGTCTGCACTGGGCCAGGGGGAAGCTCCCTTCAGTCCATTGCTCCTTGGAGCTGGACATTGTGGGTAGCTCGTCTTCTAGCATCTCGGGGTTTGGTTCCCCATTCTGTTCACTTTCAGGGAATGTTCAATGCTCTAGTGGATGGTCCTGGTTCCTTCCCATCTCCATGGATGGGACAATTGATGCTGCCTCCTTCCTGTGGTTTTGTAAAACTTTTGGGCATCCCGACATGAATGTTTTTGCATCAGCTTGGGAATGACACCTTCATATTTCCGTCACTCTGTTCCTTAATAGCATTGCTCTTGTAGTGGATGCCTTTCAACTGGATTGGTCACAGTGGTGTTTTCTATACCTTATTTCTCTGGTCCAGCAGTTGCTCCTGGTCCTGGCCAAGTTGGAGTCCTACGAGGAAAAGGTGGTCATCCTGGCTTCTTGGTGGCTGGCTCGGCCTAAGTTTTGGTTGCTGCTTGCTCAGTATCTGAACCTAGGTGTTTTTTCCATAGGCTCTTCCACAAACTCTTTCTATAAAATTGGCCCAGGGATTTACAGTACTGTATTTCCTTATTTGGTTGTTTCTTGACCAGCATCTAATTTCAGATACTGTCACCTCTTATCGTGTGGTGCTGGTGGAGCCCTTGCTGCTCATGTTTGGTGTAAATACTTCCCTTGGGGCAGTTTTGGAAGTTGTTTCACACATTGCTTCACCTCCGGCTTGCTCATGCACCACCGATATCTTTTTGGTCCTTGGGCTGAATCCTCACTTATCTTTGTTCTCAATTTTCCAGTGTCCTCCTTGGTCCAGGATTCTTTTTCTACTGCATTTTTCTGTTGATGCTTTGGTGCTCACCTCTGGTTGTAGGGTCAAGGAACTTCCTACCCTTCTCTAGAGGCATGATTGTTGTTTTTTCTGTGGTGGGCATTTCGTTTATCTGCAACTGTCTCCTTTTTTTCCTGGTGACAGTAGAGTTGGCAGGCTTCTCCCTTGGTTATTGATGGATAATTGGTTTGGCCAGGGGTGTATCATGTACTATGCTAGTGGCAGCTTTGCACCACTACCATCATGCCACGTGTTTCTGCCTCAGTGGATGTTTTGTGGGTTAATCGAGTTTCTTGCCCTAGTGTTTTATTATTGTCTTGACTGCCTGAAGTTTCTCCTTCTCCTTGGTGTGTCCCTTCTTTCTTCTTCAGTTTCCTGTGGTTAGGTACCACAGAAAAGAGTTAAGGGCTCCCCTCAAAAAACCTAACATTGAAAGTAATGAAATGCTTCTTTCTAGAAGAGCCCTTGTAGCTCCCTGATTCACCCCTTCCCTCCAGATTTGTCAGTTCATCTTTGGGTTGTTCATCAACTCCAGGACTAACCAAGGAAGCTGGCTGAGGGCCACGTTGCCTGGTGGCTGTATTTGGTATTAATGAGTTTTAGTTAATTGGAGTGAATCACTTGTTCTGTTTGAATCATTGGCAGAGTTATTTTGCAGTTTTGAAACTTTATTTTCTGTGACTCCTACAATTGTCTGTAAAGTGTTTTTTGACTTTCTGGAGGATTTTTCCAATGGGACGGTGGATTGTTACTCGCACCCTGTGCCTCTGTGAGGGGGGCGCTTGGTTCCAGCTCTGGTCCCCGGTAAGCCAAACAGATTTTCCACAACTGATGTGGCCCTTTAGTATGCAATCTCAGCAAGATAACTTCAGGGACCAAGATAGCTTTGGTGCTCCTCCAGAAAGAGGCATTTCATTATATTCAACCCCTGAGTTTTTCTCTATGCTAGCTCGGTATCTTAACATGGATGAAAATGGATGAAAAACAGATATTTGTATGCTGGAAAATGAGTTTGGTGCTAGCACTGGTACTGATCCCAACAGGAGAGAGAGTTTGAGTGGCAAGGTTTTACACAAATTCTTGGGCTAAATGTCTATAAGTTGAATCAAGTAATTTGCAAGTACTGTACTATACAGTATTGTAGTTAGCCAGAATAAGAAAGATTTTGAATAAGGTTAATCAAAAACAATTTTATCATATATTTTTTGTTATTATATTAGAGAATCATTGTTTACTGTATGGCTAAATATGCACAAAAGTTTTTTTTTTTTTAAGAAAATTTGGAGATACTGTAGTCAAAATGCAAAAGTTATATATATCTATAATTTACCCTAATTTGGAACAAGTTTGGAATGAATGAATCCAGATTTTGAAGTTACACTGGTGGGAGTTATATGAAGCCTTAATACTGTATATGTATTAATGTAATTTTGTTGTGTATGCTTTGCTTTTAAATCATATTTTTCTTAAAATTTTCAGGGGATGTAAGAACATATCTCTGCCAGAAAGCCAATTGACATTCTCTGGAGTAATGTGGCTTTTGGATAATTTAAGGAACATAGGCTGTGGGAAAATTTCCATCAAGGCAATCAATGCATCTGATGAGGAAATGGACCGTTTGTTGAAACAGCAGACGGTCACATCCATAACAATCAATTGGCTCGATTAATCTCACACAACAAATATTTGATAGAAAATACATTTTTCAAATCTACAGCTACAGCTTGACTTTTAACATTTAATGCTTTCTACAATTTACTTACCTTTGCTCCTTTCCCTAAAGTTGGTAAGGGAGCAGGCAGCATCTGTGGCAAAAAAAGGCAAGTAAATATGCTAATAATTCTTTAAGCCAAAATAAAACCAACTGAAGCACAATTGTGGGATTTGTCTGGCACAACCCTTGATGTGTCTACTAATATCAGTGTGATTTTGCGATATGAAACCCATGAAAATGTGCAGCATTCAGTGAACTAAAAATTGTGAGTTCAACAAATGAACTCGGGTGTAAAATGCGTGTAAAAGTGTACACCTCGGGTGTAAAAGTTCACCAATTCCTTGACCAGGCTGGTTTACACAATAAATCTTTCAAGAATTTAGAATATAATGGTTTAAAATATAGAAAATCCAGCCAGTTATTTTAACGTTGACACTTTGTAGCATCTTATTGCCTGTTTTTTATTTTATCAATTCTTCTTCATGATGTTGAGTGTTTAAAGTACTGTATAGTGATGAACTGATTTCACTTTGAATATCTTCAATATCTTTACCTTCTTTTCTGGTATTACTCATCTGTTTTCACCTGTCATACATTTCTCACTCCATGAAAGGAAAAAAATGATTGATGATTTTGTAAACTAAAAGTTATAAAATGTATACATGTCCTCATACAGTACAAATTTGATACTAACACTTTTGGAAAACTAAGCAAAATTCAGGGAGCCATATATATTTTTAGTACTTGCTTATGATTAGACATGATTGCAGAAAATATATGTAGAATAAGCTAAACAGAATTTAGTTTCATATGCAGTTCTGTAATCTATTAAACCATAAGAAAATATGTCAGAATTTTATGGAGGGATTATCCCAAGTTGTATTAGGGCATGGTTATTTCATAGAACACAGAATTAGTATTAATGGAGTTTTCCCAATGGAAACTCCAAGTGGGGAAACTCCTGTAAGTGGAGTGCCCCAGAGGTCTGTCTTGGGGCCTCTATTGTTTACTATATACGTAATTTATTTTTATTCGGAACAGGAAGTCTGTGTTCCGATAACTTAAGCTTATATCAAGGTCCCCTCAAAGTCTAACTGCTGGCTCTCCCAAGGATGCAACCACATATCAGTTGCCTAATTCCTGGATACCTATTTACTGTATGTAAACAGAGGCATTAGAAGGCATGTAAACAGAGGCATTTACTGTATATAAATAGAGGCAAAGAAAGTATGCCCAACCATTTCTGTTTGACCCAGGGATTGAACCCATGGTCCTCAGTCACAAGTCAAGGACATAGACCACTGTGCTACAGGACATAACTGAATTCATTCATATATTCAGTATATACATTATATCTAACTTTTGTATGAAACTATCCAGTGATCCCACTTCTCTTATGCTATCTGATAATTTGCTCCATAAATCAAGCCTCTTTTCAAACAGCTATTTACCCAATTCTTATCTGAATCTAAACTTCTGCAATTTGAATCCCTTGTTCATATGTTTATATTTCTGTGGGGAGCCCCATCAGCTTCCTGAAGTTATCTGAACTGATATAGGGCTTTATTAGTTTGGGGATCATCAGTTACATGATTCCTTTGCCTACCGGAAACCACGAGCCAGAACCTGGTCCCCTCAGAGAGGTGCAGGGAACAATGGTCAATGAGTACCTTACATTTAAAGTATGTCATCGTTTGCCATTAACTGGGGAAGACACCCAGAAAGATAGGTGAAACAAAACGAGCATCTGGAGAAAATTGCTACCCACGTCCAGAAAGAGCAAAGAAACTCCCACAGAAGAAAAGCAAACCAGCAACACTTCATGCAATTAACACTCTTGCTCATTAGCGCTACTGCCCCAAGGGGGGAAACAGAGAGCCAGTTCTGGTAAGATGGAAGCCCCCACCTCAGTTCTTGAACGGATGAGCTGGGGTCAGCTTGGTCACCTCTGACCTCAATTTCCTGTTCGGGATTTTTTGCCCTGTGTGGCTGTACAAGCAGTGTGTGTGTGTGTGTGTGTGTGTGTGGTGTGGTGGCCTGGTGCATTCTTGTGCTCAGAGCAGCATGCGCCTAGGGTGATTTTTTCCTCGGTGCTCTGTAAGTACTACCCTTGCATTTCAGGGTTATCTTCCCTGGGGTGTTTGGGATTCACAACCTTTGCTTGAAGTTGTCTTCTTCACTCTTGGGGTGCATCAGGAGTCTTAGGGGTTGCCATCTTACCCCAGGTAGGGGGGAGTGGTTTGGCTTGGTCTGGGCGCACTGTGGTTAGTGTAGTCTACTTTACTTCCAATCCGACAGCGGATGTTTCTCTCCGGCTGCTAATTTACTAATGATGTGATTTTGGGAGCTTAAAAATTTTATTTTAATTTTCTGCCGTAATAAGCTCCTTATTAGGTTCACCTAGGTTGTGGTGGCCCTCCTCTTCAGTTGCCACTGAGGTTTTTTCCTGCTTCTACTAGTCCCAGTGCCTGGGCTTCCCATAGAGTTCACTCACCCTACGGGCCCCTGGAAAACCCCTGTGGGCTCGGTTGAACTATGGATACTTCTTCCAAGCCCGCTCTCTTCCTTATGCGATGTTGATGGTTATTCATCGCCCCTGCGTCTGGGGGATGATCATCCGTACGCCTCCGTCATGCTGCCTGTGGGGTCGGGGACACCTACGACCCAGATTCTTGTGGGACTTGTTCCCTGCTCATACTTCAATTATTTTCATCCCTTATCTGATGATTTCAGGGATCAGGTGGCGGTCGTGTTGCATGCTCGAGTCTCACTTATTGTAGACAAGGGCTGGGTTGAAGGCTCGTAATCCTAAACAGGATTAACCCTCTGATCACAAACTAATTGAAGTTCAGACCTGCATGGGCAATAGACCTATGCAACCAGACACAAATCCAAGAGGAGGAGAATTCAATTTAGATAATTTATTGTGCACTCCATACCCATCCATATTGGGGGTAGTGGAAAGGGTTACAGACGCACATAATCATTTATTTGCGTCTGTAAGATCATTTTGAATGAAATAAAGAATTTACGCATCTCTTGAACATATGTTATAGAATAGTTTCTGAATTCATATATCTTTTTGCACTCTTATCATGTAGTAATGGAGGGTGTGCAGAAAGTTTAGTTGACACAGTTTACATTTGGTTAGGTTTATATCAGCAGATAATAAAAATTCCAAGAGATACTGTACTTATAGCCGAGCCTAAGCCTAGCAGCGGTAACATCTAGAGGTCTGCTGATTTTATTGGATGAGCTTTAGATGTGTGGCCCTTCTTGAATAATAATATGATGATAGGTGAAATTATGTGTCGAATTCACTTTGCCTCAGATTTTCAAGGTTTTGGTGAAGTTCTTGGTGTATTATTACTCTTGGAATGTTTATAGGCAATCCAAGGTTATAGTCAACTCCTTCTTTTAAGGCAGATTCTTTGGCTAATTCATCAGCTTAATCATGCATTCAGAGGCCAACATGAGGTGGAATCTACATAAAGAACATTGTGCGAGGAGCCAATGCTATGCTTTCCAGTTTCAGAATTGCTTTTAAATACATGGATGGTGAAATACTAAAGAAATTATTCATGACCTTTGTGAGGTCAAAGCTGGAATATGCAGTGATTGTATGGTGCTTCTTAAGATATGGGCACATCAACAAACTGGAAAAAGTGCAAAGACATGCAACTAAATGGCTCCCGAAACTGAAAGACGAGCTATGAGTAAAGGTTAGAGGCATTAAATATGCCAAAATTAGAAAATGGAATAAAAAGAGGTGATATGATCACTAGGTACAAAATACTGTACTAATGGGAATCGACAAAATTGCTAGGAAAGAATTTTTGAGACCTGAAACTTCAAGAACAAGAGGTCATAGATTTAAACTAACTAAACAAAGCTGCCAAAGAAATACTGGTATAAGAAAATTCACTTAAGCAAAGAGTGGTAGACAGTTGGAAAAAGTTAAAAGTAAAAGTTTTGGTGGAGACCAAAACAAATACTGTAGTTTGAAACAAAACAAATAGAGGCAGTAGTTTCAAAGCGCTATTGACAGAGTGCTTGGAAGATGGGACACCACAAGCATAGCTCTGATCCTGTAACTACACTTGGGTATTTACATGAAATGTACTCTGTTACATTCAATTTCAATAACAAACAGATTAACTGGGAACAAATAAACCAAGCTCTTGCAGAAATATGCTGGGAAAGACAGCTAGATACTGCAAACTTAAACTAGATATTGCCTTGAGGAAATAGATACAGTAGCATTAGAAATATGTGTAAGTCACATACCACTAAGGAGAAAGAGAAAAAGATGCAGACTGGAATGAGAATGGCGTTCCCTTTATAGGCGACAAAAACAAATTTCAGAACATCTTAAATGCTCAACTCTGTCCCAAGAATGAAAAAGTATGCTATGTAGAGAAATAGAAACGATTGAGCTAAGGTTGCAAGAATAATATAAAATCCAGAAGAGACAAAGAGTAAAAGGCCATGAATGAAATTAAGAAGAACCCAAAATACTACTACTACGCAAAATCTAGAACAAAAACTATATCCTACATTGGGCCCTTGCACAGGAGTGATGGAACCTACACAGATGACAGAAAAAGAAATGAGTGAAATACTGAACTTACGGTACGATTCTGTTTTCACAGAACCCCTGAACACATTGCAAATCAATTATCCAAATATTCTTCATTCTTCAATTATCCAAATATTCTTTTTTATATCAGATGTTACCATCATTCCATCCGAGTTTGAAGTAGCAATAGGCAGCATGCCCATGCACTCTGCACCAAGACCAGACTCCTGAAATTCCATACCGTATCAAGAATTGCAAAAATTATTGTCACAGGCTCTAAACATCTTTTTTTGGAAACAGAGCATAAATACTGGTATTATCCCTGACCTACTTAAAACAGCAGAGATTGTGCAACTTCACAAATGAGGAAGTAAAGCTAACAAAAGATATGTAGACCAAAAGCTCTAACATCACATATATAAAATTTTTGCAAGAGTGTTAAGAAGTAAGATCACAAATCACATAAAATAACAGTGTCTACACATGGGGTTCAGAACAGGGGCTCCTGCCTCTCACAATTGCTAGACCACTATGACATGGCCTTAAAAGCCATGAAAAACAAACAAAAAATGCTGATGTAATATAGATTTTGCAAAAGCCTTCGACAAATGTGACCATGGTGTTATTGCACACAAAATATGCACAACAGGAATTACTGGCAAAGTAGAGAGATTGATATTTACGTTCATAACAAACAGAACTCGGAGTGTAATATTCAACAAAGTAAAATCTGAGTCGTCCACTGTGATAAGTTCAGTTCCCCAAGGTTCCGTATTTGCTCTGGTACTTTTCCTCGTCCTCATATCATTCATAGACAAGGATACAATCTATACTGTATCATCCTTTGTAGATGACACCAGAATTTTCTTGAGAGTAGACAGCATAGAGGACACAGCAAACCTCCAATCTGATGCTAATCAAGTCTTTCAATAGGTTACAGAAAATAACATGATGTTTAAGCACCCACATCAAAGAGACTGGTTGATCAGACCAGACACCAGGAGGCCTGGTCAGAGACTGGGTCATGGGAACATTGATCCCTGGAATATTCAGCAGGTAGTCATCAGAATAATGTTGGAGCACACCAATGGCAATTAAAAAAAATATATATATTGCTACAATGTTTTTCACCTTCCTGAGCTTGGGAATGGAAAAAATCTTGATACATGCCAAATATTATTTTATTGAATATATTAGAATTTTGTTTTAAATGATAACAAAGTACTGTACTGTTTACTGTTTATTCTATTGCTGCATTTTGTCGTGTTATTGTGCAATAAAATGTATTGTATTTTATTCTATTTCTTTTAACTGTTACTTATATGAAGAAAGTATCTTTAGAGTTTCTATAAACAGTTATGCAGTAGGTATGCTTTGAAGTTATAAAAAAGTATGTTATGAAAATCCAACTTGAAAGAGCATTTATTATATAAATGTTTCTCTTAATTGTTACATGAAAATAGTATCTTTATAGTTTATATACACAGCTATGCAGTAGGTATGTTTTGAGGTACTGTATATTTTATTCTGGTTAAGGTTATAAAAAGCATTTTATGAAAATTTATCCTAAATTTATCTTATCTAAAATAATACATTAATCATTTATTATTTAAATATGCTATCAGGCTATAATATTATTTTAGTCTGACTGCTATATGCTGCCTGCCACAGTAAAACAATTTTATGATCCCCTCGGATATCAGCTGAATTTTTATAAATAAAATATAATTTTATTGGCCCTGAAGCATATTACCTACCCCATTTTGATTTTCATAAATATGAAGCATCTACAGTATTGTGAGCCTTATTAAAAAAAAAAAGAGTACCATATCACATTCATAATACTTTACAGTATTATGAATGTACCAAAGAGCCAAAGCTCAACCCCTACAAGCATAACTAACTAGGTGAGTACAATACTGTACCAATGATACCTGTAAATCCATTTTGAGTGCCTTATAGTCATGATTTATCTATAAAAGATAAATTGGTTAACATTACAATTTAATGTGTATATACAATATTATTGCATTTTCTGAGCCACATCTTTTTTGGTTACTCCCTCAGATAGGATCTGCTGTGTCCAATGGACAGGATCATAGCCAGAAAGCACATATTGCATTGATGCCACATGAAACTTTTTTTAAAACTGTCCCTGTAGTGTATGGCATGATTGGAGTTCAGTCAGTCTATACTAGAATGAGAGATAATGGTGGCTTCCCTCTCTTAATTTATAAACTCATTGATTCTCTATACTCTCGGACAGAAAGCGTGGAAGTTTGCTTAGCAACCATGTGTGTGTGGGGGCAATGACCAATTTGTGTATTCCACAGGTCAAGATGTGGCCAAATTGGTGAACTTAATTGTTTACTGTGGGTCTCTGGCCTTGTCTTGATTGAAGGGTGACAGGGTTTAGTTAGAGGCATTTAAGAACTTGTACTATAGGCACCAGGCTTCTTGCTATGACATTGGTAAGGGGCTGTAGACCTGGTGATTTGTCATATGTTTTTTATATCTTGTTTTATGTCCATGTACTTGGGAAGTATGGTAAAGTATTGTGGAGACATGTGAAACTGCTTGATGTTGTATGAAAGGGTTTCATTACTAAAATGCATTTATGATGCTGAAAGTCACCTCTTTTGGCTCTTCAATGCAAGGTTTAAGTAAATTCTTAAAGAATTTTGTGGCAAGCACCAGCAATGGTGTGGTAATGGATAGGTAAGATAATTATCAGGGGAAAGTGCTAAGCCACTATGATTATATAGCACTCCGAAGGGATGAAGATAAGGATTTGGGACAGGTTGGAGGAAAGGATTGTACCCAACCACGTAGACAGTCGAGGATTGAATACCAGTCTGCAAGAAGCGAGACCTTCACTCTACCGTCTAGTCCAAGTGGTTGGGCTGGGACCAGAAATTTTTAGGAACTGGCACATAGGTACCAAGAGACCTACAATGGGTACTCCTCTCTATTCATGCAGTTTTTTATCCTCAGGTAGTTGTCCCTTTTATTTCCAGGACCATATCTAGAAGTTGGAAACAGGTCCAGTCTTGTCTCTTTATGGTGGTGAATTTGGGCTCTGCCTATACTAGAATGGTTCTCAATTTATCAAGTGTATGTGCTCCTATCTCTTGACTTTCATTTGGCATGATGATGTTAGCAGCAGTCCATTGGCGCCTTGTTGGAGCTCATTTGGGCTGGCATCAGTGACTGCTATCCAGGGATCTAACAACGGTTATGTCATGTAAGGGTTGAAACTACACAACCCCAGCACCACCACACACTATCCTAGCACAACCGCATAACTAAGAAATTATCTTGGTGGCTACTTGATACGAAGGGAAGGGTTTGTAGAAGTTTGAGTTTTATGAGTGAATTAATCACTTTTGGATATTCTGAGCCAGATTGTTTTATCCAACAATTCCCTGGTATCTTAATAACCCTGCAGGGTCAGTATATTGTTCTTCTTGACTGTGCTTGATCCTGGTCAATGGGGACATTATGGATCCTACTTTAGGGGTCAGCCAAATGATCCTCTCAGAAAGATGTTTTTCATATGCTATATTCTGATATATTTTGATAAAATGTTTAGTTATGGGAATTTATAAATTTATTAGCAAAATTATAAATGGTTATCGACATGGAATATTTTAGAAAATAAATAAAATATAATACACAATATGATGTAGTATATATATAGCCTGTGCATGAATGGTGATTATTTGAGAATGTAATATATTTCTGGACAAAATTCCTAAGTTATTACAGTATTTTTCTGATGTCAAAAAACTATTACTAGCGTGTTTTCTACTCTAAATATCACTCGGAGCTTCATTTCACGAGTTTCATTATGTATGATTATGCAATATTCGATAATTTGTACTTAATTGTTATAGGGTCATTAATTGTAATAGCCCATTTAAAATTTATATTTTAATGCAGTTCAATACAGAACATTAGTCATGTTGAATGACTACGCAGCCATAATAAAACAAAAAATGCTGTATTAATATAGGTAAAAATGCTGAAATGTTAGGTTTTCTTCAGCAACATTGCTGTTAACAAAGTGACTTGCAGAACTCTTACATCAACTCTGATATCTCTTACACAAATTCTAAATACAGCCTCCTGTAACTTACATAAACTCACGATAACTCTTACACAAGGTCAGAGTGGTACAGAAGTAGAGGTTACGGCTGGCAGTCTGCTGGTCGCTGGTTTGAGGCACCTAAGAGCTCCAGTTGATTGTCTCAATAAAAATAATAGTGACCTATTAATAAATAAGTGATAAAAATTAAAAAGGAAGGAATTTTTTGTTTGCTAAAATAAATAGATAATTGAAAATAATATTTTATTTTAGTGCTCTCTCGATTGGGAGATTGGAGTCAGAATCCGCTAATCACTTCAAGTCGCAGGACAAGAGAGAGCGGCAGTAAAAAAAAAAGCAAACCAGAATTTAGGAATAGTCAAGGACATCACAACAAATGGGGGGACCTTTGACAAGCTGCCAGCTTCCTGTCCTCATCGAGGCCACCAGAGTGTTAGTGGTGATCAGATAAATTCAACTAAATTCAGGAAACTTACAATACTGAACAATTTGGAGGATATTGATCCAGACTTCTTCAAAAGGTCAGTTGTAAAATGAACAAGGAGTTTCAAGCTCAAGCCACAATGTAGGACTGAGAACAGGAGATGCTTTTTCACCCACAGAGTTATAACCCCCATGGAACTGCCTACCTGCCGAAGGTAGGCAGGTATATATATATGTATGTATGTATACCTGCCGAAGGTAGGCAGGTATATATATATGTATATATGTATGTATGTATGTATGTATGTATGTATGTATGTGAGAAAGCTGCATGAACGCGCAAGCCATATATCACTAAGAACTCTTTGACCCGGTCAGGATTCGAACCCATGCCATCCAGGATCACCCCTAAACGTACACAGTACCGTGACCACCGCACCGATGATCGATCCTGGACGGCATAGGTTCGAATCCTTGCTGGATCAAAGAGTTTATAGTGATATATGTACTGTATGTATATATATATATATATATATATATATATATATATATATATATATATATATATATATTTATTTATTAAATTCGTAAATGCCAAAACACTGCTGATTTTCAAAATCCAGCTCGCAAAATCATCAGGACAAATGGCAGGACCTTTGGCATGCCGCCAGCTTCTTGTCCTCGTCGAGGCCACTAGAGAGTATCTCCATGGTCAATTCTGGTAAATATTAAAAATGAAAGAAGTTAGAACATTAATCCCCATGGCGCAGTGTTAAAATCACTCGCCCAGTGCTTCGTGAGTGCTTTGGCCTGGGTTCGTATCCTGGCTGGGGAAGGATTGATTGGAGCCTCATTGGATGTGGAGTCGCTATTTACCAACGTACCTGTGGACGAAACAATTGGAATGATAGCAGACAGAGTGTATCGTGACCCCGGCTTGCACTCCTCTTGACATGCCAGAAAGCATACTGAGGAAACTACTACTAGCCTGCACTAAAGAGGCACCTGTCTTGAGCCCAGATGGGCACATGTATAAGTAAGTAGATGGGGTCGCCATGGGTTTTCCCCTAGGTGTCCTGTTTGCGAACTTCTTCATGGGCACCATCGAGCAGAGGGTCTTAGTTGACATGGACTTGAGACCTGCCATATACTGCAGGTATGTTGACAACATTTTTACACAGATACCTGATGCCAGATGTCTGCAGCAGCTGAAGGAGGCATTTGAGTGGAATTCTGTGTTGAGTTTCACGTACGAGATGGAGAATAATGGGAAGCTGCCCCTTCTGGGTGTAACAGTCACGAAAAGAAGCGGAGGCTTCCACACTGCAGTCTACACCAAGGAAACAAACAAAGGAATGTGCCTTAATGCCAATAGTGACTGCCCAGACAGGTACAAGAGGAGTGTTGTCAACGCTTACGTCGACCGTGCTCTCAGCCACAGCTCAGGATGGAAAGAAGTTGATGAAGAACTTTGTAGGGTAAGGCAGGTCCTAGTCAACAATGACTTCTCTAATGGTTTCGCTGAAGACATAATAAAAAGAAAGGTGAAACGCCATGCAACCTCTGAAGAGTCAACCAACAAAACACTTATACCCCCTATTAGACTATTTTACAGGAACTTCTTTTCAACGACTCATAAAATGGAGAAAAGGGTCCTGAAAGATATTGTTGATAGGAACATCATCCCTACAGACAAAAATCAGAAAATGCAATTGATAATTTATTATAAAACTAAAAAAACTATCAATTTACTCATGAAAAACTCCCCCAGACACCAAGCAGAAGGCTTTGAAGTAGACCAACGTCGTCTATGCCTTTAAATGCCCACTTGGGGACTGTAAGCCCCAAAGAACTCAGTATATAGGCAAGACAACAAGGTCTCTTTCCAGGCGACTGAGGGAATCTTTCCGAGGAATTTTGCGAGGGCAGCGGCGAGGGCAGGCGGAGTGAGGCGGAGCCCTATTGTGCGCCCGTATTTATACGGCCCCAAACTGCCCGCGCAACGCCGCGGGACGCGCTGCGCAATTGTTTCTTTCTCCCCCGCCAGAAACATCCCCGCTTGTGATGCAAGCAGTGACCATTTCTTCTCACAACCAGACCATCACCAGAGAAATCATAACAAACAACACAGAAATCATTGATAGGTACAGCGATAGCAGGCGGCTTGACGTCTGCGATGCTCTACACATCAAGAAGTCAACACCAGCAATCAACAGCCAATTAATGCACAACTATATTCTACCCACCTCAAGACTCCGCTCCAATATAGAAGCATCAAGAAATATGGACCAATAGGCTTTCTACAAATCACTTCCATTCAATACATATTGTTTCGTGTTCTGTCTTGTGTTGATGAATTTAATACCCTATTAAAACCACCTCACCCCATCCACCTCACTCAAATGTAAATATAAACAAATCGAAGATGTGTAAGTTCTATTCAGTTGTGTATGTGTAAACCAAAGTCTTATTAAGTAGTATTAAGTTCTAGATATTAATGTTTTTCCTGCCCGAAACGCATTGCGTAATAGTGGCTTTAGGCATTGTATGTACTAGCTCTATCTATATATTGATCCATTAATGTAACATCACTTGTATGTATGTACCTTACCTGAATAAACATATTTATATTTATATTTATTTATTTACAGTATTTGAAAATGTAATAAGTTTTACGAAACGCGCTCAAGTGTCGCGTCAGACTAGAAATAAAATGAATTTTGGAGAATTGATTTTTGAATTACCACCAACAGTGAAAAGAAATGTACGAAAGATTGAGAAAATTTGTGTTAGAATTATTAATCTTACTTTTTCGGTCATATTTAATAATATATGTCTACAGGAAAGACTGCTACCAAAATATACTAATATATATATATATGCGAACAAGCCTGAATGTATAGCCTGAATTCATATAGCCTCGGCTATCACCTCATTATGTCCGGTCGTGATGGTCAAGTGGATTAAGGCGTCTTGTACATACCAGTTGCGTTGCTTCTGGGAGTATGGGTTCGAGTCACTTCTGGGGTGTGAGTTTTCAGTTTGATATATATATATATATATATATATATATATATATATATATATATATATATATAGTATATATATATATATATATATATATATATATGTCGTACCTAGTAGCCAGAACGCACTTCTCAGCCTACTATGCAAGGCCCGATTTGCCTAATAAGCCAAGTTTTCATGAATTAATATATTTTCTTTATTTTTTTTCTTATGAAATGATAAATCTACCCATTTCATTATGTATGAGGTCAATTTTTTTTTATTGGAGTTAAAATTAATGTAGATATATGACCAAACCTAACCAACCCTACCTAACCTAACCTAACCTATCTTTATAGGTTAGGTTAGGTTAGGTAACCGAAAAAGTTAGGTTAGGTAGTCAAAAAACAATTAATTCATGAAAACTTGGCTTATTAGGCAAATTGGGCCTTGCATAGTAGGCTGAGAAGTGCGTTCTGGCTACTAGGTACGACATATATATATATATATATATATGTCGTACCTAGTAGCCAGAACTCACTTTTCAGCCTACTATTCAAGGCCCGATTTGCCTAATAAGCCAAGTTTTCCTGAATTAATATATTTACTATAATTTTTTTCTTATGAAATGATAAAGCAACCCTTTTCTCTATGTATGAGGTAAATTTTTTTTTATTGGAGTTAAAATTAACGTAGATATATGAACGAATCTAACCAACCCTACCTAACCTAACCTAACCTATATTTATAGGTAAGGTTAGGTTAGGTAGCCAAAAAAAGCTAGGTTAGGTTAGGTTAGGTAGGTTAGGTAGACGAAAAAACATTAATTCATGAAAACTTGGCTTATTAGGCAAATCGGGCCTTGAATAGTAGGCTGAGAAGTGCGTTCTGGCTATTAGGTACGACATATATATATATATATATATATATATATATATATATATATATATATATATATATATATATATATATATATATATATATATATATATAATATATATATATATATATATATATATATATATATATATATATATATATATATATATATATATATATATATATATATATATATATATATATATATATATATATATATATATATATATATATATATATATAATGTCGTACCTAGTAGCCAGAACGCACTTCTCGGCCTACTATGCAAGGCCCGATTTGATTAATAAGCCAAGTTTTCATGAATTAATTGTGTTTCGACTACCTAACCTACCTACCCTAACCTAACCTAAATTTTTACAACTACCTAGATGGTAGATGGTCTACTATCTTACAACACGTGTAGATAACACTACACATGTTGTTACAACACGTGTAGATAACACTACACATGTTGTATATATATATATATATGTCGTACCTAGTAGCCAGAACGCACTTCTCAGCCTACTATTCAAGGCCCGATTTGCCTAATAAGCTAAGTTTTCATGAATTAATTGTTTTTCGAGAACCTAACCTACCTAACCTAACCTAACCTAACTTTTTCGGCTACCTAACCTAACCTAACCTATAAAGATGGGTTAGGTTAGGTTAGGTAGGGTTGGTTAGGTTCGGTCATATATCTACGTTAATTTTAACTCCAATAAAAAAAATTGACCTCATACATAATTAAATGGGTATCTTTATCATTTCATAAGAAAAAAAATAGAGAAAATATATTAATTCAGGAAAACTTGGCTTATTAGGCAAATTTGGCCTTGCATAGTAGGCTGAGAAGTGCATTCAGGCTACTAGGTACGACATATATATATATATCTGCAGTCTCCGTGGTGTAGTGGTAAGACACTCGCCTGGCGTTCCGCGAGCGCTGTCATGGGTTCGTATCCTGGCCGGGGAGGATTTACTGGGCGCAATTCCTTAACTGTAGCCTCTGTTTAACGCAACAGTAAAATGTGTACTTGGATGAAAAAACGATTCTTCGCGGCAGGGGATCGTATTCCAGGGACCATAGGATTAAGGACTTGCCCGAAACGCTACGCGTACTAGTGGCTGTACAAGAATGTAACAACTCTTGTATATATCTCAAAAAAAAAAAAAAAAAAAAAATATATATATATATATATATATATATATATATATATATATATATATATATATATATATATATATATATATATATATATATATATATATATATTTATTTATTTATTTATTTATTTATTTATTAATTAATTAAATTTCGTGTTCAAGTGCCTTGAGAAGTTAATTATATAATCCCTTGATTGACTGCCCCTGACCAGGGAATTTTATTGTGGTCGTTTCCACAAGTTAAACGATGCCCAAGTCGGGAGCGAATGTATGACGTCATAGTGACATCACACACCTCGTGCGCACATATACTGTACATATAAAATATTTTATATCTTATGTTGGTTAGGAAACGATGCGAATACGTGCCCAAATAATAAAATATTATCTCGATATATTCTGAAGCTCTTTATATATTTTTCCTTGAAATAATTGTATGAATAAATATAATCCATCCTTTAAAGGGAAAGTCTATGTGTTTGAATGTTACAGCAATTTGAGATTGATTGTTTACTTGCAGAGGAGTTAGGCTCGTGATCCCAGGCGGGATGTTAAGGCCCAGACGGTCATGACAACCAGAGATTTATAATTATGGAGGAGACCGAGGAAAAGAAGAGAAGAATACGCATAGAGGAAAAGCTGAAGAGATATGAGAAAATAGATTTTTTGGGAGAAGGACAGGTGAGGAATAGTGGTTATACATACTGACTGTGGTTTGAGACATACGGTGAGCACATGGGTTCAACGAGTCATATGCCCTAAACACATTTGCATTACTTAATTAATTCCTGATTTAATGTAATATGAACCTAAATCAACTTTACCTAACCCAAGGATCATGGAAGGAGGCTAACATAGGCAGTGCTATGTTTTGGTACAGGTCTAGTGATTTACAAGTATTTACCTGAATTTACCTGGAGGGCTACTAACACAGTAGTGGCTTTGACGAGGACAGGAAGCTGGCGGCCTGTCAAAGGTTCCCCCATTTGCCCTGATGATTTTGTCCAGTTGGATTTTATAATTTAACATTTTGTTTTGGCATTTATGGCATTGGCGGGTAGGCGGTTCTGTGGGTGAAAAAGCATCTTCTGTTTCACGTTCTACATTGTGGCTTGTTGAGCTTGAAACCGTTACTCCTTGATTTTGTTATATCTGACCTTTTAAAGAAATTGTCATTCTTATGAATAAATCCACAAGGGCCGTGATTAGGATTCGAACTTTCGCCTGGGATGATCCCTGACGCTGCCTTAGTTGACTAGGCCACAACATGGTCAAAAGAATTACGACCAGGAATTTATTCATTTGATGCATCACGCTATTGTGATTTCTGTGTAAATTGTTATTCTTATTTACTTATTTATACATGTATACAAGAAGGTAATCCAGACAATGGCAACAGATCCAGGTCTAACTTACTTGGATTGTATGAGTATAACAACAGTGATTCAGGTTGTATAGGATACCAGAGTCAGTGCTAGTGTGCCTAGGAACAGAAGCTGCTTGCTGATGTAGTCGAGGTTAGAGGTGGGGAAGCCAGATTCAGCAGTATATATGTCCATAGGTGCCAGTGATGCCATATGTGAGAGAAATGGCATTGGTGTCGTGTGAGCCAAGACCTGAAGACGGCGGTGTTGGGAACTCGAGGCAGTATTTATTTGCAAGCGAAAATTGCTATTTAGGAGAAAATTAAGCAATAGTGCCATGGTAGCTGAAATTGGCAGTGCCATTGGAGCTGAAGGTAACAGTGCCATACAAGGTGAAGTTAGTGAAGCTGAAGGTAGTGATCCCATTGGAGTTAAATGTGACAGTGCTGTAAGAGGTAAATATGTCTTGGAAGCAGGAGGTGCTGTGGGATCAGAGTGACAGTGGTGACCATGGTAGATGGAGTAGCCAGCAATTTAGGACAGTGCTGAGGTCTGTGCTCTTCCTTGGAGTCGAGGAGCAAAAGGGTGTAGGTCAGGTAGTGTTGAAATGTTTGTGACTAAATTTGTGCTGCTATGTTATTTGTGCTACATTTAGATTATATGCTGTACTCTAGACATGCTACTTATGTATTCATTGAGATTCTAGTGAAATAATACTTTGATTTGAAGCATTTCTGCTCACTTGTAGCTTTTGAAACCGATACTGAACCATATATATGTATGTATGTATGTATTTATTTATTTATTTTATTTATTTTTTTATTATTTTTTTATTATTTTTTTATTATTTTTTTGGGGGGGGGGTGGTTTGGTAAATTATTTTTCAAAAATTGTTAGCAAGAATCTCTATTTTAACTCTTAGATTATACTGGGGTAGGTGATGAATTTTTGTTTTTAATTTATGAGCTATTTATGGAAACTGATTAATGGACATACGTATGTATGTCTGTGATTAATGTAAACAAATACAAGTACTGTACAGTACTCTATACACCTACTGTATGTATTGTATGACATTAAGAATATAGCATTTCCCGAAGTAAATTTAATTTTTACATTTCAGTTTGCAACTGTGTACAAAGCCCTGGATGTAGAAACAAAGCAAATTGTTGCAGTGAAAAAGGTAAGCAAATATTTTTCAGATGTTAATACAAATTTTACAGTATAATGTTTAAATTAATACAAAAATATTTTTTATTTCTTAAATTTCTCGAGAATAAAAAAGCATTTAGATGATTATATCATGTATGAGGCTTTATTATTTATTAGCTATAGCAAAAGAAGAATGAAATTTAATCAGTTGAAACATACCAGTACTTAGTTAAAAGTATTCCAAGCACAGTATATTGTAGTACTGTACTGTACTGTACTGTAGGGATCTAGGAAGGAGGTATCTAGGTATCTACTGAACAGTTTTGTGTACTGTATCTACTTAAAACTTTCAAGAATTTCTTATAATGATGAAGGAAGATCTCTATTTTTATTGGCCCATTTACCCTGGAGCTAGACTGTAGAACTACAGTAGTTTTATAAATGGTTGAGGATATGAGGGAAGACCCTGAATGTGTCACAGTATACAAAAGAATAAGTGTAACTGTACCAAAACTTCTTAAGACTTACCTTGATGCTTAGGGATTCTCCCAGCATTCTTGACTGCAAATAATACAAAGCAACATCTTTCATTTGAAGTTTTCTGTTCCCAGATCCAGTTATTTTTTAAAGAAAATCAGTTTGCGAATAAGTATCATCACATTTCACTTTCACTGAATATGAAAGCTGATTGACAAAGCTCAACTGCCTTAAAGTAGAAATCTACACCGTGTAGTAGCTTGTGATGCATGAAAATGATACACTGCATGTTTATTTGGCCACCATTTCTCGGGAGAGCAGAATGCAGACTCGGATGCGCTTATGAGTTTGTGAATCATGAGATGTGGATGTCTCCATTATGTTACTTAAATTCAATTCTGTAAAATTCATAAAAATAAGCCTACAAAACTATTTTACCCTCTTATAAGTCATTATTATCTTTAAGATAGTACAACAAATACTGTGTGTAGAAGAGACCGTGGTGGTATGTTGGAAAGATAGTGGTGGCGTATGTGGAAGAAACTGGTGTGGGAGAGAGTCGTGTGTGGTATAGGCAGTAGTGTGTGTGTGTGTGTGTGGGAAAGAGGTAATGGTGTGTGCAGGAAGAGTTAAAATATTTCCTTTTCAAAGTTAGGTTGTATATGTATTAGAACAATACCATAAACAGACCTGTAGGAATTCATGTACATTTTCAGTGTCATAACCCTAATAGTTTTATAGATGCAATTTCCTCATTTTTTTCATAATTGTAATGATATAAAATCATCAGCCACTAATGGATACTATCTCAAAATCCCGTTTTATGAATGGCTTGCAAAATTGTATGGGCTTTATGTAAGTGCCGTATAATTAAGTATTAAGTGTGCAAAGAGCAGCACCTGGGTAGCCATCCACCTGTCCCTACACCAAACATACTGTTTGGTGTATGTAATTTTCTAATGTAATTTTCTCTCTCTCTACCACTGTCTCATTTCCCCCCCCCCCCTTTCCCTGCATTTTTCCCCTTCTCCTATTCCTCATCCTCCTACATTGCCATCCTCCCTTCCCTCTACCACCACCAGTATTCTTTCCTTTCCAATCTTCTCCATTGTCCCTTTTCATCACCACCTTCTTGTTATCCTTTTACCAGCCTGTGTGCATTATTTTCTATTTCCTAAACTAATTATTCTCTGATTATTGTTGTTATAGTTCTCTGTATTCATTATATTCTATACTCATTATATTTATTGAAATTATTATTTTCCCTATACTTTACTGTGTTTATAGCACACTATATTCATTATGTAACGGTTCTATTGTTACGTAAAGTATGGTGACAATAAACACAGACACTAAGATACTATATATATATTTGGTCTAATATACAGAAGTACACAGGTGATACTTTGGTGTGAGTTGAGTGCACTGAGCGTCGGTACAGTATCTCGCAAGTGTCTGCTCTAGACCACACTTGAAAGTAGACTCTGGTTAATGTTTGCTATTCTGCTGCTTATATGCTCGGGCAACACCTCACCGTGTTGCCCGGGCAACGCCTCGCCTCATTCATCTCCAAAGGTTGACAGGAATATTAACAATGCATTTGGAGCGAGTATATTCTTGGGATAATCTACTCGCTACAATTATATAGTACTGCACTCCCTGTACTCATTATACTCTGTACTCATTATAGTATATATATACCCATTATACATATACTGTATATTGTATTTACAGGTCCTGTAGTATGCTTATTAAGTTCTCTATACTGTACTTCCTGATCTTACTATGCTCATTATTTTCCCTGGGTTTATTATTCTTCATGGCATTAATATGTTCCTTGTACTCATAAACAATATCCTGCTCTCATTGCAACCTCTGCACTCATTACATCCAGTAATAATTACAACCCCTTGTACTCAGTACATCACCCTAATCATTGCAACTCTTGTACTCAGTACAGCACCCTAATTATTGCAATCCCTGTACTCAGTACAGCACCCTAATCATTGCAACTCCTGTACTCATCAAAATCTGTAATCATTGGAATCCCCTGTACTCCTATCAGTATCCTGTAATTATTGCATCCCCTGTGCTCATTATATCACCATGTAATCATTGCAACCCTTAAGTACAGTTCTACCTTGTTAAATTTTTGTATCTTAAGAACTGCTGTCCTCTGGGATACCACTGTTGATTTGTTATGATAAAACATATCTAGGTAAACTATCGAGCCTGACCATGGGCCGGGCTCGGGGAGTAGAAGAACTCCCAGAACCCTTCAGGTATGCTCCAAGTAGTGTTAGTAACGGGTATAATTTATTATTTATTTAGTTGTAAGATGAGAGAAGCCTGATGAGTTCATGAAGATTAGAAAAGGAAGAGTTAGCAATAGTTTAACAACACACGATGACTTGATAATGGTCCGGGACGGACGAAACGTCATTATTTTCTTCATTTTCTGATGTGTGTGTGGTCATCATATCTTCAGTCATGTTATTGTGACTCATCGTCTGCTTTAGCAATAGTTCCTGTTGTTAAACCCAGAACAAAGTATGTTGCCATTTTGTTTTATAATTACATGGGGAATTTTGTGAAATAAACTGCCGCCCTATGTCTTTTCTGACATCATTGATATCCATAGGTTCAGCTTGAATTTGTGGGAATATCAGCTGGAAAATAAGTGTTTTACATTTTGTCTTGTAACATGTTGTGTTTGTTGGTAAATATTCTGTAAATCATACTTGGTAATTGCTGATTAAAAGCATACTTGCATTTCTTAACAGATCAAACTTGGGAGTAGGGAAGAAGCAAGAGATGGCATAAACCGTACAGCGCTGCGTGAAATAAAACTGCTACAAGAAGTTCACCATCTTAACCTAATTGGTCTTTTGGATGTGTTTGGCTATAAATCAAATGTCTCACTAGTGTTTGATTTTATGGATACTGATCTGGAAGTAAGTGTTATCTGATTTAGGAAATATAGTGGTGCTGTGTTATAAAATATATTAGTTAATGGGAACACACAGTGGATCAAACTGTAGTAGTTTAGATTCGGGCAAGAACTGCATAGATAATGGTTTGGAAACAGGATTATTGAGCTATGGAACAAATTGTATAACATAATAGCTGGAGAATTGATGGATTATTTCAAGTGTAGGTTGAAACTACACTCGACTTTTCCCTACTTTTCTTATGTTCCTAAGTGCTAACAATGCTGTAGGCACACATCAATTTGAAAATGAACTTTATTGATAGTGATATTTTGACTAAAATGGCAACTTGGTGTTTCTTGTTGTGAACTGTATTGTTGTAAAGACAAAAACAAAATGGGAAAATCAGAACACACATGCTAAATTGGCTTTGATGGGACTGTGGATTTGATAAGGCAAAGTGATCTTCAAAGAGAGAATACTTTATATAGCGTTTAGAGATGTGGTAAAATGGTTTAAAGGTTGCCAAAATTAGCGAATGAACTGTTTAGATTTACACTGTATTTGTAGAATAGAAGCTAGCATAAATAATGTTAGGAAATTTAGAATGAGTACAGAGCTCTCTGTAACCACTGTACTGCGCAGAGCACCCTAAGACGCTCCGAGAGTATTTTTTTTTTAATTAGGCTATATTTTAATGTTTTTTAATGTTTTCATTACTCTTTGTATTTTGAAATGAAAATGGTTGAGTTTGGAAACATTTTGACATTAACCTTACCTGAACATTTCTAAAAACAACAAAAATATGTCCTTAATATTTTATTAAGGACATATTTTTATTATTATGCTAATACTTGTCATGCATTAATATACATCCAGAATAGTAATTAATCATTGAATGTAATTGATCTGATAATTGAAAGATGTATTCATAGTGCTAAGGCTCCTTGTTGTACCTTATTGTGGTGTCATGAGTTTTTTCTTATTCTCTATTGTCGTCTTTATTTCATGTCGCAAAAGCTCTTCATCCTTTGGACTTTAAATTACTGTACAGTACTTGAAATCTGAGCCAAAACATTTAATTTCTTTTAAGTACTGTACTGTATTTTTAATCTTTCTTTTCTCGTCCTGTCAAAATAAATTTCTGGGCTGATGACTCTCCAGCCCATGAAATTGGAATTTAGAATAATGATTATGATGGAAGCTGTTGCAATATATTATTTTTATTAACAATGTATTTTTGTTAATATATGAAACTTACTTTCAGGTCATAATCAAAGATACAGATAACATCATCCTAACGCCAGCAAATATAAAAGCGTATATCTTGCAGACAATACGGGGATTGGAATATCTGCATCTCCACTGGATTTTACACAGGGTATGAGAGTTATGTTTTCTTTAACATTTGACAATTACTTAGGCATACTTCATAGGGATACTTTAAGGTTTTATTAGAATTAATTTATAGGATGGTTTTATTAGAATTAATTTATAGGATGGCACCCTCGGGTAGTGGCCCAGATCACCTAAGATTAGCCAGACCTTAGGATGAACTGTTGATCTGATCATTCGGTAACATCCCAGCACTTGGCCTGAATAGTTACTGAGAGTCCCATCAGAAAAGGATTTCTCATTAAATTCAATTCTTGATTCAGTAACATGCACAGCTTATTCCCCTTTTGCTCAGAATCTGTGTCCATGACTTCAACATACAGTACACACAAAAACATTTACTTTTCCCTTTTCTTTTCACCATATATATTTGGTTTGGTTTCTCATATAAAGTGCTATAATAAGAAATCTCTGGCAGGAACTGAAGAGGCCATGCCAGAAAGAGAACATTGAGTGTAATGAAATGCCTCTTTATGGGTGGCTCCTCAGTAGCTGCCCATTTCCTACCTAATTCTTGCCCATGAATAGGGTTGTTGGGTTACCTTTAGCTTGAGAATGAGGCATGCAATGCACCTCACTTAAATCCCTGATTGGCTGGCAGTGGAGAGGAGTTAGTCAAGTGAGGTTTTGGATATTTTGAGTTTTATTTGATATTAAGTTAGCGTACATTTTCTATGATTTTTGTGAGTTATTGTGACTTGCGTTTCAGCGAACATGCTCTCCCACCTCTTAGAGGGTGAAATTCTGATCCTTGCTCCTGGTAGGCCAGGGTCGTCATAAATGTCCTGTTAGAAGGTTTTATCACAAGTGCCAGTGCACACGTTCTGGGGATCACTTGAGTAGCTGCCCAGAAAGGGTAGTGTATTACACTTGAGTAATAAACATGTAATGTGCTAATTTTCATAAAATTCATTAAGTGAATTACTAAATATTATTTTCATTTTCATTTCAGGATCTGAAACCTAATAATCTATTAGTAAATTCTGAGGGAGTATTAAAGATTGGGGATTTTGGATTAGCACGATTTTTTGGCTCCCCAAATAGACAATATTCACATCAAGTGGTCACTAGGTGGTATAGGTAAGTATTCTTTAATTTTAGGATGTAAATATTGCAACCCATCCTCCTGAAATGCTAGTACATACAGGAATTATTTGGTTGAAAGTACCAATATTGGTATTGGTACTGATGGATCAGCAGTAAACCTCTGTTTGTACTGCAGGTATTAATTTCATAGAGTCCAGAAAAAGTAAAGTTAAACACTAAGCTTAAACATTCTTAGGCCTAGTATAGCATATATATGTACCACATTAGGCCTAAGATAGTGTGTATTAGGTCCAGGATTGCTAGGAGAGGTTAAGTTAGGCCTTATATTTATTTTGTGGTTAAAAAATTTCCGGTTTGTCCAAATTCAATATTACAAAAGTCAACTTTCTAGTGGTCCATCTCTACATATCGGTACTTTCGTTTTAGGAAGACAGGATGGAAAAATATATATATACAGTATACATACATAGAAGCAGAGGAGCTTCAAGAGATCCACAACTTTTAAGCATTCATTGTATTCACCATTGAATAACCTGTAATCTTTAAATATTTAATAAAGCAAAACAAAGCACAAGAAGAAGGGGGGGGGGTAGTAGGACAAAAGAACATGGTAACTGCATGGAGGGGACCAGAAAATTCCCTCTAATATGTTTTGTGTACTTTTCTCTGAGGCTATGTGTGTCCTTCTTCCAGTCAGAGGTGGTACCCCCATTCTATTTATATATATGACACCTAGAAATAAATAAGGTTGAGTTAAAATAAACATCAACTTTGTGAAGTTCAAGGCTGTCTTGATTGCCCTTAAATAGGAATACAGTTCTGTACAGTATTGTACTTTAGAGTACAGAAACATAACACTGTACACATTAAAATTTAAGAACTTAAATACTGTATTGTATATATTTTGCATGAATCTAAAAATATAAAGTGATCCTATTAGCAGCTTAATCAACCTAACCAAACTTCAAATTACTTTACAAGTTCTTGACAAATTCGGTTTTGATTGGCAGATGCTGATGTTTTGATGGCTAAAGGTCCTTGGTTTTCAGGTCTTACCAAATACAGTGGTACCTCGCATAACGATTGCCCCAAAAGACGAATATTTTGGGTAACGAACGGCCCGATCGGCGTCAAATCGTCCCTTATGACGAACGCTGGTTTGAGTAACGTCAACAACACATGGTGGGGTCGCGCTGCTTCTTGCACATTCTTAGACGCCTCCGACGATGCACATAAATTATGTTGTTCTTGTTTAAAGATGCTAATGATGCTGGGATATAAAAGGGTGACTACTGAGATGTTGCAAAGCATTGACGTTTTTGTAGGAAAAAAGAAATGAAATGTCTGATATACACCAAATGTCAAAAAGGTTCGTTCGGTGTTCGGCAGGTAGGCTGCTCCATTATAACAATCTTTCAAATGTGTTCCATTTGTTTTTTATTTGTCATTTGCGTCTCAATAATGGAGAAGCCTACCTTACATACACTGAATAAACCATTATGACATTTTCCTTTCTTCAAATGTGTTCAATATTTATTTTTCATTTGCCTTATAGCAAAAGGTTCGTTCGGTGGTCGGCAGGTAGGCTGCTCCATGTTTCTTACATACAAAAAACGTAAATAATAAAAAAAAATGAAGAATTTTGAAAACCAGTACAAATGTCAAAAAGGTTCGTTCGGTGGTCTACAGGTCGGCTGCTCCATGTTTCTTAAAAAAAAAAAAAAAACGAAAAATAAAAGAACTGTTGAAACAATTTGAAAAATGGACAAATGTCATAAAGGTTCGTTCAGTGTTTGTCGGGTAGGCTGCTCCATTATTGAGACGTAAGTGACAAATACAAAACAAATGGAACACATTTGAAACAAAGAAAGATTGTCATAATGGAGCAGCCTACCCAACAAAAACTGAACGAACCTTTTGCCATAACGAATATGAAAGACAAGGGCTGCTGGCTGGGTTAGTACTGCGTGAGCAACCATTTGTGGCACACGTGCCTCTGGCTCTCAAACACCTGTCCCACACGGTGTTGAAAGACTGTGCTCAGTCGGTGCAATTCAGACCCTTTTGTTTGAAGAACATAAGGGTCATAACATTGGTGAAGCTAGGCGCAATAAGGGCTTAACACAACGGTCGGATGCCAGTGATACAGCACCTATGAGGATGATACAGCAAGCGTATCCAGATGTAGCTCTGAGCCCCACCCTTGCCATCTCTAATGTATATAGATGATACATAGATGAATCGTTTTCTGCGTTCAGTGATGATGCATCTGATACAAGTAGCATAGATTAACAGTGTTAGCGGCTTCCATGGTGGTGGTGTTCATTGATATTTTCAAGAATACCTGAATCTTTTCCTGACTGATGGACACTCTTTGAGGCTAGCTGAATCTCTTCCTGACTGATGGACACTCTTTGAGGCTAGCTGAATCTCTTCCTGTGTGGGACCTTACAAAGCGATCTTTTCAAGACTACCTTACAAATTGAGCTTTTCCTATAATCGTTTCAATACTACTTTATGCTTTACAAGCTTGGCTACATACCACCTACAAGTACTAAAGCCAAGGGTGCACGCAAGTGCGTTATTTGCAAGCACACATAACGATGAAACAGGAAGCAAAAATCTATCTGTAGCTGGTGCAAGGAGAGCAAAGTCGCGCTGTGTACCATGGACTACTTCGTTGACTATTATGCACCTCCAAAGTACTGAGTGTGTAATACAGTGTGTTACTGTGTAAATAGTATGTGAAACTGTACATATTGTAATATTAGTGAATTTTTACCACGTAATATTGTGACAATAAACATTTATTGTGGACACATTACTGACACATGTATCACAGTTTCATGGAAAATTATGAACATTCTACTGTATACATATTGTAAAGGTCACAAATATGCATCATATACGATAAATGAAACAAATAAAACCGCATTGGAAATGCATAGAAAAAATATTTGAAAATATATTTGTGGCAACACGCGGTGCTTGAATGGCCTGCGCGACCGTGTCTGGGAGCTTCACACACGGGCGACCAGGCCCTGATGACGTCACAGCGCACCTTGTCCACGCCCTCACAGCCAAAGTAAGTGGAATTTGGTAATTATTTTTACATAGACATGTTCAGGGACGGTAATTTATCATTTTACAAAGAAAAATTTTATTTTGGGGAACATTTGATGTCATGCACTCTGGGGAAATTTCACAATAAACACAGTGCATCACACTGGTTACATGGGGGACACTCGTTTTGTATGACGTCCGTTTCACATGACGAACATGGAACGGATTAAATTCGTTATGCGAGGTACCACTGTATATCTGTTTTGACCTGCCTTATTTTTTAATGGCCTTCCTCATGATCAGCTCTTTGTTCCATCTATAGTATGGAGGCAAACTTCCAACATCTGGATTTTCACTCTTGGAAGCATAATTACAGTATTAATCAAATGATCAATGCTTACGATAAAGGAATTAATTTTTTTCATTTTGGCGTAGCTTCCTCCTCTTTCTTCCACTTTGCCATCAAGTATTGCTGGGAGGCGGTGTATGAAGTGTGGATGAATGTACTTCTGAAATAATTATAATCTGTATTAAGAAGCCTCCAGTGTTTGATTATCTCCAGGTATGGCCTGGTGGGATGTTTAGGAAAGATCCCTGTTGTAGTCAGAGATGAGAAGCTTGCAATGATGCACTGTGGAGTTAGTATTGTCCCATGAGGGACTGTAATTTTAAAGTCACTGAGTGGCCCAGGTTGGGAGGTACAGTATTTTGTGGTTTTAATTTTATTCTTGTATATTCAGTATGTCATTTGAAAAATATTTATTGTACTTTATGCATTTCAGGAGCCCTGAACTATTGTTTGGAGCACGATCATATGGAACTGGAGTTGATATGTGGGCAGTCGGTTGCATCCTGGCTGAAATGCTGGTACGCTGCCCATATTTTCCAGGGGACTCGGATCTGGACCAACTCACTAGAATATTTACTGCTCTTGGTACGCCCACAGATGATAACTGGAAGGTAAATATATATTTATAATACTTCTCCTTCTTTAATATGTCCATTACTTTATATTTTTAAGTTTGTATATAAGTACTTATTAAAAAACAAAAAATCAGTAGGAAAACTAAAATGCAGTACAGTATTCTAATAGCAAACAAAATGACATTATTCAGTTTGCTCATTTGATATGGTGATATATGATGTCATGAATGATTGGATCTAAATAAAGTTGTATTTATTTTACAAATTATCTGTTAAAGAAATTACTCTTTTTAATTAACAAACATTTATGTTTACATACTCATTTTTATTGGCAGTTATTGGGTACCTGCTGTATTTATTATTCTAGATATTCTTGTTATGTATTATATCTGCTCTTCCATGTGTGACTGGAGGTGGCTTCCAACACATCTGCTTCCAATTTGTTCTACTTATTTACCTCGTATTAAGTCATTTGTCGTAAGGCAAGTGTAACTTTAGGAATTTTCTTTGTGTAACTATGAGCTTTGGGTCAACAATGCTTTCATCACGTGCATCTCACTTACCTCACTACCGTTCCCACCTCCCTCAGGCACCACTCATGCCCATCACCTTACACACTTCCTCAGTCTGCCCCCTCACATTGCTCCATTTTCTATGTAGTTATAAATCTAGTAAGATTGTTGTGTGTTATGTGGAATATAAAGTATTGAGGAAATGAAATGCGATGGACTTTATATTCATTGATTCATTGACATTTGTAGGAATTCGGTGAGTATTGGGCTTCAATAGGGATTAGTGATTCAGCTAGTAAGAATTTCATGGGAACACAGTTCCCATGAAATTCCCATTCCCATGATATACATGAACCAAGAAACACTCATCTGGGAACACTGTTTAATGCTCAAAACTGTCTCCTCTAATTGTTTGGCTTTGGTGTCACATTGCTTCCTTGGTTTTGGTGTGGAGTTTGCCTCATCTCCCTTTCTTAATTAATCTTCCTGCCTACTTCCACCTTCAGTCAGCCTGTGTGCCTCTAAAACCTTGATCGTTAAGTTCAGTCTGTTCTTCGCCTCGCCTCACTTTCTCAAGGATTGTTTCTACATGACAGCATTTTTTAGGGCTTTGCTATTAGGGAGTTGGATCAGTGAACTTCATGCTCACTGTCAGTAGCAAGGGTTTTATGATTTTAGTGTGGATGATCACTCTTCATCTCCATCCTTCTCTTTCTTGTTTGCTAAGAATGAGACATCTACCTCCCGAGAGGAAGCCACTGCAGTTGATCAACTATAGGTTTGTTCATTCGCTGCAGCGTTATTTGCACACTATTTGTGCATCTCATGAGCATGCCTTGTTCCTCAGTTTCAGGCCCAAAGTCCCATGTTCTAAGGCCAGGTTGTCTCAGGTCGTCTAGTAGGTTACCAAGTTTAACCAGTTAGATGCTTATTCCTCTATACGTGATGTGGGGTAAGTCGCTTCAGTGGATTTCTTTGGTAACATGTCCATGGTTAATATTGTGGCTTGGCAGATCTGGTGGTTCAATTGGGTGTTGGTTACTTGTTGTCTCCTTGATGTGGATGTGTTGTGCTTGGACAGGTGGCATATCACTGATATATACTTCATTCATCCCCTAAAGATCTGCCTCCTTCTTGCAATGATAAGCTCTTTCTATATTTCTGTTGTTCTCTTTCAGGAAACCCATTCTCCTCTCCAAGGCATTGTTGAGAAAGTTTCAGAGAAATGCTTAGGGGGACTAGAACAAAAATAGAGCATTAGTGTAATGTAACTCCACTATCTCTGCAACATCTTAGTAGCTCCCCTTTTGTACTCTGTCCTCATTTCTTTCCTCTAGGGTTGGGGACTGGGGATTTGGCAGTGAGGAGTTTGGCTGGCTGGGTGACCTTAGCTGGCATCTGGTAGTTGCTGGAAGAGCAAATGTAGTTGACTGCTCCAATTATCTGCTGGGCTGCTTTGCCTTTTCATTCTTATCTCATATTGCTGTTGTTGGTTTTGCTTGGCCATTTGACTTTCTGAATGGTTCATCTCGGTTGTAGGTTTGTCATTTGATCCCTGTGTGCACCGATGACCTCTTTGAGGGGGCCAGATTTTTGTCTTGGCTCTTGGTAGGCCAAAAAGGCTTTAAATATAAAATGTTTTGGGACAGCCCTGATGTGCTAGTGCCTTAAAAACCAAATATTTTGGGACAGCCCTGTGATGTGCTAGCGCTTTAAACTCTGGGAAGGTTTTAGTGCTTTAAACCCTGGCTTTAAACTCTGGGAAAGACCCGCAAGTGAGGCCTGGTCGACAACTGGGCTGTGGGGATGCTTAGCCCCGGAAACACCTGAAGGTAAGGTACAAAGGTGCCATGAAAAGGTAGCATTTTATTGCTGTGCTTAATAGGTAACTTATTGAAAGTATTTCATTACATTATTTCTTAATATTGATTCAACACTTTATCACTGTTATGAATTAATGACATTACTTTTTCTAACAGGATCTAACAAAACTTCCTGACTATGTATCATTCAAGCATTTTGATGGATCTCCACTTCGTGATCTCTTCCTTGCTGCTAGTGATGATTTGTTGCAGCTTCTTGGGTCCCTGTTAATGATTAACCCTTCCAAGAGATGCAGCTGTACTCAAGCTCTCAAAATGCCTTACTTCAGGTAGTTTTTATTTCCAAAATAGACTTCCAAAGTTGTTTTGGTAATTGTATATGCAATTGATTATGAGTTGTAGCATATAACATAAATTTCAGCCTTCTGGTCAGTTGGTGAAAGTTTATATAAGTACAGTCTTTTCCTTCATTATAATTAATATTGTACGTACTCATATAAATTTTAGATATTTGGCTTCCAATGGTTTGAGGCAGCAAGAATGTTAGGCTTATGGAGTTCTTATTGGCCAATTACTAACCTTCTCAAGGATGCAACCCACTACAGTTAAATAGTGGGTTGTATAAATTGCATACCTATTTACAGCTAGGAAAACCGGCATCAGGTAAAAGAAAACATTGCCCAAGTACTTCTGTTCTGCTGCAAGTGTGACCTGGGTCCTTTTATAAGCACCTCCAAAGGATACCTGATCAACCAGGCTGTGATTCATACATCAGGCTGCGAGCAGCCACACCCAACAGCCTGGTTGACCAGTCCAGCAACGAGGAGGCCTGGGCAATGACCGGGCCACGGGGACGTTAAGCCCTGAAACCAACTCAAAGTATACTCAAGGTATACACTCACCCACTATCATCACCCTCACACCACGAATATATAAAACGCACCAGGTGAAAATACTGCAAATAGTTGTGAATATTTCAGTCATTATGAGCATAATTATCCAGCAAGTTTTTGTTTGTCTCTCTTCATGGATACATCATCTAATATTTTATCCTGTACTCGTCTCTTCCCAGCAGAATCAATCATATTCATATATTCACTTTTTTTCATAAATTTTACCTGTCTAACTTTCAAAGTACTGTACAGTATAGAACTTCTTTCACCTTTCCCTAATTTTTTTTGTCACCCGTTAGCATTCTCCCATATTTATCTTTGATCCATACTTTCAGATATATTATACCATATATTTACTATAATGCCATTTTGTTTTGGCTAAATATCAGCATAATGTGAATACCGTTCATTCACTTGGTATCACTCATGATAGAGACAGAATCTGCTAGTAATTCTGAGCTTTGCAGATTTTCTAACAGAAAAAACTTAAATATATGTATTAGTGAAATTTCTTGCTTCTTTTTATGATAACACTTATAGTTAAAAAAAAAAATGTTAGTATTGTTAAAAATTTAGACACAAAGAATAAGTCACAATAATGTTAAATATTGCTTGACTTGTAGTGCAGTACATGTGATAATTACTTTAACTACACAGTTTATTTACTTTCTATTAACTTCTTGTTGAAGAATTATTTAAGTATATTTTGTGGTACCTGTTAATAAACATCCTTTTGTTAAAGTTTTAGAGGATTGATTTTGATACAATATACTGTATTTTAAAAAAGTGTACAGAATATGTATGCTTATGGTTTTCATTGACTACCTGTCCTGAAATGCTAAACATTTATAGCAATATGTAAGTGTGAAACTCCGAAGGAGCCATGATTTCTCATTGATGCATCGTGTTAGTGTGATTACTCTGTGAATATGTTTGTGTTGTAGAAATATACATTATCCCATTGTGTGCTCTTGACCTCACTTTCCACCTTCCTTCCACAGTAACCGACCAGCACCAACACCTGGGCCAATGCTGCCACTCCCTGCTTCAATTAGAAACAAGAAGGAAATAGAGAAACCAACATTAAAACGCAAGATCATTGAAGAATCTGGATTTGGAGGTAAATGTTTTATACTACACAATTACATTTGGTTTTAAAATAACTCCACATGGTATCTTCTAGTCCCAATAAATCTGAAATAGCAACTGAATTTCCTTTTGATAATGCAAGTGTTGTTAGTAAATGAGGTAAAAGTTTACATTATTGTGCACTTGAAAATTAAAGTCTATTGCCATTTACATTACATTATGTAATATGACATTCCTGCAACAGACACACAGCAGTGTATAGCGTTTTCTTAATTTTAAGCTCTTGTACTAAAGAGTATTGACTTCACTTTTTTGTGTAAATAACATCATACTTGCATAGAATAAATTTCTTGTACAAACTTTACTTTTCTGAGCCTAGTTGCTTCCTAGAGCAAAAACCTGTTGTTTCTATGGATTGGATCTTACTGTCAGGGCAGGTTATGATTTATCTGCGCAGCAGCAATCTTTTTCAAATATCCCATCAGGGTTGTACTGATTGCAAACTGGAGACTCCTCACTTCAGTCTGGAGTGACCTCTAGAAAGTTTATTCATAAAAACCTAAGCTTTTTAAGCGGTCTTCGGTACTATAGACTCAAAACTACTGGTTGGCGGCCCACCTGGTTACTACTCTTCTGATTGCCAACTGGTGGCAGCAGCTACACTGTAATAGGTCCTTGACTCAAGTCCCCTCACATTCCTTCTGAATGCTTTCTCATGCCAGTTTAAGGCAGACAGACTAGAAATAAGTTTAGTGGCTCACAAATTATTCTTGGAAGCATTTGTTTCTGTGTGTAAGTGGCCTATCCTGTTAGTGAATACTAACAGGATAGGCCACTCCTCCACCACACACAGGATACTCCTGTGTGTGGTGGGGAGTGGTTGGTGGGTGATGTGCGATACAGTTGGCTAGTTCCTGAGAGCAGGAGTTACAGAAGCAAAAGCAGAATGGAAAACGAGAAAAACTTTGAGGTGGAAGGCCAATGACCCCAAGCTTAGATGTGAGGCTGGGTGAACATATCAGCCAAACAAGCTATGGCTTAAGATTCGTGATAATCATGAAATAAAGTAGATCATATATTGAGGAGGTATGAAAAGGTATCAGTAGGTGTGGGCCTTACAGAAATTATGACGATGGTCAGTGAGAATACAGTCTTCAAGATGTCCAAGAAATTCTTTATTAAACATAGTAGAATTAAATCATTCACATTTTTTTTGGAAGGTACAGGTACAACAAAAGTCCTGTTTCTAAGAGACGAGTTTTAGCTAAGCAGTGTTGCCATTAAATTAACATCTGTTGGTGTCCATCACTTGTTAAATTATGACAATGGACGATTGGTGAGGTAGTTAATACCTTGACCATCTTGGAATTCTCTACCATTTGGTGATTACCATACAAGGATTAAGTTTGCTGCTTTGGGTACGTTCCTGATCATCAATCCTAAATAGTAGGACATTGTGCTTGTTCATTTGCATATATAGCCTATGGCCATGTAGGCCATAGTAGGCTATATATGTAACACACAGGTATGTAATGATCAGTGACCCCTGCTTTTAGCTGCGAGGATTGTGATAATTCCTGAGTATGACAATTGCTGGTAGTTTCCCCCTACTGTCTTTTCCTAACCACTTGGGCTGAACAGCCTTGCTTCATGCAGGTCAGCGTTCAGTCCCCGACCGACCAAGTAGTTGGACCTGGATTCCTTCTAGTTGGACTTGACTCCTTCCCTCCTGTCCCATCCCAAATCCTTATTCCGAGCCAAGTGTTACATAGTCGTAATGGTTTTGTCATTTTTCCTGGTAGTTCCCTTTCACTCCCCACGTTGAGGGAACTTGGTCATGTTGACCAGACCACACACTAGAAGTTGAAGGGATGACGACGTTTCGGTCCGTCCTGGACCATTCTCAAGTTGATTGTGGTCACAATCGAACTTGGTCACAAATACCTGTTCGAAGTCTTCATGATTATCGATTTTGTCAAGGATACTCTGTCATCTCTAGTGTCAGGGAGTGATGCTTTCTTCTTGGTAAATGAGATATTTCATTTGATTGAGGATGCTGGTTTCTTCTAATAGGTAGTCTTAATGATGGCATTTAATAACTTTTTTTTCCTAGTTTTTCAGTAAAGTGCTGCACTATTGAAACATTTGTATAGCCTAATTTTGTTTCCCAAATATTTGTATTATACTATGTATGTGATGTTATTTTATTGCCTATCCAATGATCTCATGCTACAGTGCAAAAGAAATTATTTATCACAACTGTTCCTGGTAACCACCACTGAAGCGATGACTTCTCAATAATTTTAAAGGAATGTGGCTGTGTGGCATTTATGGATTCATTGCCCAAGTGAGACTTTCTCAGAGCCCAGTGTCCTCTATTTGAACTACTCTCCAAAACGTCTACAACTATAAATGATTTTAATATACTGGATGAGGCAGCGGACTCCATCTGTAATCACATAGAATTAGCTGATCAACATTCAGTTCCTCAGAAACCAATCAACCCATTTTACAGACACATCTCATAGTGGAACAAACAATACAGTGATGTTGCTGAATGGAAGAAAGCCTCATGCAGATCTCGACAAAACCCATCTACATAAATTTGCATCCAACATGAATAAGGAGCAGTCCATGCCTGTCAAACCTGCCTTTGGAATAAGACAAGGTTGTGTAATGTCCCCAACGTTGTTCAACCTATATACTTTATACTGTATGTAGATGGCGATATCAGTGAGAGTAAATATGAATCAAAGATAACAAGAAACTGAATGGTCCATAACCAAGTTATCTATGGTAGTTTTCTCTTATCTACTCTCATCTAATGAAAATATATCGTCTGGAAGTTTATTTCGGCATTCTGTAATCTTAATGCTAAGGAAATATTAGCAACTGTATATCTACTTGACTTCTTACAACTCTAAATTTAATTCTCTCATTTCTGGTACCACCTTACAGTTCTAAATAAATGTAGATAAAAGCCTTAGTGGGTCCTACTGACCCATCTTTGTCTTTTCACCTTTAATACTTGGGGTGCCGCTGTGGCACCTATCATCAAAGGTGCCACTGCCTGTTTGCAAAAAAATAATAAGGATAACAAATTGTTCTTATAAAACTATTCATTTGCCTGCAGAAAGTAAAGAAATTGCAAAAAATGCGTTGGTTCATCATATTGGACTGAGAACTGTGATGTTCAAGTTAGATTGTTTATATATACAGTATATATATGTTCACTTTTTCATTAGTTTACACAATGTGTGTGGAATATCTAAATTTATGTAGTAGTAGGCATCCGTCAGTCTGAGGAGACTATTGTGTTGTTCTCTGGTTGTCAGTCCGGAGTTGCCTCTCCAGGCAGAGGCCACTGGAGATGACCTAAATTTATGTACGCATACAGTAATAGCAGAAACGGTGAGTTCTGTATATAGGTCTACAATATAATATGTACATCTATATTGCATGTAAATCTGCACATGGTAGATTTCAAAATAAATGTCTTGCAACCCACTCCTTTGCTGGTATTGTCTTAGAACATGTCCAGAGATATTCAATAGATAATTGCAAGCCACTGGTACATGATAACTTCATCGCATTGTAGGCACTTCAAAAGAATAGCAGAATTTTCCCCCAGCTGTTAGCTAACTCCATTACATCCATATACAGTACTGTAGATGTATTATAACCATGTTTACTTCATTTATAACTAAAATCGATATATGATAACTGCATTATCCAGGGGATCACTGTCAAGCCTGGTCCCAGGCTGGGCTCGAGAAGTGGAATTCCAAGAACCCACTCCTGGTACAATCCAGATACAATGTATGTCAATAAAATCACTCTTTAATTGTTAATAGCTGATGATGATGCAGAGAGTGGTGATTATTTTCCACAGAGTTAGGATTGGAGGAAAGCTTAAGATTAATACTAATTAAAAAGATGATTTAAAAAAAAGTAAAAGATGGATTTTTCTCTACTGGAAGAAATAAAAGTAAAAATATTGATGAGATATAAGATTAAACTGGGGGAGAGGTTAAGATTTTCTTTTACTCTTTATGATCAGTATTGTGCAAACATAGAACAATATAAGGAGAAAGTAATAGAAGGAAGGAAGAAAAGCAAAAATCTATAGATTCCCTAAGGAAGAATTATGAAAGTTTGTTATGTAACTATGATGTGAAAAAACAGCTCTCTTTTTTCTTTCTTTTCTCTTTGGTATCCATTTCTGGGACTGTACTGATTCTGGAGTTTGCTTGGTGGTCTGAGAATTTTGTTATCTACTGCCATTTTCTTATTCCTGCTATAGTTTCATCAAGCCTTTTTTTCCATCCTGTTTATTATAGCTATGATAGCTTGGATTTTGCTTCATTTGTGCTCAAGGTTATTTTTATACATGGTTCATGTACGTTAATTTTTGCAATGACCTGTTAATGAAGATGCTAATATGCTGTACAGTATTAACTTTGGTAATACTGTATTTAAAAATATTCAGCTTTCTTGCATATTGTGAATGACTTTACAGTGTCACTATTTCCACCATAGAAGCTCTACATTATTTAGCAGTTTTCCCTTTACATAACTTAATGGTAATTTAATAAAGAACTGTACTGTATATTGTTATTAATAATGTTGCTTTCTCTTGCAGCATCCTTAGCCAAGAAGCTCCAGTTTTAACTCGGAAACAGAGAAGCACGGACTGAAAGACTGGGATGAGAGACAGGCCTTGTCTCTGTGATATTAAAACACTTCAAGAAATTCTTTAGTTAATTATGATTTGTAATGCTCTTAATCTAATGACATCTAATAGTCTCAAACAAATGGATTTTCTGTTTGTCCAAGTTATTCTGTTTCTGTTATTAAAATCTAAACTTTTATATAATGCTCATAAAGATGCAGTAGTTTTGTATTAAATTTGGTGTATTTCAAAAGGAAATATTGTATTGTATCTGTACTGTATTTCTAAGGCTTCCAACAAAATGTATGACTTCTTCCAACTTAATTCAAATTTGGTGTCATTATTATGATTAAATTATTGCCAGGATGTGCCTGTATTTATTAATAAAGAGAAAACACAATACTAAAAAAGTGCCCTTATTGTTCCATAAACAACTTGTGAAAAAAGTGAAATATGTGTAATATTCAAGAAAATGTATATGACAAGCTTGAGGTGTGGGAAAGTAAGTGAATAATACAAATATTTTCATGTACAGTAATTATAAAGGTGATTCATAAAGCAGTAAACAATTTTATTACATTAGAATAATTACATTAGAATTTTATTACATTAGTGTAGAATTACACTACTCCATTTTTCCATCACGGAGTAGAAATTTCCAAGCAATGTTACTTAATCTAATATATTTGAAACCAATCTTAACTTTCAGAGAATTTTTTTTTTACTTTGCTGAATCATGTGTTCTATTTTTGTAAGCATTTAGTATGTTATTTTAGTTATAAGAAATAAAGTGGTGCATGTTTTTTTATACCCTCTCATAGAGTATTCATCTTTGTGCATCATAGTGGGAAGTTGCTAGGGCTTAGTACTAAGGCTTAAACCCTTATGTACAGTTACAAGCCATAAATTCTTTACTCTTCTGACAAGAAGGAAGTAAAAATCGAGGCTGGAGAAAAGCCAGAGGAATGAACATTGTATACTATAATTATATAATTATAAATAATCTTTTCTTAATTTCTTTCTATTAAGAAATTTATAATTTCTTAATATTCTCTCTCTACACTCTATCACAATATTCTGATATGCTGGGCGTCTGCTATTTAAAGACTCTAACGCTCCTCTGCTGTCAATAAAGAAGCAATCATTTTTACCACATTTGACTACTTCCTGTAATCCTGCTAATACACCTTGGAGTTCAGCCTGCGTTGAAGAGACATTGTCAGTTAAGCGGTGTCCAATAACAGTATCTACAGTGCCGATGTCAGTGTACTCCCAGATCAAGACTCCACATCCTGCCTTCCCATCCCTAGCTACTGACCCATCACAATATACATGTAGAGTGTTTTCTGTAGGCAGTTTTCTAATTATACAATCATATGTTGCCCTCAGCTCTCCTATTTCATACATACTTTTTTTCTTTTGCAAGGGAGTGATTACTACATCTACATTACAATCCTCCCATGGTGGTGTGAATTTTCTCTTGGGCACAGCAATACACTGTAATAACATCATACTTTATAACATTAGAACATAAGTTATTCATATATACTCTCTTCTTCACCATACACTGTTCACTACTTCCCACCTTTTGAACCAAGAGGATTAATTCATTAGCTCCCCTACCTCTCGTTAATCTAATGGCAGAGGCTACATTTATCTCTACAATTCTATCCCCAATACTCTGCAGATTCAACTCCATCCTCATTATCTCAATCATAGCATTTCTTGGGCATCCTAAGATAATTCTCATGGCTTCATTTTGTACCTTCTCCAACTTGCCCATCCTACCTTTACCAAAACAAGAAATGACAGGTGCAGCATAATCAATAAGAGATCTTACAGTACTCAAGTATATCATTCGTAGCACAGGGACTCCCACTCCTTTTCCACAGCATGCCAAGGCCTTCAGAGGTTGTAATCTCTTCCGACATTGACCCAGCAGTCTGTTCATCTCAGCTTCCAAACTCTCATGGGTATATCCAACATATATGCCTAAATATTTATATATATTAACTCTCTATATTTTTACCGTTTATTTTCAATATAATGGGCCTCCGACTTCTACATTCAAACTTAGTTTTGTTTTCATTAACCACCAGTCCCATATGGTGACACAGGTTTCCGAAATTGTCCAACACTGTTTGAACTTTTGAAATATCTTTGCCCTGAAACAAAATATCATCGGCATATATGATCGGAGCTATCTGAGTATCTCTCAGATGCTATCTTATTCATTAGTACATTCAACAGGGTGGGACTCAACACTCCTCCCTGAGGTGTGCCTCAGGGAGGAGTGTTGATCTCACACCTGACATACAACTTTGATACCACATCTGAGCCTTCCTTTCGTAAAGATAATCCCCTATCCAGCGCAATAATCTCCCTTTAACACCAAGACCAGCTAATTCATATAAAATAACTTCTTTGTTGGCTTTATCAAAAGCTCCTTGTAAATCAATAAAAATTCTATAATAATCATTTTCATTAGCTAGACATTTAATAATACAGAGGTACTTTTTCCTTTGAGGAACCCGAACAAATTACTAGACAGCTGATCACCTATTATATATAAAAGTCTATTTAAAATGAGCCTCTCCATCATTTTACAAAAACACGAGGTTAAAGACACAGGTCTGTACTCTCCATTGGCTTTAGGGATAGGGATGATTATAGCTTTTTTCCATTTACTGGGAATACTGCCCTCTTCATAACTAATATTAAAGAAGTCTAAAAGTGGGCTTTTCGTCATAATGGCAAGTTCATTAAGCATTTCATAAGTTACTCCATAAATTAAGTATCAGGAATTAGGCAACTATTGTGGGTTGTATCTTAGGGAAGGCCAGTAGTGGACCTAGGCCTTTGGGGGACCTCTACATGTTTAAGTAATACAAGCTTCGTGTCTCCGACAATGGGAATTATATAGATAAGGACACATCCACATAGATGGTACACGAACGCGTTATTTTCATCACAAAAATACCCCCTTATCCTTCCCCCAAGGGTAAATGTTGCAAACGTTATCAGCAATGCCGGGCTGAAGGTGTTATTATTATAATAATAACAATAATAATAATATTAATCATTACTATTTATACTTATTATTATTATTTATTTATATATGTTATTATTTGTATTTATTATTATTTGTATTTATTATTATTTGTATTATTATTATTTGTATTTATTATTTATTATTATTATTATTGTTATTATTATTATTAATATAATGACGAGCTGTGTAAATTATTAAATAGATATTAGCGATTCATCTTAGTAATCCGCATTCAGTTAATTCTTATGCGCGGCGAATGGTCGACTTTATTGTACATTGACCTGACATATCTTATCATAAGCAATTACAAATATTTTTCTTAGGTAAATTCTCATTATATTTATATATATCAATATAAATGAAACATATAAAAGTTGTGTTTTGGAATGTTTATTAAAGAAAGGGGAATGGAAGTCGAGGTTCCCCCCGCACCATAACATCACCGGTGTTTGGATGGTGTCAGGCGCCAGCTCTCACCATGGTCAGTGGTCCTTACTTCTTCCCTGTCTGGCTATATTATTCGAGCGTTCTACCTTGTCTGGCTATATTATATGAGCGGCCTACCTTGTGTGGCTATATTATACGAGCGTCCTACCTTGTGTGCCTATATAATAAGTGCGCTCTGCCTTGTGGGGCTATGTTATACATGCTTCTTACCTTGTGTGTGTATTATACATGCTTTGTATCTTGTGTGTGTGTATTATACATGCTTTGTATCTTGTGTGTGTGTATTATACATGCTTTGCATCTTGTGTGTGTGTATTATACATGCTTTGTATCTTGTGTGTGTGTATATTACACATGCTTCCTGCCTTTCGTCTCTTATATTACACATACCTCGTACCTTGTGTATACTGTATATATATATTATACATGCTTCTTACTTTTATCATACATGCACTGACGACAATTTTGTCTAGCTGAACAACCCTTAAGCATTTTGAGGTTTCTAGTTCAGATTTCCTGGATTATATCCAAGTATTGATGTTGATACTCTTTTTATCCGTTTTCCGATAATTTGTATAGTTAAGGAGCAAAGTTAGTTGATAACATGTATATAGTATTTAAACATTTCGGTGATAAGACATTCATAAACATAGTTCTCGGTAATACTTTTGTTCATGTTAAGTTAGATGTGAGTCACTCCGTAAATATGACAATTTGCTAATAGATTTTAGAACTACCTAACCCAATTGAACCCAACTAGCCTAACCCACGTAAATCTACTTAACCTAACCCACTCGGCTCCATTTAAACCCACTTGAATCCACCTAACCCACTCGAACCCACCAAACCTTAACTCACTTGAACCCAACTAGCCTAACCCATTCAAAAACCAATTTGCCTAACCCACTCGAACTCTACTAGCCTACCCTAAATCAAAAGTAATGTCATTCAAAATCCCTGCTTTATCAACAAAACTTTGGGGGACCATTTTTTATATTAGTGACCTTGCCTAACTAAAATCTAATGTAAGAAAACTCGGCCTGACTTAACGAAATGTACTATTTTAACAAGTAGAGAACGTCCTATTCACCTGGACTGTATGGGTCTCGAACCATGGACCCCACACTTATGAGGCCGTAGCTCTATCAACTGGGCTATGAATAGTCTCCAGAAAGTTTCCAGAAGCAGCACCCTACTGCCAAACTGAAATTTTCAACTTTCCCTGATTACTACTGAAGCTCGGGGGAATTACTGACCCACGCCCATATCATATAAATTGCCATTTTAATTAGATAAATAAATTAGATAAAGTAAATTTTAATTTCAATTAGCGGCATTGACAAGCCACATACTCTACCACTATTGCCACTCTACCACTTAGCAATGCTGAGGTCGTAGGTTCCCTCCCACTTCACAGCCCTAGTGAATTTTCTCATCGATATATATCACGTTAGCATGATTTCTGCATTGAATGCTAGTTAGATCTCTGGTAGATAATTTTGTCATTCACTTCATACCAGAACAGTTCATAATTACTATATCATCTATGAACACATACCAAGCATTCTGGACATTATATACTGAATTTATGGCCAGAAAGAGAGACAGTTTTAAATGTTAATGTTAGAAACAGATGTTTTTATTGAGCAAAGAGCAGTCTCCGTGGCGTAGTGGTAAGACATTCGCCTGGCGTTCTGCGAGCGCTTTGTCCTGGGTTTGTATCCTGGCCGGGGAGGATTGACTGGGTGCAAATCCTTAACTGTAGCCTCTGCTTAGCCCAACAGTAAAATGGGTACCTGGTTGTTAAAAGATTCTTCGTGGGGGTCGTATTCCAGGGAACATAGGATTAAGGAATTGCCCGAAATGCTACGCGTACTAGTGACTCTACAAGAATGTAACAACTCTTGTATATATCCCCCCCCCCCCAAAAAAAAAAAAAAGTGGATAAAAGTGAGTGTACTTATGAAGGTTGCCAGAGCTTATCCCAATTTTTGTAATATACTTGTAAAAGTTTGATTTGCTGGTCTGGTCTGGTCATAAATTGAGGCTTTCTTTGTAAATTATGCAAATTATATATGCTCTGTCTTACAACTGAACAAAAAATACATTGAAATACATTATAAGAGTTCTTAATAATAATTGGTAATTTAGAAATTATATGTGAGGGATTGTAACAAATAGGCAGACCATTATGGCTAGACATGGGACATTATTTTTAAGGTGGGCATGGAGCCACATGACCCATGGGACATTAACTGTCAAGGTTCACGTATCTTTTGAAACTGGCAAATTCCTAGTTTACAACAAGGGGTGTTATTTTAAGGTAAAGGCAACCTGGGTTTTGTTTTTCATATGGCTAATTGAAGAGATGATTAGTAATCTCAAGAGTTCCATTTAGACCAAATATATTTACTTTTTAACGGTCTAATGAGTTTTGTTTGTCCGTTTCAGTTTCGTAATCAGTATGATAATGATGTCACTGTATGGTCTCCACAAGGACGTCTCCACCAGGTATGTTTCCAGACAAATTGTCAATTATTACTAATAATATTTATATTATTATTATTATTGGTACATATTATTGTAATTACTGTAATTGTAATTACAGTAATCACAGTAATTTCCAATTACTGTGTTACTGTAATTGGAAATGTTTGCCAGTCCCAGTAACCTGAAGAATCTAAACAGATTTTTATTTGTCTGTAAATAAAATAATTAGTTCAAGCTACTGTATGTTGCGTGAGGGTATGGTATAGCATTTTCCTTTCTGCAAAATATGTTTTTCTTTCAGTGTCTCTAGATTACAGTACTGAACTAGTCAAACAGTATGGGGCAGTCAAGTAAAAAATAATCTCCACTGTTTGGACTAGGGGGAATAAATGGAGTACCTGTATATTGTATTTGATGTGTGGATGTGATGCAGTTCTTGTAGCATAAATTATTATGTACCAATAAAAGAGTGGCTACTTTATAATTATTACTGTATATTGTATAGAATAATAATCTGGTATTGTTCAGGTGGAGTATGCCATGGAGGCAGTGAAGCAGGGTTCTGCCACTGTGGGTGTCAAGAGCTCATCTCATGCCGTTCTGGTTGCTCTAAAGAGAGCTTCTTCAGAACTAGCAGCTCACCAGAAGAAAATAATGCCAATTGACAAACACATTGCAGTTTCAATCTCAGGTACTTTCACATTACTTAATATTGTATTTTTATCTAAATTATGTATTGATGCATTTTCATCTTGATTAGGAATCCCGTATTCCTAATCATTTGTTGCATTTTATGTTTTTGACCATTTTGGGTCAAAACTTGTAATAAAGTTTTGCATTAATTATAAATTACCATGCCATGATCTTAATCAGGTAATTTTTTATATCACTTCTGCATTCATAGTGTAATTGCATATATGCAGTGTCTTCCTTGAATCCTTTTAATTTTATGTTAAATTTATTAAGTGGCAGTAACATAACACACACAGTAACACAAATTCTGATGATGCATTTTGTATTACAGGCTTTAATTAGTTGAAAATAAATTTGACATCATTGTGTTTCTTGGGTAGATGAGTATTGTATGGGGGACATTACCAGCACTATGTGTGACCTTGTGGGCATCACTGCACATTCCCTCTTTTATGTTTGTAGTGATTTAGATGAGGGTAGAGTCTAATAATATAAATGATGCTGTATATAGTGAGAATATCAGTAGGGGCCAATGATGAGAATTCGAACATGCACACCGGGAAGTCCAAGTATAAACCACTGGACCACGATATGCTACAAGATTATTGTAACCTGGGACTCAACTGAATCCTTTAGGGGTCCTGAGACATCCAACTGATACCAAATTAAGGTTACACACATTACCCACATACACTCTGGTGTGGTATAGAAGTCCCCCCCCTCCCCCCCCCCAACACTTTCTTCAAATGCACAAAGAAATTACATTAATATCATGTATCAATAAGAAAATCAGTAGGGATTTCTAGGGAAAATTTGAACCTGCAATTACAACACAACTAACATTTCACATTTAACTTTGTGAAAATGCACTGGGAGGTGGTGGGTGGGGATCAGGACAGGATCCAACGTCTGGAAGCATGGCATTGGAATAAGTCCAACTGGCCTATGACACATCCACACCCCACATGCTTAATGTGTGTGAAAGTTAGGTGCGGCTAACCCCATGTGTCTGACCTCTACCCTAACCTCGAAAACATGCAGACATTCTCTTTAATAGATATACAGTAGATTGATCTGTAAAGCCCATTCCTTTCTCGAATGCATCCTTGTCACTAAGTGTGTAAATATGTAGATTTTTTTTCTGTACAGTATTTGGTTTCATTATCGGTAAGAAAACAACCTGAAATTATGGTAAATTATTTTTTCACATAGCAAATGCATAAATTAAAAAAAAAATTTTGAATTAAAATTTTGGATCTGTTTTTGTGTTATTTGTTAATTTTAATATGCTGTTTTTCATTTGTTAAACATATGGGATAGGTATACAATTAAAAGTAAAAGTTAATTTGTTTTCCTGGAAAGAAGACACAGGTTGCTGAATATTTCTGTTGCTGATTATTATTTGTGACTGCAGGGTTGACTGCTGACGCTCGTGTCTTATCACGATTTATGAGGACAGAGTGCCTGAATGAGCACTTTGCTCATAACCAGGCTTTATCTTTAAACAAACTGATGGAGCGTGTTGGTGCTAAAATGCAGATTGCTACTCAGCGCTACGACAAGAGGCCATACGGTGTGGGTCTTTTATTAGCAGGATTTGATGTAAGTATATCAGTCTTTAGATTCACATTATATTTATCCTTTCCAGGATTCAGACGATATACTAGTTTTCTTGAAAATTAAATAGTGAATTTTCCCCAGATTGGCATAGATTCATTTGGTACTGCTGGTTTAGTATAGTATTTGTTCTGTAATGCTTCGTAATATCTTCGAGATAGCTTCATAACTTAAGAATACAATAATTGTAAAGTGTAGCATTGTCCCGCTTAAAGAGAATGTGCCTAAAAGATTTCCATTGCATCTAAACTTTGCTATTGAGAAAAAAAACAAGTGTTAATGCATATTTTATTTCTTATCCACTTGGGAAAAGAAGGTGTTATAATTAAATAATTGTTGAATTTGTTTGTCCTTCAGCATTGTATTGCATTCCAACAAATATGTGCACTCCCCTCACTGTGAGTCTTGTTCTTCCTTTTGCAACTGATCACAGAAATCTTATAACCTCAACTCATTATATTGATTCTTATTTGTATCATAAAATATGCTGGCTAAGGGGTACTTTTTGGTCAACTTTGTACAATCCAAACATATCTGGGTATTAGTTATTGCCCTGTGAATATTACTTTTATTATTCTTTTGTGGTTATGGTATTGGTGAGAAAATTAGGTATGCCAATAATAGCACGCAGAAAGTGGCTCTGGATAGGATTGAGTGAAATTAAAATACCAACTTTTTTGGGGTCAATTCACAAGTATTGTAGTACTTTTCACCTAGTTTTATGAAACTGTTAGAATACTATTGCACATATTGTATTTGGCCAGTTATTGTTACCAATAAGCTTTTGCATGGTGTGAGCTCTTCAGTAAGAAGACTAATGAATTCCAGAATTCATCCAGGCCAAGAATTCCAGTAATGATAGTTCTTAACATTAAAGTTCATAGTATTTGTATGTGAAACTCTTGATATTCTATACATAAAAATAATTTTAAAGGGGCTTTCTCACATCACATTTGGTGGGCAAATTAGATTAAGTAATTAATTATCAAAAGTAGGCACCAAGCTGGGAAGACTATGTAGCTGGACAAAGGAAAATAATATAGCATAAAGAGCAGCAAGAAGTAGGATTAAGATAGCATCTGTAATGATGAATAAATTGCAGGAAGATGGTCCCCATATTTACCAGACCTGCCCTTCTGCTAACTACTATGACTGTCAAGCTATGGCAATAGGTGCGCGTTCCCAGAGCGCTCGCACCTACCTTGAACGCCATCTTGAAGAGTTTCGCAATTCTGCACGCGAAGAGCTTATTCGTCATGCACTACGGGCTCTCAGGGATACTCTTCCCAATGATGTGGAACTCACCAATAAGGTAACTATTATCGTGTGGTCTTAAATATTGCAGTTATTCTAATTTTATTTTTAGTAGAAATCTTGTAAACCTGAATGCATTAAATGACTCATAATACTTAGCATATATTATCACAGATTTACTTTTCATTAATCAGGTAATTTAATGGTACTTTATATTTGTATTAAATTTTTTGTTTAATTTGGAGGCCAAATAAAAAGAGAAAATACATGTTTGTGCTTAATCAATGAGAAAAGAAATATAATCAGGTGCATATTTTGGTATTATACAAATTGTAAAAATTATTGAAATTAGATAATCTCTGAAAAGCTGTTTGTTTTTCTTGTTTATGAAAAACGTTTAATCTTGAGCAATGGCTGCATTTTTTAAACACAGTATTTGGGTTATTAACTTTTAGTTAAAGGATTAACTTTACTTCATTACTATTCATCTAATAAATTGTTTACATTCATTAATGCAATTTTTTTTATAGATCATTATGTGCTATTTGAACATAAATGAATTACAGTACCCTTTTTCCAGAACTGCAGCATAGCAGTGGTGGGTAAAGATGAGGACCTAAGTATATACGATGATGATGATGTAAATCCCTACCTGGAAGGCTTGGACCAAGAGGAACGACGGGGTGGTACCGGAGCACCCCGAGATGCTCAGCCACCTGCTGGTGGAGACGATGCAGCTGCTGCCAGTTCTACTGATGCAGCTGCTAGTGCTGCTGCACCACCACCACCTCCAACAGACGATCAACCACAGGTTAGTTTCTAATGCTAACTTGCAGAATTTTTTGTATGCATGTGTTAAGTAAAAAGGAGATTAGTTAACACTTACCTGAGCCGTGGTCTCAGGAAAGTTTTGAATCTCATATTCTTTGATAAATTGCACAAAGAAAGTCATGGAAGCTTATGAGGTAGTTAAAATGTAATAAAAGCCAGAAAGATGGAGTTGAATATTGAAGGTAGTACAGCCTGTAGAATTAAAACCAAATACAAATAAAGTTTAAATCCTTTACTTGATGAAATGGGTATAATATTTGCAAGTGACAATCCAACAAATTAATATAACTAGTATACGACTATACTAGTATAGTCTCATTGTCCTGGACCAACTTGAGAATGGTCCAGGACGGACCGAAATGTCATTGTCCCTTCACTTTCTAGTGTGTGGTCTGGTCAACAAATATAACTAGTAATTTGCAATAAATAGTTATCAATTTGAAATTAATTCTCCACAAAATTGCCAGAAGAAATATTCTGGGTGGGCACATTGATGTATAATAGGCACATGATTTTACATGGGGATGTTTTCCTTGAGATATGATATAGAATTAAACTGCTTTGAACAATGTTATAATTAACCTAATGACAAAAGCCAGATACATTCATAGATATTTTTGTATATTACAGTAGTATATACAAAAATAGTGTAGAGCGCATGACTGACTTAGAGTCAGTCCCTCGGTCACTTCCTTAGTCCAAGTTCCCACTTTTTCCAGGGCTAGAATGACCTCATCTCCTTAGTAAAGTAAGTTTAAAATGTACCTGCAAAAAGTCTCCAGCCCAGTCATCATTTCCCAAAGTCAATGTACTTTGTCTACAACACTTTAAGAAAGACTGATGTAGATGTAGGTTTTGGGTTGGCCAGTAATACTGAATGTAACCTCCAGTGTTTAACTATGATTATTACCTCTTGCCACATTATTAGGCATCTTTACTCTATAAATATTGTCACCTTTGACCAGTTGGACATTTTCATCATTTAAGGTAAATAAAAGGCAGTTTTTGGTGGTTGGGGACTGCTTCTTCACTGCATTGCACTCATAGAAAATCTTGTTCCAAGTTTTGAATGGTAATTTAAAAATGCCTCTTTTGGACTACTTCCCATTTCTAAGTTGAAAATGCATATGCACTAAGGTTACAAATCTGAATAATGATAATCAGTTATGTACTAGAATTGAATGCATTCAAATTAAAAAAGGCATTTAAGCAGTATTTTGTTTCAATGCACACTTTGCTTTGATAATACATTAGGTGAATCAAAGGTAGGCACGAAAATCATTGCTGTTTATTGAAGAATATGATTTGGTATTTGTTATATACTAATATGAAATAATGTTTTTATTTTTTATCTCTGACCCATAGCCAGCACAACAGGTAATGTTCATTTTTCAGTTACCATTTCAGATTTAGTTTTGTGTAGCATTTTCACCATTGTAAATTTTTCAATATAATAATGCAAGCTACAAAATGCAGATATGATAGCTAGAGATTTTGATTTTTGTACAGGCTAAAATATAATATATCCATTACAAAGATGACTGATAGGTACTATTATCCATGGTACTAAACCCTATCCTTCCACTTTCCCAATTGATGGTTCTCTTTTAGTACATTTTTGTGCGAGTGCCACTTGGTAGTTGTCTTTATTTTTCTGCCTCCTTATTGCCCATACAGTAAATGTTTATTGTTCTCTTTAATATATCCTGTGTGCTTCTGCTGTTTTTTGTTTTATGTGTGCTGTCTCATGTGTGATGGCAGTCATTTTGTTCACACTTTCATATTTGTGCAAGATAGTAGGAGCTGCTTAACTTTTATAAGTCAACCTTGCATGTAGATTTGTTTGACAAATTCATTACCATTTACCACTGTCTACCCACTCGACAAATACTACCCATCACCACTAATAACTATAACCAGCAACAGCATTAATGCTAACCACTATCTAGTTCTCTCCCTCTCTTAAGTTTGTGACTATAACAATATTTGTATTTTAAAAATATTTCATAATACAGTACCAGCATTATGTTTATTGAGATGTGCATGGCATAGAGAGTTGGAATAGCTGACCTGATCAATTGTGATTCAAGAGTATCTACTTTGGTATCATTTACTTCACTACTTACTAGTGTATTTTTTTCCCCTTAGTGAAGCCATTGCAAATTTTGCTATGACATTGCTTATTGATCCATGCAGATTTTTTACAAACTTATTAATGTTAAGACCTTACTCATTCCTCCATTCTTGTTTCCTTCTTGGTCTCTTACTTGCTCTTGACTTGTACAAAAAATATGCTTAATTTTTCAGTTTTACACATTTTCTCAATACAGTATATGTAAACTTTTAACTATATCTATATATATATATATATATATATATATATATATATATATATATATATATATATATATATATATATATATATATATATATATATATATATATAATTTTTTTTTGTATGTGCCTGTGGGTGACATGCTAATTAGCCCTGAGCAACACAAGGGTTAACCAGTTAACCACTCATTGATAAGATTTGTAATGTACATCAATAATCACTAGTATATTTCTTTTCAGGATTCCATGGATACAGACTAAGGATTCTGCAGTTATCCATTTGTCTTGGGTTTAGGATTTTGTATTTTTTTCTTGGCACCACTTCAGTTGGATACATCTTAGACCAGATGTTGCATCATATTACAAAAAAACATTTAATAAAAAATCTTGTAACTGACTAATTATATCGGATAAATCTAATTTGTGCTATCTTGTCTTTGGTGGATATTTTGTTACCAGGAACCCTTGTAAAATTCCTTAATAAAGTTATACATAGGTTCAATTTTTACTATCCTTACCTTTAACTTGTCAAAAATACAATAGTTAAAATACAATAGTTATATTCACATCTTTAAACCCCCAACTAACAATGAGTATTATGGTAAAATTGTGTTGGCCCCATCCTTCCCTTACCCCTCCCTCCATCACTCCCCTTAATCCCACTTTCCACCCTCCCCTTACCACCCTATGCCCTCCACTCTCCATCCTCCCCTTATTCCCCCACCCGTCTCTACCCTCATCCCATTAACCCTCTGCTTAGTCCCTCTTCCCATAAATAAAATATAATAGGGAGCGGTGAAACTACTCTATGATCTTAAGGAAATAATTTTTCTGAAAACTCCACAGACATCTTGACCAATATTTCACATGACCAGAACTATATCATAATTGGATGGGGGGGGATAAATATTTGTTTTAATTAAATAGTTGATCTTAGGCCTATCCCAACTTGCCTATATTCATCCAGTACCCCAGACTGTCGGAAAATCCGACACCATTTAATATATCATACAGATAATTGCTGTTGTATAAGCAAGTTAACCCATAGAAAACGTAACTTGTAGTGGAATTACCGTCTAAAGAAAACGGGATATCATCACCACACACTATTATAATTCACCACCTATTATGGTGGGAATTTTTTCTTAAATACATTAGTCTTTGGACTTTACCATCATAAAAACATCTTATATAAATTAACTTAATTATCAATATTAAAGTAGAGTAAATGTGACCCTTCTATCACCTTTGGACATCTGGACAATGTAAGCCAGGCGTCAGGTGGGGAAGGGGGGCAGCCATTGTTGTGTCACCTCCGAGACGTGTGGAGCAAATTTAGCTCCTATCATTCTGGACAATGTCGGCCAGTAACGTCAATAGGATGGAGTGTTAAACAGCCATTGTTATATTGAGACCAGAGGCTCACACGGGAGCAAATTCGGCTCCTGTTAAATTTACTTGGACGTAGTGTTATGGAACCCAAAGGTGTACCATTGTCAACACGCTGTCTACAAATACAAGTTAAGTGTCTATCCGAAACCCGTTTATCATTCATTTATGGCCATTAATGTCAGATATAGGGTGACCCGGTTAGATCGCGAAATCGCCTCAAACTAAAGGTAATTAAGCCAGGTCTTCATGTTCCATGTACTGTTTTCTCTGATATACTTGTCATATATAGGTATCTGGCTTCACAGCTAGCGCACTTTTGACAGGTCAAGACGAGGATGCAAGATTTGTGCACCAGTTACTGGGTGATATGGAAGCTACCTCAAAGAGGATAATTTGGTGTCTACACCCTAGTTATACCTGGTGGACTAACCTGCTGTACTATAAGATAAGGAACCTTTTCAATGTATGTAGTTACTGTAGTTTGATTGGCTGCATATATATTAATTTAATAACCCCCCCCCTAATGTGTAGAGGATCGATTTGTGAGATTAAGAGATTATTGCAGAAATACAGTCCACTTATCATTATACAAATTGCTATCGAAGTATATAAATTAACGTAAATATAAATTCATATAAATTAAATAAATATAAATCTCACAGGTCGGTTCCCACATTATTTGGTCCTTCGAACCGGATGACGGATTATTTGATCCTTTGAACCCACATTTGGTCATCTTAGTACCGGATGAACCAGTTATCCAGTGGATTCATTAAATATACTAGTGCAGTGTTATTTAAACAAGGCCAGCCAGTCAAAGACAGCGGCGAAGCCTCGTGGGAGCTCAGGAGCCTCCCTCAGCCCAGTTCAGCTTCGTCAGCGGTTTCATGCACACCCACAGATATTTGGTGGCGTGTTATTTCGTGAAATGACAGCGCTAATATTGAAACCAGCCAAATTAGTGACTGTGTCTTCGCGAGATTGTTCACGGATTTCGTGGTGTTACATTTCGCGAGAGATTATCCACGAATTTTGTGGACTATTTCGCGAGGTCACTAATAATATTTAATACTTCTAGATAATATTAGAAGTTTCATAGAGGCTAATTAAGAGGCTATTATCAATAATTGTGTATATTATTTCTCCAAAATAGAGAATTATTTAATATATATTGCACTAGTGATCATAGTATAATATTTACTAATTGCCAACCCACAACAGGGTAGGATATTAACACTGACTAGTTGAACTATTATTGCTCATCCTAGTCCCATTATTACCATAGTCAGTTGAACTATATTGATCAACCTACACCATTAATGAAAGGTGCAAACCCTATTTTGGGTGTAATTTTTATCAACTCGAGTTGAGTTGTATATATAATAATTTACTTATGATCATTACACCTTTGAGTGATTAATTAGTGTCTCTACCATCCTAGGGTGATATAGAAGAGCTAACCTAAAGGTACTTCCAGTGACACTGGTTTATCACTCAAATCATTAGTGTGTATGATTGTATATATATAATGTGTATTAATTTTAAGTGCTAACCTCTAGTAGAGGTAGGATTATTGCTTAGTGAGTGCAGAATTTACCCTAGGCTACCATCAGTGTTTGTTCAGTATTATGAGCAGCCCAAGTACAAGTCCCACAAGGCTTCACCAACTAGCCAGTATGGATAATGCAGGGAGAATGAAAAGAACCCTTGCAGGTCTTAAAGGCCACTTAACAAGACAGATCAAGAAATGTGAAGATTTGTCACAACAATCAACAGTTGATTATGCTAACCTAGAAAGCTATTATCAAGCAGCTACAGGTAAATTTGAGCAAATCAAATGCCAAATGGCTGTCCTTGTGGGGACAGACTACTACCATCAATTCATTGGTAGCCCTACTAAATATCAGGGCATAACCATGTTAAACTCTGCAGGAGGTAAATTACTCTCAGGCCCAGTATCAAACCTGAGGAGACCTATGCCTGCAGATAAACAATACCAGTAGAAATCTAAATTTGTCAGCTGATTATATTTCTCCAGTAGCATTATACTAAGGAGATTACAGCTGACTATACCAACAGAGGTTGATGTTAGTATCATCATTTAAAGCTGAAGATGAGTTCATGAGGCCTCAGTGGCAAATCAGTGAACAGTAGCCTAAAACAGCTACAAGTCACTGCGACCAATGTCACTGATCCCACTGCAGTCTCAGAACCATACTTTACTTTAATGATGAGCTATTCAATCCTCTGAATCAATTAACTAAATTAAACCCCAATAAATCTGATGACTGATTTGATACATTTATTATTTAATCAAGATGTATTCCATGGGCCTCAGTGTTTATATATCAGTGACCAGTTACCTGAACAAACTTCAAGTTATATCTAATGTCACTGATCTCATTGCAGTCCCTGAATCATACTTGACTGTAGTACTTGATCACATTCAGTCTTCTGGGTTAAATAATAAGTAATTAGGCTTGAATATTAGCCTTTCAAGAGTTGACAGGGAAATGAAATCGCATTAGACTTCTAACCCCTACAACTCTAGTACGGGACATCCGTCCTGTACGAACAGACACACAAATGTGTGATTACTAACTACTAACATCAAATTAATCTAATAATTCGGAGGAGGAGTATCGGTGTTCGTCTGTTCTAAATAGGACTTCGACCCGTGAGCAGCCCCCTGGGGAATTATGTCGGAAAATCCGACACCATTTAATATATCATACAGATAATTGCTGTTGTATAAGCAAGTTAACCCATAGAAAACGTAACTTGTAGTGGAATTACCGTCTAAAGAAAACGGGATATCATCACCACACACTATTATAATTCACCACCTATTATGGTGGGAATTTTTTCTTAAATACATTAGTCTTTGGACTTTACCATCATAAAAACATCTTATATAAATTAACTTAATTATCAATATTAAAGTAGAGTAAATGTGACCCTTCTATCACCTTTGGACATCTGGACAATGTAAGCCAGGCGTCAGGGTGAGGAAGGGGCAGCCATTGTTGTGTCACCTCCGAGACGTGTGGAGCAAATTTAGCTCCTATCATTCTGGACAATGTCGGCCAGTAACGTCAATAGGATGGAGTGTTAAACAGCCATTGTTATATTGAGACCAGAGGCTCACACGGGAGCAAATTCGGCTCCTGTTAGATTTACTTGGACGTAGTGTTATGGAACCCAAAGGTGTACCATTGTCAACACGCTGTCTACAAATACAAGTTAAGTGTCTATCCGAAACCCGTTTATCATTCATTTATGGCCATTAATGTCAGGATATAGGGTGACCCGGTTAGATCGCGAAATCGCCTCAAACTAAAGGTAATTAAGCCAGGTCTTCATGTTCCATGTACTGTTTTCTCTGATATACTTGTCATATATAGGTATCTGGCTTCACAGCTAGCGCACTTTTGACAGGTCAAGACGAGGATGCAAGATTTGTGCACCAGTTACTGGGTGATATGGAAGCTACCTCAAAGAGGATAATTTGGTGTCTACACCCTAGTTATACCTGGTGGACTAACCTGCTGTACTATAAGATAAGGAACCTTTTCAATGTATGTAGTTACTGTAGTTTGATTGGCTGCATATATATTAATTTAATAACCCCCCCCCCTAATGTGTAGAGGATCGATTTGTGAGATTAAGAGATTATTGCAGAAATACAGTCCACTTATCATTATACAAATTGCTATCGAAGTATATAAATTAACGTAAATATAAATTCATATAAATTAAATAAATATAAATCTCACAGGTCGGTTCCCACACAGACCACTCCCTCTGGCAATTTGAGCTAGGTTAGGTCCAAGCATCTGGCCTACAACTTTGGACAGAAATACATTCATATGGTATACATTTATATACCTATAAGAGAATGTCTGTCCAAAGTTTGATGCCAGATGCTTGGACCTAGCCTCGTCCAAATTGCCCAACCTGTCCTCGGGATATCATAGTACCTATGTCACATAATACTCATAGTTCGTGTGCTGCTAATGTTCAGTTTCCCTGTGGTAGATTTAAAGTTATCACCAGGCACCAATCTTTTCTTACATCCCATAGTATCCAATCCATCTCCGTAGATACCAGAATAGTCAGTTTGATCCAATTTGAACAATAATTGTAATTTCCCATTCCCACTTCTGATGATGAGGTTCAGGTCCAGTAACCTTTCCTCGTAGCTCATCCTACATAGCCTCGGCTTGGTGCCCTCTTTGATAATTAATTTCCTCTCAGCTCGTGGATTACCCTGGTGGCATATCTCTAAACCTTTTCTAACTTGGTTTTGTGTTTGACTAGATGTGGACTCTAGGCTGGAACCGCATATTCCAGCATTGGTCTGACATATTAGGTATACAAGGTTCTCAATTGTTCCTTACACAAGTTTCTGCAGAGAAATTTCCGTAATATTTTTCCATCCTATTGAAAGCTCGTAGTTTATTGTTGATAAATCTTGGTAGTTCTCAGTAAATTGTAATTATTCTATTAATTATTATCTGTAATGTTTCAATTGGCGACAAATTATAATATATACAAAAAGGTATGAAGTATTCAAATGGAAGAAAATGGATCGTATATTATGTAATATAGAAAACGTATAGAGTAGGGTACACTTCACTACCGCCCAAAGGATGGGTGGGGGGGGACCAATACCATTCACAGGATGGGTATGGGGTCCACAACCCCCCACGGGATGGGAATAGGGACCATAACACCGACAAAATGGGTTTTAGATCCAATACTACTAGCACATGCACTCTGTACCTCGACGTGCACCCTGTATTGTGCTATGATCTCGGTGGTACAGTCGGATTCCTTCTCGACGCACAATCGAGAATTCCGGGTTCGAATCCCGGGTGGGACAGAAACGGTTAGGCACATTTCCTTTCACCTAATGCCTCTGTTCACCTAGCAGTAAGTAGGTACTTAGGAGTTAGTCAGATTATTGTGGGGTTGCATCCTGGGCGGGGTCAGTAATTCGGCCTTGGTAGGGCGACCTCGATATAAGCCAAACATGTATGAATACTCTAGCTTTCGGCCCCCCGACACAATGAATTATATGTACCCCTGTATCACCACACCAACTCTGTACCCCAACATGTTCCCTGTTCCCCACCCTCAAACAGCCGATGGGTATTGGATAATATCTGTGAAAAAATTAATTAATAATTACCAAAAACAATCCATTTATTATACAGTTCGTACATCCTGGGAATGGTCAGTAATTCGACCTTGTGGCATAGAGGACGGCACGGAGACCTTGTGGGACTGAGCACAGAGAACAGGACGGAGACCTTGTGGGACTGAGCACAGAGGACAGGATAGGATGGAGACCTTGTGGGACTGAGCACAGAGAACAGGACGGAGACCTTGTGGGACTGAGCACAGAGGACAGGATAGGATGGAGACCTTGTGGGACTGAGCAGAGAACAGGACGGAGACCTTGTGGGACTGAGCACAGAGGACAGGATAGGATGGAGACCTTGTGGGACTGAGCACAGAGGACAGGATAGGATGGAGACCTTGTGGGACTGAGCACAGAGGACAGGATAGGATGGAGACCTTGTGGGACTGAGCACAGAGGACAGGACGGAGACCTTGTGGGACTAAGCAAAGAGTGCTCCAAATTAAGCTAAATCATTTGCTCATAAGGAGGAAATTGATTATCATTTCTGATTACCTCTGAGCAGCCTCAGACAGCAATATTCTGAGAAAATCAAGAAAATCTTGTTGACGTGAGGCAAAGTTCTATAATGAAGTATAAAAATAATAATTATTACAATTATTAATTAAGATTTAAAGTTCACCTATGGTATACATGGCTACCGCACCTATGGCTCCTTATTTTAGTATTTTTGATGATTTTAAGGCTTAATAATTAAGATTTTAGTGAAGTCGTCAGCGAAGATGATAGCTGTTGACAGATGAATGCTCTTTACTAAAATAGTTTACTCTTTACTGAAAGTAGTTAAAAAAAGTTATGTCTCCATTCAATGTCAACTAATGTTTCAACCCATTATTCTACAGTGCATCCTGTTAAAGGTTAGCACTTAGGAGAAATCTTTATGTTCTCAGTAAATTATAATAAGCACGTTATAAATTATTACATTATAATAAAAATGCTTTTGCTAAACATTGTATACAATAGTGTAAGCTTTGAAAAACGACAAGAGGAAGGATTGTAGGGACGTTAACAGAAAACGATGTGACGTTGGAATGTCAATGGGGATACACTACTGCAAACAGGATGGATATAGGGTTCACAAAAAGTCTCACGATGTTTATGCAACCCGTTCTCTCACTTTCTTACGATCAATATTGACTTATTTAATACGTGCATATGTGACATACTAAACATGCTAGTTTAGACATAGTAAACACCTTGAAAAGCTTCATAGAAAACACCGACCTTACCTAACCTTCTTAGTATGTTAAGATAAACATCTTATTACTTCGTAATTACAATTATTACTTAACCTATACCTTTAATAGGTATAATTATTACTTAACTTGCTTCGTAATTACAATTATTACTTAACCTATACCTATAATAGGTTAAGTAATTAACCTTTAGTAAACACCTTGAAAAGCTTCATAGAAAACACCGACCTTACCTAACCTTCTTAGTATGTTAAGATAAGCATCTTATTGCTTCGTAATTACAATTATTACTTAACCTATACCTATAATAGGTATAATTATTTCTTGCTTCGTAATTACAATTATTACTTAACCTATACCTATAATAGGTTAAGTAATAATTGTAATTACGAAGCAATAAGATGCTTATCTTAACATACTAAGAAGGTTAGGTAAGGTCGGTGTTTTCTATGAAGCTTTTCATGGTTAACTAGTATGTTTAGTATGTCACATATGCACGTATTTAATAAGTCAATATTGACTATACGAAAGTACGAGAACGGGTTGGTTTATGAGGTCCACTACCACCCAAAATGATAGGTATGGGGTCCACCACCACCTGTTGGATGGGTACTGGGTTCACTACCACCTGTTGAATGAGTATAAACTTGCTCTGTATCTAGTGTCTCCCAATCTCCCAATCTTTATGTACTTAATCCAAACACCTTTATCATTGTGTTCATTGCTGTCTTCTTTTATGTGCTAGCCATATGCTGTATTGTGCCTGCTAAGTTTTGTTAAACTACCATTCAAGCTGTCATTGCAATCATTCTGAGCTACCTATGTGCTTTAATATACCTACAATTTTTCTCTCATCTTTTATTTTTTTTCATGGTATATAACTTATCATTTTTATAAATTTTGCAAGTATTTACCTTAGATTAAGTTTGCAAGTTTCTTAGATTAAGGACCTGCCCGAAACGCTGCGCGTACTAGTGGCTTTACAAGAATGTATTTACTATGCTATGTATCCTCACAATCCCAATGTACCTTCTTGTATATATATAAATAAAAATATAATAAAAGATAAAAAATAAGTACAGGGTCCACTACTGCCCCACAGGATGGGTACGGGGTCCACTACCACCCGCTGGATTGATATGGGGGTCTACTCCAGCCCCCCGCCACCCATAGCCTCTTCAGTTCTGCCTGTTGTTAGAGCTGTATGTTTACCTTGCGATTTATAAGGTAAATCTTATAGCTGTCTTATCGTAAACAGTTATTTATCTTATCGTCAACCAGGCAGGTAATGCCGGTTGACGAGGGGTGGGGGGTGGGGGTATAAACGTATGTCACTAGCAGGGGGGGGGGAGACCCCGTTAACATCGCCAAGTTGTATAAATGCCAGCCCCAAGGCAAGGCATCGTATAGTTTCTTCGTAGTATCTTAAAATTCTTTTGTAGGTAAAGAATAGCATTCCCCATAGATAGTGTATCACGCAATTTTTTTTTTATAAAGTGTAGTCACGCCTCTGAATTTTTTTTGACAGTTGTTCTGATAAGATCAAGGCAATTAGAGGGTATATTTACATGCCCATTGAGTTCAAAGACTGGCTCGTCATTCCCTTCCATCCTTTCACCTGCATCGGTGCATCCTCCATTGCCTCTCACCTGCCGCTACCCCTCGTTACCTCCACCTCTGTCACGCCTCTACCTCTTACCTCCAAGTCACGCTGGGGTATAACTGGGATATTTTTGTTGCCTGGTGATGAACTTTCTGCATAACAGATATGTCTATTTGAAGATAAGGTTTCCATGATTGGATACAATAACTCAGGTGAGCGGCGCACCTCACAATATACACTTAAAATTACGGTCTTCTTTTCCTTGAAGTCAAATATTCGCTTGACTATTCCTGGTGTTTGGTTTGTCTTTTCTACTGCAGCTCCCTCTTGTTGTGCGACTTCCAGTGAATGATGGACTCCGACTCCAAGGTTTTATACTCACGCAAGTGCTGCCAGAGACCCAAGAGCTGGCAGGTAACTTTTCCAGCACGTTAGTGTGGCAATACAAAAGGGAAATGCACATATTATTCTTGATTCCAGCCCAGCATCCGATATGTATCTTTCATATCTATATAAATTGGAATGTCTGTCCGAGATTGGAGGCCAGACGCTTGTGGTTACTCTCACCCAGGGTCGGGGTGGACATAGACGAGTGACAATGGTGCAAGACTCGTCCATCCACACCACGAATCTTGGAATATGTTAAGGCCACCACAAGAGTGCATATACTGACCAACCACCAGGTATACTTTATAACTGAAGAGAGTTCATGCTTACAGGAAATTTTCATAGTAAATGCATTGAGAAGCAGAATACACCTCTCTTCAGTGAATATTTAGCGGGGGACGTTATAAAGTGCTCTTATCACTAAGTCTTTAATACCCCCTAACTGGTGACTCAATATCTTATCTTAATATTATATCTGAGATAGACAAAGCAGTAGCTTGCAGGCCGGGAAGAGCAACGCACGCTGTAGTCAGTTCCTGCCGTCGCTCACTGCTACAAGCGACTCCTTCACGTTGTATCCACTTCACAATGACACTTACACCTGAAGCTGCCAACGTGGTGAGTACTGGAACCCTTTCATCACAACTGTCATGTTACCCGCCATACACACACCAAACGTAGAGTTCCTCTTCTATATGATTAATCACGGATGCTGAAGCTGCATTTAAAATATATTTCTTGGCGTTTGAGTATTAGGTGTTAATAATTTGATCATCGACCATGTTAATAGGTGCTTTTTTTTCTTGAAACACCAGCAAGACAGATAAAATCTATTATCACTATTAACACTGCGTGTTCGGGGCTCTGCGAGATATACCAATTAATCAAAAAAATTTCTACCAACATTTTCATTCTGGTCTATCAATTAAATTGTGGATGTCAACAGATACACGGTAAACAAGTCTTATATTGGTCTAGACTCTTGAAAATTTAACTTAAGAAGCTTGGCGAGAGATTATCTAGTTTCTTGGTATCTTTTACTCACCTAGTTATGATTGCGGGGGTTAAGCTTTGGCTTCTGGTCCCGCCTCTCATCTGTCAATCAACTGGTGTACAGGTTCCTGAGCCTACTGGGGTCTGTCAAATCTGCATTTGAAACTGTGTATGGAGTGCTGCATACTCCAGGATTGGTCTGACATAAGTGGTATACAAGGTCCTGAACGATTCCTTACACAAGTTACTAAAGGCAGTTCTTATGTTGGCCACTCTAGCATATGCCGCTGATGATATCCTTTTGAAGTGGGCTTCTGGGAGAGAGGTTCGGTGTGATATCAACCCCCAGATCTTTCACTCTATTTTACTCTTGCAGGATTTCACATCCCAGATGGTACCTTGTGTTCTGCCTCCTGCTCCCTTCGCCTAATTTCATAACTCTACACTTTCATGAGTTGAATTTTAGTAGCCATTTTCTAGACCATTCCTCCAGTTTGTCCAGGTCGTCCTGTAGTCACTATCATCATCTGTCTTGATTCTTCTCATAATTTTTGTATCATCAGCAAACATTGAGAGGAATAAGTCTATAGCCTCTGAAAATCGTTTAAATATATCAGAAACAGGATGGGTCCAAATACAGAACCCAGTGGGACTCTGCCGGTGACATGTCGCCACTCTGATGTCTCCCCCTCACAGTTACTCACTGTTTCCTGTTGCTTAGATACTCCCTTATTCACTGGGGCACCTTACCTTTTACTCCTGCCTGTTGCTCCAACTTTTCTAACAGCCTTTTATGGGGTACTGTGTCAAAGGCTTTCTGACAGTCGAAGAAAATGCAGTCTGTCCTCCCTTTTCTTTCTTGCCTAATTTTTGTTGCTTGGTCATCGAATTCTATTAAGCCTGTCAGACACGATTTACCATCCCTGAACCCATGTTGGTGGTGTGTTACAAAGCTCTTTCCCTCCAAATGCTCTACGAGCCTTTTCCTCACGATATTCTCCATTACCTTGCATGGTATACAAGTTAGGGAAACTGGCCTGTAGTTCAGTGCCTCTTGCCTGTCACCCTTTTTGTATATTGGGACTACATTAGCTGTCTTCCAGCTTTCAGGAAGGTCTCCTGTTTCCAGTGACCTATTATACACCATAGAGGAAGGTGTAAGGAAGGTGATGAGCACTGGGTCGCTACCAGCCCTTCTTGTAGCTACAAACTTTGTTATGCTTCTTGAAACATTGTCACTCACCTAATGTCACTCTATGTACGAGGAATTCTACGAAGCCCCAATGACAGCAGCTACCGCATAATGGCATCTTAAGACAATATACTTCATGTGAGTGTGTTGAGTTATTCACCTCTGGACGGCGTCACTCCCACGAGACTCATCCATCACCCAACACCAGCCAAGGAACCTGAAGCGTGTTCACATCCTCGCCTTACTCACAGCCAATTAAAATTTCCCCACAAAGTTATCGAATCGGTAACTATTCTTCATTTCTAGTGGTGTATTTTATTTTTCTAAAAGTTGCATACATTCTAGCTTAAAGTTAATTTCAAATACTTATTATTTTGTATTTATCAAATTTGAATTGCAATAACTGTATAATTAATCTTATTTAGACACCTGCCTGAAACTATATGAAGTCTAGAAGCCAGAAGCCCAATATATTTCTCATACCAGGGTACTGTACTGTCAGTGTTCCAGATGAGCATTAATTGTAATATGTTGCAGGACCTGCTGTTTGCATTGAACGAAGCAAGTGCAGAGCGGGCCGCTGAGGCTATAGCTGCCGGGGCAGATGTCAACATGAAGAGTTCTTGGGGTGCCACCCCCCTCCACATCGCCTCACTCAGAGGGGTTGCGCGCCTCATCCAGCTCCTATTGTCTAGGGGAGCCAAGCTGGACGTGACCGAGAGTGAGGGCTTCACACCACTCATGGTGGCTGCGCTCAATGGGCACACGGACGCCGTGAGGACACTGGTGGTTAATGGTGCCGACCCACATGCTACTCGACTGGACTCCGGAGAGACCGCCCTTCACATGGCCATGAACAGCAACAGCCGCGGGATGGTCATTGCGCTGCTCGACGCTGGCGCCGACGTCAATGCTCTGACTAGTGATAAATCCACACCTCTTCATGTCGCTGCTGAGTTGAATGCCCAGCATGGGGCCGAGGCTCTGCTGAGTCACCCTGCGTGTGAAATTATTCTGAAAAACAGCAGTGGCAAGACTGCCGACCAAGTGGCCAGAGACCACGAACACTACTCCCTGGCAGAATACCTGGACATGTGCAGTTCTCCATTCAGCGAACGTGACAAGGTGAGACACTACACATACATACACTGGCGCCCACATAAATGTTTCCGGAGTTGTCGGGGGTGCAAAACAAAGGGAATTATCCTTAGCCTTTAGCTTTACCTTATCCTTAATAAAATAAAGGAATTGAGGAAGGTAATACGAAATAATCTAGTTTAAAGAATGCTTTAAGTGAATAATGAGCAATATAAACCACATATATTTTTTCATTAACCAAGTAATCCCAGAAAATCTTCGTATGGGAAGTATTTCAGAAAATATTTTCGCAATGAAAAAACAAAAACATAAAATATATCAATCACTAAAAGATATTTAGTTCCACAAGTTTCTCACGCAGTCGGATAAAGTGTAATATTTGTGTAGAGCATAATATTATTTTCTTAACATGTACATCACAAAACTGTATAAGAACAAAAAACTTCAACATGATCAGTAAAACACATGGAGTAAATGCCCCCTCTTGCCCGAGCCCAAGTGTACAAGCCTAGGCCATTCTCCCGTTGTTATATTCACAGCATTATCAGTTTGGCTGCACCTTATCATCCTATCAGCTTATCTATAAACTATGACCCATTTACCTGTGACGTGCCATGCAACAAGTCATTTCCTGAGATAGTTCGATAAAAGTTCATATTTTAATCTAAAGATAAAATCTACAAACGCTGGATACTTATGATATTAAAGTATTGAAATTTAAACATGTGTTTCAAAGAATTCTGTGTAATATTTCAAAGCCAAATTAGTCAATTGTTTGCAAATATGCCAAATAATATTACGTGTATGTCACTGATATTGTGAGACTGTCAACCATAATACAAATTTATCAGTAACTACCAATAACAATATGGTACAAAAAACTTTTACTAATGTTTCTTTATATGGTCATAAGCTTAATTTTAATCCTTGCTTTAAGCTACAACTTTGACCTTACAGACCCGCGAAACAATCCCTCCAGAATACAACAGTTAACCAAGATACACTTCACTGGATTTGGCAAAAATCTAAAATTAAATTGCCTGATCGTAAATTCTACCCCGATTTTCCGATTCAAAAACATGTGTTTACGCGGGAGAAAACAGAGACAGGCTCACCCCTAACTCATGTTTTCAGCCCAAGAGTTTTTTCCTTCCACAGCTCATTACAAAGGCCAAACCCTACATGTTTCCCCAGAACACAGTCGTGTCAGTCTACCTACATTCAGGTTGCAAATTACTGCTTGGTGCACGAGGTGCCGGGCCAAACAATGGTGTTCAAGACAGGCCTTTATTAACAAAGCCTGTGCGCAAACTAGAGCAGCGTAAATACAGGGTTCTCAGGACTGCCTGTTTGTCAGGCAGTCATGATATATCGCCCAACGTGAGAGATATTGCAAGGATGCCAGGAACAATATTTCCATAACGATCTCGGCTAAAATTAGATGCAAGAATGCTTTCCGGCAAGCATCGTGACCAAACAGATAATAATTCATCTAGGACAACTCCAATGCAACCAACAGACGGAATTTTTGTTACAGATAATGTATGATTATTGACTAATGACTTCCAAAACATAACTTTTAGGTTAATACAAATATCAATTATATATGTTCTTTTTTCAAAGCGTAAGATCCAGCTTCGCATATTATATGGACATCGCTATGAAACTCAAGCACGAGGAAAACTAGTAGAGATAGAGTACTGGAACTAATCAATTTCTTGGGCCAAGGATGATTCCAATATCAGTTATTAATCCATTTAGCACGAAGGTGTGAGATATAATTAAATTTTTGATAAGCAATAATACAAATTTGCGATAAATAATAAACAATAGTATTACTAGTTTGTTCAGAGCTAACTTCACTATATTTCCAACTTAGCACAAACTGAAATTCACATGTATGTGCAAAATGAATTCATGGCTACTCTATCTATTATTCTAGGTCTCCTGGGATTTGTTCGTTACACTCCTCTCATATTTTCTCAATAATGACACATATATGACAGAGACATTCTCCTTTTCAGATGTTGGTGTCAGCTGTACTGGCCAGGGACGCAGATCGGGCAGCTGAGGCTGTAGCTGCCGGCGCTAACGTCGACCTACAGAGTCCTGGGGGAGTCAGACTCCTCCATGCAGCCTCCCTTAGAGGGACGGCTCCCATCATCAGCCTCCTACTAACCAACAATGCGAAAGTAAACGTGGCCGATGCCGAGGGCTTCACACCGCTTATGGTGGCTGCGCTCAATGGGCACACGGACGCCGTGAGGACACTGGTGTTTAATCGTGCCGATCCAAATGCTACTCGACTGGATTCCGGAGAGACCGCCCTTCACCTGGCTATGAACAGCAACAGCCGCGGGGTGGTCACTGCACTGCTCGACGCTGGCGCCGACGTCAATGCTCTGACTACTGACAACTCCACGCCTCTCCATGTCGCTGCTGAGTTGAATGCCCAGCATGCGGCCGAGGCCCTACTGCAAGCTCCACTGCATGACCTTACAATTAAGAACGCCCAAGGCCACACTGCCGCAGAGGTTGGCAAACTTCACGGCCACGTCAACATGGCTCGGCTGCTGGCGACAAGTGACCAGGTGGACAATCTTGCGCCTATGACACAGACGGACAACGTAAGTAATGTATACACCATATACACAGATGGAGATCCTTAACATACCAAAAGATGAATGACAGATATCAATGAGTTTGTCCTAGTCGTTATGTATCTGTTGATCATAGTAATGTGGTCAGTGTGTGATTAACGCTGCTGTTGTGTCTTATGAATGGTGCGTGTGAAGCGTGTGCTGTGTGATTGTACATTTTTGCCAAATTCTGTACCGCAGAAGTTAATTTCATTATTACCGAGGCCCAAGGTACGGTTAAGTAATTTGGTTAAGATAGTGATTAGGAAGTGTTTACAATTCAGGGCGACGGAGAATGAAACACTTGTCGAGTATATGAACAACATGACCCGTGAATGATGGCTTTCCTCCCCCCCCCGGATAATACCAATCCTGGAGGAGGCTGAGAACGTGTATGCTAATGCAGGGTAACTGTGGAGATCATTCATAGTTCGTGTCTCACGCCGCCAGGTAAGGGGCTTGGAGGGCGGCTTGACGCTATTTGGACGCCATATTTGAATTCCTAGAGTACAGGAACCCGAGTGTTCAAAATAATATTTTATACATTATAAGCCATAGGGTACATGAAACCCTATGGACATAAATGACAAATTGTTTAGCAACTGAATTATTAAAACTATTGTTTTAATCACAGGCGTTGAAAAGGGCATTTGTCTCACTCAAATTGGTGATATTTTTAAACTATTCCTAAATAAGGAAATTTATAGATATAAAAGTATATACAAATAGAAGATATACACCATAGAAACAATTTAAGCATATATATAGTCTGTGAACGGTTCATTAACTTAACCAAATCACCTACAGATTTACAGCATGTTCATTTTTAGATTTAGCCACTCGGAACTAGCTATGCATGTAGCACGGGCTATAGTGAGCCCGTAATTGAGTTATAGATTGCTTTTTGTCCCAAGATTTCAAGTAGCACGGGCTATGGTGAGCCTGTATTTTTTTTTGTCCCATTGTTGTTGTTGTTTAAGATTCGCTACTCAGAACGATAAGTTCCAGTAGCACGGGCTATGGTGAGCCCGTAGTGGACTTACCTGGCACGTTTTGTCCCAGATAATAACCTATTTTATACTAAAACTAGAGTGAGTACCGGCAGCGCCCGGCCTCTCTCCTCACTCTCATCTCCCTTCACTTAATCCCGCTCTCTTCCCCCTTTCCCCCCTTCCCCACCTATGAACACCATCCCCCACTTCTCACCACCTCATCACTTTTTCTATCCTTCCCATTCCCCTAAATCCCTACTCTTCCTCCCCATTTCACCCGGATTAGTAATTATTACGTCACCCGGAAGTAATCATCAAAACTCTACGGAACATACAACTTTTGATTTCAGACATCAAGAAAATTGAAGGGATGGGCACTTATGATACCGATATTTCTTAAAGCATGGTACCTGGGCCGACCCCCGACTGGCCTATGACACACTCACCCCACTGATTTTCATGTGACCTCCTACTTCAGAGAATAGTGTGTAGTGTTACAGGCGTGGCCTGGGGGCGTGTGTTTCATTGTTGGAGTGGTGTGGGGCGTGTGTTGCGTTACAGGCGTGGTGTGGAGCACGGGTTGAGTTACAGGGTATTACAGACCAAGTGTTGCAGGATCAGGGTGCAAGAGTTACAGTTCTTAAACTCAACGTGGTGGTGGGCGGCGTGCGGCCGGCCAGCGAGGGCGTGTACAAGTGCACCAGCCGGCCCCGGGGGCACGTCCTCGTCATCAACTACCACGAATTCCAAAGTTATTCTTGGCGTAAAGGCTCACCCATCGACGTCGCCAACCTGGAAAATTTATTTACAAAGGTTAGTTGATAACTACTGGTAGCTACCTTGTAACAAAAGTCATACACCTATAGCTGAAATTTTGTGTTGCAATATTTGTTGTATTGTAATATAATATATATATATTACCTGGTCTACGAGATAATTGGTACCAAGATTCTCTTATATAAAGTTACTGAACGTTGCAGATGGGTTTCAAGGTGACCACACACTCGGATCTAAGTCTGGAGGGAACTCACAACGCCCTAAATAATTTTCGTAGCGACGGAGACCTAGCAAACGTGGACTCTGCTTTCATCTGTGTACTCAGCCACGGAGTTGACAGGGAGACCTTTCTCACGTCAGACGATGAAAAGATGACTACGAACGAGGTCAGTAACTAGAGCGAGAACAGATGCATTTAAACAGTAAACACTTTTGTGTCATTCGTTAACTCATATTCTGTTTTCATTCATTTAAGTTTTAATATTAAAATCTTAACTGAAGTGGCCCCTGCCTTTACAGGTTCGGAACATGTTCAAAGACGAGGCGTGTCCCCTCCTGAAGGGGAAGCCTAAAGTCTTTTTGTTCAACTTTTGTCGTGGTCAGAAGCTCGAGAAGGGCTGCGTACTCGACGTAGGTGAGTCACATCAAATTTCAAAGTTGTAGCCTTTAAAAAACTAAGTGTATTATATATTATATACACATATATGTATGTATGTATGTATATATATGTATATATACAGTATATATATATATATATATATATATATATATATATATATATATATATATATATATATATATATATATATATATATATAGATGTAACAGTCATGGAAAGGAGCGGAGTTTTCCACACTGCAGTCTACACTAAGGAAACAAACAGGAATGTGCCTGAATGCCAACAGTGACTGCCCGGACAGGTACAAGAGGAGTGTTGTTAACGCTTATGTCGACCGTGCCCTCAGCCACAGCTCAGAATGGAAGCAAGTCGACGAAGAACTCTGTAGGGTAAGGCAGGTCCTAGTCAACAACGGCTTCTCCAATGGTTTCGTGGAAGACATCATAAGAAGGAAAGTGAAACGCCATGCAACCTCTGAAGAGACAACTAACACATCACCTATACCCCCTATTAGACTATTTTACAGGAACTTCTTTTCCACAGCCCATAAAACGGAGGAAAGGGTCCTGAAAGATATTGTCAGTAGAAACGTTATCCCTACAGACAAAAATCAGAAGATACAACTGACGATTTACTATAAAACCAGAAAAACGGCCAGCCTACTCATGAGAAACTCTCCAGACACAAAGCAGAACGCTTTAAAAGAGACCAACGTCGTCTATGCCTCAAATGCCCTCTTGGGGACTGTAAGCCTCAAAAAACCCAGTATATAGGCAAGACAACAACATCTCTTTCCAGGCGTTTAACGATGCATAAGCAACAGGGCTCCATTAAGGAACATATAATCTCTTCCCACAAACAAACCATCACCAGAGAAATCTTAGCAAACAACACAGAAATCATCGATAGATACAGCGATAGCAGGCGGCTTGACGTCTGCGAGGCACTACACATCAAGAAGTCAACACCAGCAATCAACAGCCAATTAATGCACAACTATATTCTACCCAGAAACGAGGCAGAAACAAATGGGCAAAGTTTCTTTCACCCTGAATGCCCCTGTTACCTAGCAGTAAATAGGTACCTGGGAGTTAGTCAGCTGTCACGGGCTGCTTCCTGGGGGTGGAGGCCTGGTCTAGGACCGGGCCGCGGGGACACTAAAGCCCCGAAATCATCTCAAGATAATCTCAAGATAATCTCAAGAAACCCACTTCAAGACTCCGCTCCAATATAGAAGCATCAAGAAATATGGACCAATAGGCTTTCTACAATTACTTCCATTCAATACCCATTGTTTCGTGTTCTGTCTTGTGTTTGAATTTAATACCCATTCAATACTCATTGTTGAAAGTTTGTTTTCACCTCATCCACCTCACCCAAATGTAGATATAAAATCGAAGATGTGTAAGCTCTATTCAGTTTCAGTTGTGTGTTTGTAAATTAAAGTCTTTGAAAATGTAATATATATATATGTTGTGTACATGTACGCTATGACTCTGTTGAGGTCATCGTAGAATTTTTCCTTTGCCTCAGGGTTGGTGCATATGCACTAATTACATTGACTGGTCCTGTTTGGGAGTGCAGTTGCAGAGACAGAATTCGTTCGGTTCCCCATCGGTGGCATAATGTGTCCCAACAGTGCATTCCTGACGGCAAATCCCACACCATGTTCTCTGGTCTCATCAGGAGGTTTTCCTTGCCAGAAGAAAGAGAAGGTCCTCTCTCTCACAGATCCTGATCCAGGGAGCCTGGTCTCTTGGAGAGCAATAATATCCATCTGCAGTTTGCTCAGCTTCCTATCGATGATTGCTGTTTTTCGGGCGACATTGATTTCTTGCAGGTCGTCAGAGAAACCTGGTGTCAGTGTCCTGACGTTCCATGTGTCTAGCTATAGGGCAGTTGATATTTTCTTCTTAGGTTTGGTATTGCTTGGTGCAAAGTTGTCGGGCCGCTTGTCGGTTTTCACCCTAAACCCCACGCACCCAGTGAGGTTAACGGACCGTGGCGAGGCAACACCTTATTGGCTGGGGTTTGTCCAGCTTGAGGCGGGCGGTAGCTGCCCAGTGGGGCGCGATGACCCCTCCCACCGTCGGAAGCAACCCCTGGCGTCACACTCTTCGCCAATCGAGCAGAGGACTTAAAACCGGTAGACTGTCGCTTCCCGTGTTGGTTGGATGCTGTGAGGCGAAGCTGGAGTGTCCTCTCCAGGGCGCAAAGCCTGGGTAGGTAGATATGGAGGAGAAGCTGTTACCCATGCAGCGGGTCTCCCTTCTCCACGTTGCTGAAATTATCCAATAGAAAGGCAAATACCAATACACATGGTTCCAGCAACGTCGCAAGAGCTGCCAGAACGAGGTCGACGTCAACAACGAACTGCCTTAGGGGCTCCAACTCCTGATTTTTCCTCGAGGTTGACTCCTGAAGCCTTTCCCAAAAAAGGGATATGGCCGCAAGGCAGCGGAGGTTTAAAATCAGGGTTTTCCTTCTCCTAGAAGGGCTGCCTTTCCAGGCTATCGAGTCCCATCTACCCGGAGCAGCTGGTTTTATGGCGCCAGAGGCACGCCCTCGCCCCTTCTCCTGTCGGTAAAAGCAGTTCCTCCAGACTTAAAGACTAAGCCCCCCGTGCAGGCCAGGAGTTGGACTTGGTTGTCAGAGGCTATTTGAGACGCATGCCGTATAGGAGCATTTTATAGGTCATGGGAGCTCGTCCCCCATTATCACTCCCTGGCTATGACAACCCCTTGGAACCAAACATGTCAAACATGATATATTTGCATAATTTTTTGGGGAAACTTTGACTATTTGTATTAGGAAAACTAAAGATGTTTTGGAAAATCCCCTCCTACAGATCCTTTATTATATGCTAATGTGTCAGAAGAGTGTCATAGAATAATTATATCTGAAAAAGTGAAAGGTGAAATGAACTCATTTGAAAATGTGTAATATTCGTTGAAAAAATAAATAAATCTCCCTTTCTATTTACGGTACAGTATTGAAACTTGGGCCAATTGCAGCCCTTTTCATATACAACTAGACAAAAAATTTTGGTTGACATTGAACAACTTTCATCTTCGAACTCTCTTAGCCCCTTAATACATGTTCTCAGAGTACCCAAATTATCCTTGTATCAAGGATTATGTGATTGTTCTACGTCATTGTCCGACCCACAGTTCCACAATCCATTATCTGATAAATCACGATAAAAAGAAATTCACTGTTTACATCAATTTCTAATAGTGTTCTCTTTCCCCTTCAACGACAGCTCAAGATGCCGTTTCACTAGGAACAACATCTTCACCGACTGATCTAAGGTCTTCACCGGCTAATCCATGGTCTCCTTCATCGATTGAAGTCTTCAAGGACATGTCCACAATATACGCCACCGTCGAGGGGGTTCAAGCACTTCGCGACGAGGAGAGAGGTACCTTCTTCGTGATGGCACTGTGTGAGGTTTTCGCTGCCAATGCCCATAACAAATCACTGGATGAGCTGGTTACCAAGGTAACTGAAAGGATGATTAAACATCTGAGTGCCACCACTCCGGAGACCGTGAATCACGCCTTCAAGAAGTTCTATATCAATCCCATGCGCCCAGAACACCAGTGATGATCCAGTTCGAAGGTTCCGCTCCTCAGACTATCCCACAGTCAGCTCATCAGGCTGCCCAACACCCGCAGTGTACAGCTCATCAGGCTGCCCAACACCTGCAGTTTACAGCTCATCAGGCTGCCCAACACCCGCAGTTTACAGCTCATCAGGCTGCCCAACACCCGCAGTGTATAGCTCATCAGGCTGCCCAACACCCGCAGTTTACAGCTCATCAGGCTGCCCAACACCCGCAGTGTATAGCTCATCAGGCTGCCCAACACCCGCAGTGTATAGCTCATCAGGCTGCCCAACACCCGCAGTGTATAGCTCATCAGGCTGCCCAACACCCGCAGTGTATAGCTCATCAGGCTGCCCAACACCCGCAGTGTATAGCTCATCAGGCTGCCCAACACCCGCAGTGTATAGCTCATCAGGCTGCCCAACACCCGCAGTGTATAGCTCATCAGGCTGCCCAACACCCGCAGTGTATAGCTCATCAGGCTGCCCAACACCCGCAGTGTATAGCTCATCAGGCTGCCCAACACCCGCAGTGTATAGCTCATCAGGCTGCCCAACACCCGCAGTGTATAGCTCATCAGGCTGCCCAACACCCGCAGTGTATAGCTCATCAGGCTGCCCAACACCCGCAGTGTATAGCTCATCAGGCTGCCCAACACCCGCAGTGTATAGCTCATCAGGCTGCCCAACACCCGCAGTGTACAGCTTAGTGCAAGAGAGTGAGAAAGACTTGGTGTAAATTCCTTACATAAATTTCACAAATACAAAAGTCATACACAAATACTTTTATCCTATCCTAAAGACTGTTGAGTGAGGTGGTGATTTATGGTAGAGGCATTGATGGTCGTGTCAAGGTGAGTGACCAGCTCGCCTGGTGCAGCTAAGTTACTCAAGAATTAACCTTGTCAGCAAGTAAAACTAGTTTCGAGCCTGATCCAGCATTGTGGTGGATACAGTGTTGGCGTCCCTCACTTACATCCGCACTCAGTGGACGTCTGGAGACGCCTGGCACGTTGTCGGGGGGGAGTAAGAAGGAATTGATTGAATATAAGTACATATCCCGTGTTATTATTGTTGATGTGCATATATTAATTTTGGTGAGCAGTAATCACCCAATCTGGGATCGATCAGAGTACATCTCGCAGCGAGCTCTCTTTGTGTTTGGATTCAGTGAGATTGTGGAAGTGTTAAGATCTCAGCTCAGAGAGGACTGACAACTCTTAACCTTGGAGTGAGTGACAGTGTTCTTAACGTAAAAGTGTTTATTAATTAATTGATTGATGCCTGAGTGACACTGTGATTAACGTAAATTAATTGAGTGTTAACTCATTCATTGTGATTTAATATCTTGATGACATAGTTAAAAGTAATTACTTATTGTGGTGTTGTTCTAGTTACATTGTTCTTTTTGTATTCATTTACGTGTGTTAATTTGTTGTGTTCCTGAAGTGTTTTGATGCTGCCAGTGACGAGTGCAATAATTGCCAAGAGTGTTCACGAAGTGTTCAGTTGGTTCACTTCTGTTCATGACCTGTCCAATGGGTCGAGACTGTTGTCTCTTTCACCACCTGTCAGAGTGGTGGGAACGGATTCCTGCCGCCAGGAGGGGTTTCGACAGTTGTTGAAGCGACACTCTTGAGTAGCGTAACTATCGTGGGTTCCTGTGTATGAGTAACTATAAGTTGTTGAATAAACTTATTTGAATACACGAGCCTTTGATGTCACTCCTCATTCTGAAGCACTGTCCCCCCTATATTTAATCAGAATTTCTACTGATCATGACTAGAGTTTGCTCGGCATCAAGCCCAGAGCACTGAATATTAATTTGGTGTGAGGATCCATCCGCTACTCTGCTATATGTGCTTGCATGCAAGCAAGTTGCAGAGCGAACGACCTACGTGTGGAAGGTCCGGTATTCCTCACGCCTCCGGGGCGTATTCAGATATGTTTGCCGCTTGGCTGTTGTAACTACTGCAGAGCGTCCTCTGGCAACGTGCCCGCCCCCGCGGGTGTTGGTGCGGTTGCATGCAACTGCAGGTTGTTGCTGGAGGCAGCAACAGCCAAGGTAAACATTCCTATCCACACCCCCCCCCCTCAGAAAAAAACAAAAACGGTTCACTCACATTGTGGCGCCCAGCGCGGTGTTGAGAGCACACTCACACGCACACTCACACTCACACTCACACACACACACACACACACACACACACACACACACACACACACATTGGAGGTAGAGTTGGATGTGACAAAGGCTATAGGCCCAGATGGAATCTCCCCTTGGATACTAAAGGAAGGAGCAGAAGAACTGTGCCTACCACTCTCCATGGTGTATAACAAATCACTGGCAACAGGGGAACTGCCAGAAATTTGGAAAGCACCTAACGTAGTCCCGATATACAAGGGGATAGACAGGAGGCACTGAACTACAGGCCAGTGTCCCTAACCTGCATACCATGCAAGCAGATGGAGAAGATTGTGCGAAGAAAGCTAGTGGAGCACCTGGAGCGAAAGAACTTTGTAACACAGCATCAACATAGGTTCAAGGATGGCAGGTCCTGCCTCACAGGGTTACTTGAATTCTACGACCAGGCACCAAAAATAAGGCAAGAAAGAGAAGAGTGAGCAGACTGCATATTTTTGGATTGTCAGAAAGCCTTTCATACATTACCACACAAGAGGCTAGTGAAAAAGCTGGAGATGCAGGCTGGAGTGAAAGGGAAGATACTCCAGTGGATAAATGAGTTCCTCAGCAACAGGAGACAACGAGTCAGTGTGAGGGGTGAGGTCTCAGATTGGCCAGACGTTACGAGTGGAGTCCCGCAGAGGTCAGTATGGTAAACCTATACTGTTTCTGATATATGTAAATGATCTCCCAGAGGGTATAGATTCGTTTCTCTCAATGTATGCCGATGATGCAAAAATTATGAGGAGGATTGAAACTGAGGACGATAGTAGGAGGCTACAAGATGACCTAGATAGACTGAGTGAATGGTCCAACAAATGGCTGTTGAAGTTCAACCCGAGTAAATGCAAAGTAATGAAACTAGGCAGTGGAAACAGGAGGCCAGATACAGGATACAGAATAGGAGATGAAGTACTTAATGAAACAGACAGAGAGAAAGATCTAGGAGTTGATATCACACCAAACCTGTCTCCTGAAGCCCACATAAAAATAATAACGTCTGCGGCATATGCGAGGCTGGCTAACATCAGAACAGCGTTCAGGAACCTGTGTAAGGAATCATTCAGAATCTTGTACACCACATATGTAAGACCAATCCTGGAGTATGCGGCCCCAGCATGGAGCCTGTACCTTGTCAAGCACAAGACGAAGCTGGAAAAAGTCCAAAGGTATGCCATTAGACTAGTCCAAGAACTAAAAGGCATGAGTTACGAGGAAAGGCTGCGGGAAATGCACCTTACGACACTGGAAGACAGAAGAGTAAGGGGAGACATGATCACAACCTACAAAATCCTCAGGGGAATCGACCGGTAGATAAGGATAAACTATTCAACACTGGTGGGACGCGAACAAGGGGATACAGGTGGAAACTGAGTACCCACATGAGTCACAGAGACGTTAGAAGGAACTTTTTCAGTGTCAGAGTAGTTAACGGATGGAATGCATTAGGCAGTGATGTGGTGGAGGCTGACTCCATACACAGTTTCAAATGTAGATATGATAGAGCCCAGTAGGCTCAGGAATCTGTACACCAGTTGATTGACAGTTGAGAGGCGGGACCAAAGAGCCAAAGCTCAACCCCCGCAAGCACAAATAGGTGAGTACAAATAGGTGAGTACACACACACACACACACACACACACACACACACACACACACACACACACACACACACACACACACACACACACAAACTGAAGGAAGTACTAGACATAACAACAGACAAGTTAAAGGGAAGGTGAAGAGACCTGTAGCAAAACTTGTTTGAAATGTTCTCATTAATTTTTTAGGCGCCTGACAGCTGGGCGGACAGCGTTTCGGATTCGTAGTCCTGAGGTTCTGGGTTCGATACCCTGTGGAGGTGGAGACAAATGAGCAAAATGTTTCTTTCACTCTGATGCCTGAGACTTAGACAGCTGACACGGGCTGCTTCCTGGGGGGGTGGAGGCCTGGTCGAGGACCGGGCCGCGGGGACACTTAGCCCCGAAATCATCTCAAGATACCACCACCCACTAGAGGATTGTAGGGTGCATAATAGGTTTACATAGCCTAAGCTACTTTATCCTTTCAAAGCGTTATATGACAAAGAGTGCTGGGAAGACGGGACACCACGAGCGTAGCTCTCATCCTGTAACTACACTTAGGTAATTACACTTAGGTAATTACACACACACACACACACACACACACACACACACACACACACACACACACACACACACACACACACACACACATACACAAACACACATTGATTATTACTCTGATATCATATATATTGTTATCCCTTGGCGCGTCGCCAGCAGTTTGGTTATCTATCGTTCGCCTACAGAAAGAGGTAATCTGTATATACATTTGTACATCCCATATTGTCATTATATAAAATATACAATGCGTGGTATATTGTGTATTCAATATCATAATCTTTATAACATATACAAGCATATATATATATATATATATATATATATATATATATATATATATATATATATATATATATATATATATATATATATATATATATATATATATATATATATGCTCTACCGTTCAGCTCAACCACTTGGGCTAGACGGTAGAGCGACGGTCTTGCGTCATGCATGTCGGCGTTCAATCCCCGACCGTGTAAGTGGTTGGGCACCATTCCCTTCCCTTCCCCCCCCCCCCGTCCCATCCCAAATCCTTATCCTGACCCCTTTCCTAGTGCTATATAGTCGTAATGACTTGGCGCTTTCTCCTGATAGTTCCCTCCCTCCCTCCCTCACCTACAACCTTGAAAGAATTAAGTTCTTCAGAGTGCTGTTGAAATCTGTGCTCGTGTGACAGAACTCACATGTTCACTACACACTAAGTTCAATTCTGTAATCATATTCACTATGCGCTATAAGGTACCTTCATCACTGAAGCCATCACACTATGGACCATTCTGGGCTTGCTATCTATAACCATCATTATCATCATCTTCTCTCTTCATCTTCTATACCCTTCACTATCGTCCCTATCCTTCGTCACCTTCCCTCTCCCTCGTCGTCTCGACCCTCCACCACAACCACTCTTCATCATTAAACTGTAGAGAATAAACTAACATTTAATCACGTAGGAATTAATATTCTGGATGATGTTTAGTGGAGATGGAGGCAGGTATTTAACGAGATTAGAAATCGGTGTAATTTGATATTTCATGCCAGGAGGGAGGCCCATATGGGGTCGTCAGCCTCCACCTACCGATGACCCCTGTTCCCGGGGGGGAGGGGGGGGTAGAAATAGCCTAAGCTACTCTATCCCTTTGAGATGTATTTCTTGCTTATCTCAATAAACATACTTGAACTTGAACTTGAACCCCTGTTCCCCCATCAACCATTATATAGTCACCCCAGGAAAGTATGATGGGGGCCATGTCCTAGGCTTCTTGCCTCCTACTGGGCAAGATCTTTGATGTAGATTTCTGATGGAAATATTACATTTTTGAATTTTACCCCCCCCCCTCATTGTTTTATTTTAGCCTTAAATAAAACCCCTAAATAAATAGCCCTCCCCCACGTCTGATAGCCACAACACAAACAGTAATGATAAGGATATGTGAGGAGCCACATAGGCTCCAGCAGCCAGGTGTGGTATGGGATGGTAGATGACAGCTCCAGACCGACAACCAGAGTCTCCATAGTCTGGCGTCTCGCAACTCCATAGTCTCCCGAGACTGCTGGATGCCTGCTAATACTAATAAGTGAGGAGGTAATATCGGCGCTGTAACGCGACTTTCAACAAGCAAGACTTGATGGTCTGAACAACTCATACAATACTACAATATAAACTTCTATAACACTGCCAATATTGAAATGCTTGCAGGCGCGTTAACTCGCCCAAAGAGAATACTGTCTAGAATCCCGTTAAAACTGAGTTCGATTTGCCATCAAATTAGCGATTAATGGCCCCGGGAGCAGACGCGGACGTAATCGGACCCACAGCTTTAAGGTATGCTGGTGGCAGCATTTGCCACAGCATCAGAAATAAACAGAAAATACTTGTGAGCTTAAAAGGTTCTCAGATCGACAAGAGATATGTTAATATGCCAAGACCCAATTATTGTTAAAGCCATTTAAGCAGAGTAAGACAAATATTTATGAAGCAAGGTTTAAAAATTTAAAGTATAAAAAGACGGTGGAATTTCATTGTTTTTTTTTGAAGACTGGTGTAATGCCAGGAGATGAAGTGTGTTGCTAAGTTTCAATTATCATCAGGAACCATCAGGAACAACCACCTTCGTGCCTTGATGAAGTTGTGGAGATGGTAATGCCATATGTGTCCTGCCATGACCTCATCTTACTCTAGATGAGAGCTACGTCTAACACCTTCGCCTCACGCAGAGCGCCCGGAGTCATCCAATACACATGAAACCTTCGGGGGATACTGTGACTTCTTTTGCTTAGTATACCGTATGCCCTACAAGGGTGTACGTCACCACTGGCTACAGTGTACGACACAAGAGCTACAGATGATGGTAAACTTTTCACCAGTTTCGTTTGGACAGTTTCGAAACTGTCCAAACGCAAAAACCAGACGTGGTCATTCTGGTAACTCTGTTCTTGAACTGCAGTGTGAACCATAACCTGAATCAAACGGTAACAACCCCATAACACTTTTATGTTATGGGGTTGTACAGTCAGCTCGGCGAACATTTTCACCAAACAAAGCAAATCGAAGCGAAAATATTCCCCAAAACACCAGTTTTCCACTGAACATCTTTCCTACACAAATGGAGCACAAGTTACAACAACAACGCCTAATACACTTGACATTGTTAATCACTCAAAATAAATGATAATCTGGGAAATATGTCAAGCGAAGAAGTAATGATGAATCCCACCACTGTGCAGGGAGGAGTGAGGACGTCTCCCACCGTCTAGGAAGAAGTGAGGACGTCTCCAACCGTCTAGGAAGGAGTGAGGACGTCTCCCATCGTCTAGGAAGAAGTGAGGACGTCTCCCACCGTCTAGGAAGGAGTGAGGACGTCTCCTACCGTCTAGCAAGGAGCGAATACGTCTCCCACCGTCTAGGAAGGAGTGAGGACGTCTCCCACCATCTAGGAAGGAGTGAGGACGTCTCCTACCGTCTAGCAAGGAGCGAATACGTCTCCCACCATCTAGCAAGGAGTGAGGACGTCTCCCACTGTCTAGCAAGAAGTGAGGACGTCTCCCACCGTCTAGGAAGGAGTGAGGACGTCTCCCACCGTCTAGGAAGGAGTGAGGACGTCTCCCACCATCCAGGAAGGAGCAAGGACGTCTCCCACCGTCTAGCAAGGAGTGAGGACGTCTCCCACCGTCTAGGAAGGAGTGAGGACGTCTCCCACCATCCAGGAAGGAGCAAGGACGTCTCCCACCGTCTAGCAAGGAGTGAGGACGTCTCCCACCGTCTAGCAAGGAGTGAGGACGTCTCCCACCGTCTAGCAAGGAGTGAGGACGTCTCCCACCGTCTAGGAAGGAGTGAGGACGTCTCCCACCGTCTAGGAAGGAGTGAGGACGTCTCCCACCGTCTAGCAAGGAGTGAGGACGTCTCCCACCGTCTAGCAAGGAGTGAGGACGTCTCCCACCGTCTAGCAAGGAGTGAGGACGTCTCCCACCGTCTAGCAAGGAGTGAGGACGTCTCCCACTGTCTAGCAAGGAGTGAGGACGTCTCCCACCGTCTAGCAAGGAGTGAGGACGTCTCCCACCGTCTAGGAAGGAGTGAGGACGTCTCCCACCATCCAGGAAGGAGCAAGGACGTCTCCCACCGTCTAGCAAGGAGTGAGGACGTCTCCCACCGTCTAGGAAGGAGTGAGGACGTCTCCCACCATCCAGGAAAGAGCAAGGACGTCTCCCACCGTCCAGCAAAGAGTGAGGGCGCCCACCTGGAGTCAGTACAGCGGCGGCCACGGGCGGGAAAGGACAGCGTTCGTGGTGCTCTTCACTGCCGCAGGAATCTGGGCTCCTCCACTCACTCACTCACTCACTCACTCACCACGTGCTGGATGCTAGGCTACAGTAGTTACTCTTTACAGTGCTACCGTGCTCAGCTGTTTGTATCAATGTGATTAAGCTCTACACTCGTATTTATTTGCATAAAGTAAATTATTAAAGCCTAGCGCCTAAACATAGTAACGCCATTGTTCAAGTTTAATCCGAAATCTACACGAAGAATATCTGTAGGGTATTAGCAAATTGTTGGAATTTCGTCACAGTGAAACAAAATATTACCATTGTGTTGCTATTGATCGGTATTATTATAGACGTGCGTATGATTGAAGATATAATAGTGCGATCTAGCTTAGTTATCACAGTCAAATCTTTGAGGAAAGGCATTATTATACACTTTACTGAGCGTTTTGATTACGTATCGGTATAATCAGAGAACAATATCGGTCAGTAACTTTGGCCCCGAGAGACATTTCAGTGAAAAGTGTCCATATGAATTGGTTATATTGTCTATAGCGCAGAGCTTTACCATCTGAGGGTTAATCCTCCCTATCATCACTCACTGGCCTTCAGTTGGTAAGCTCCATTTTAATGTATATATTTTATTACATCTGCTTACGGGGTCTACCGATTTTTTGTTTCCATTTAAGTGAGAAATAATAAAAACCAGGTGTGCATTTGGTCGCCCAGATCTCCCGCCCGACACCCTGGCGCCTTGTGGGGGGACTGTGTCTTGGACCCCCCCACTCCCCTGTCTCCGTCTCTCTCTCTCTCTCTCTCTCTCTCCGTATATCTCTGTTACATCACGTATCTCGTATTTTGCAATACGAGCTCAAAATCAAATGCCTTTTTTCTTTTACGACACTTTTGAATTGATTTTCAGGCGATGAAAACATTTTCATATTTTTGTAAATTGATTTCTATCGATATCGATAAATTTAAATTTTCGTATATATTAATAATACAAAATTCTTAAAATAAAATACTTGCCTACAATAGTTTTGAGCCTTATACACAACGAATAACGAAAATATTTAAAAAACTATATTTTTACTCACAAAGGAAAGTGATCTCGAAAATATTAGCGAATATGAAATTTCATTTAGAAAACGGAATGGAGGGTGAACACTAATATTTCCAGGACATATGTTTTCCGGCAACTTTCACACTACTGTAAAGTAGTGTGAAAGTTAATTCAGAAGCCACAGGGGTTTAATTAAAATTCTCCTGCGAATTACTAAAGGTGCTCCATGGACCATTAAAGAGACGTCATCCGTGAGCTAATAAGGAAATGCGTTCCCGGTACTATTAAGGTGCTTCCTTAATCCTCAAGAAAGTAGCATCCTGGGCCGTTGGATGGGTAAGACAAGTAGCGACATAAGGAAGAGGGGGGGGGGGTTTGCTAACACCCATTGACCCCTATTTACCTGCTGCTTGCGTACCAGGGGGACAGGGCGAAGAGGACAAGACTAGAGGGACAGGGCAAGGGGGGGACAGGGCGAGGGGGGACATGTTGTTCCTTGCATCTTGTCCCTATATATTGCAGCTCATTTCTACTCTGCGCTTTATATTTTGTCCATATAATACAGTACATAATACTTTGTCTGAAAGTATTGCCTGTCAAACCCCTATCTTAATGTTTATCTGGCCTCCTTTATGTCTTGGGAGCAGTATATACGAGCCTTCCTTCAGCTGCTTTGCCCTTGCCTTCTAGTGTAGTCTACCCTATCTTGTGTCTGATTTCGAGGATCAATTTTCTACGATGAAGAAGTATTTGACCTGACACTTCGCTGTTGGAAGTGCAAGGGTTTCCACACGTAAACTTGCAACCTCTCTTTCTTTCCACGGACGCCATTGCAACAATATACTCAACAAATAATTTTCCGCGGTCTCTGTCCCCGTCGAGACCATTAGAGAATGACCCTCGGGTAAGTTCGGGTAAATACTCTTTGTCAATCTCGGCGCTTCTCCCGTTTTCTGTATTACCTCCCCGACATGTGTCTGGAAGTTCTGTTCTAATTCTCTTACATTTTGTTATCCATGTTCCGTTCCTCCTCGTTGTGGATCCATCGTTATCTGTTTCCTAATCCATTTCACCTGTTGATTACTCTGACACTGAAAAAGTTCTTTCTAATGTCCCCTGTGGCTCATTTGGGTACTCAGTTTCCACCTGTGTCCCCTTGTTCGCGTACCACCCGTATTCAACAGTTTATTGTTATCCACCCTGTCAATTCCTCTGAGAATTTTGTAGGTAGTGATCATGTCTCCCCCTTACTCTTCTGTCTCCCAGTGTCGATCCCACGACAAAGGAGAGAAGAGGTTGTCCTGTAATACAAGTCGTCTTCCAGTCTTCTGTGTGTGTGCGCGCGAGAGAGAAATAATTTAAACCCGTGAGAATGGCAGGTGTTCCACAGCTGTACAAACACGCACTACACCCGTGCGTCCAAATTAGCAATTATCTCGCTGGCCGCACCTGAGGTTCGGCTCACCTGAGGAGGCATCTTGAGTGCTGGTCTAACCTAGCGATATACCAATTGATTTGCCAGTCAGCTGATTAGTCTAATGATTTTCTTGCTGACTTAATCTATTCACTAATTTGCCCCATAGTTTTTCTTAGAAAACTGGATACAGTTACACTTAAAACGCAAGACTTGCATTCTCTTGTAAACACAAACAAGCTGATTTACAAAGGTATTTATAAAGCTGATTTACTTAGTGCTGGGTTTCGGCTCTTGATTCGCCAGGGACTGATTTGCCTCGTCATTCACTGTGATTTGTTTTGTGATTCAAAAAGGGGGGGGGGGGCATGATTTGAATGATAATTCACTAGCTATGATTTGCCGAGTGATTCGCAAGAGCTGCGGTACGCCACGTGATTGGCCAAGAGCTGTGGTTTGTCCTGTGACTCGCCAGGAGCTGGTGATTTGCATCGTAAATCACCAAATGGGCCCGTGATTTACCTTGTAATTCATCAACGGCTTCCACACGTAGCGTCATTATTTAACAGCTGTAATTTGTCTCTGTTCCAAAACGTGTCGTGATTAACCTCTCCTAAATGACTGTTTTGGCACGAATGATTGTTTTACAGCATAAATCACCGCAAGCTAATGGTTGCCAAGTGATTCATCGCGAATTGGGATTTACATTGCAAATTAATGCGTCCACTCTTCCACTACCCAGGGGAATAATTAATGCGTCCAATCTTTCCCAGTTAATATTTACTGCGCTAAATTTTCCACAAGTACGCAATAAATTTCCAACAAAAATGAACTCAGAGTCGCGGGTATTTTCCGCCTCAATAAAAAAAACAATTAGCCGCTCAATGAACGCAGCCAAATTACGGAGGCTTCGTATCCCTCTATGTTGCATATTTTCCACCAGGAGGGACTCAAACCAATATGACACGGAAGCCCAGACCCAGAAACAATTTCAAGTAACTAAATTCCGCAGCAGAATTTCCAGAACCCGTTGGAAAATAAGTTGTTGTCTAGAATTGATTTTTTTAACGCATATTGGAAACGGCTCCAATGTCTTAAGACGATTAATAATTAATAGTGAGAGTGCAGGAGACGCATTTGGGTCCCCTCGAGTAGGATGGGGCTATTGGGTCGCTTAGCACTAGCTAGAGTTAGGCTATTGGGTCCCTTGGCGCTAGCTAGGGTTAGGCTATTGGGTCGCTTGGCGCTAGCTAGGGTTAGGCTATTAGGTCGCTTGGCGCTAGCTAGGGTTAGGCTATTGGCTCGCTTGGCGCTAGCTAGGGTTAGGCTATTAGGTCGCTTGGCACTAGCTAGGGTTAGGCTATTGGGTCGCTTGGCTCTCCTCTGGTTTTAGGAACATAAGCACGGTAAACATAAAAGAAACGGAAGTGAGCCTATTGGCCAATGCGAAGCAGGTCCTATTTATACCTAACCAAACTCATTCATATTCAACATAATTATATATACACACACACTTATCCAGTTTGCATAAATTGTTTTGTGTTAATATACTTAGCATCGTGTTAACATTCCTCGTGCTGTAGCCTTTCAATCATCTGTATAATACAATCATGTCCCTTTTTTTTCTTAGCTTTTCTTGAGATAGTGAATTAAGCTCTCTTCATGAAAAAGGTTTCAGTTTCCTGGAAGTGCCCTTTCCATCCACCTCTGCATAATGTTCAGGGGAATTTATGTCCATTCTATAATATAGTGAACAAAACTGAACTGCGTAATGGGCCCAAGAGTCACAGTAGTATAAAACTTACACCTGTGTATTTCTGAATTTTATGTTAAAGAAATTATACCGAGTCTTTCGAACTCTCTTGAGTGCTTTGTCAAGATCTGAGTGTGTGATTAGGAGACCAGACTTACGTCTTAATGTCTAATAAGACGTTGAGACTTTGAGATGTGAGGCTCATTGGACGTTGAGATGCAAGTCTCGTCCTAACCACACACTCAGACCTTGACTAAGCACTCAGGAGAGTGCGAAAGACTCGCTGTAAATTATTTCCAAATAGTAAATTATTTATTATTGAATAATAATTTATTCAATAATAAATTATTTTTATTATAATAAATTATTTATTTCCAAATAGTATAATATTTATAAATACTATACTTAATATTTATATAACGAGTTCATATTTATAAATATTATCCCTTAATATAATGTTTATTATATTAAGAAATTTTGGTATTTTGTGAAATTCCAAAATTTCACAAATACACAAGTGTGGGTTTTTGTCCCATGTTATTATGTCTATGAGAAGACATGACCATTACGTAAGAACAGTAGTGTCTGGAGTTGGCTTGCAACCGACTGAAAACTTGAAGCCTATTCCCAGGCAGGATTAACAAGAAACAGCTCAAGAAGGGGAGGGAGGAAATGGTCTAAGAAGGAGGAGGGAAGACAGGCTAGGAGATGGGCAAGACTTCATGATTACAGATGCATCTCTTCAATACTGCAATTGTGAACACAAGCAGGATAAAAAAAAGTGATTTCATATTAGGCTGCAACCCGTTCTCAGACCAAATCCATTCCATCCAGCGGTCGACCCCAAAGACGTATTCATCAATTTTAACATGCTGTTCATTCAAAATAGGAATTTTGAATGAAAAGAATATATTATATATATAT